TCTCCCTGGACCTTCTCCCCTCCAGGTGAGCATCCCCAGCTCTCCCTGGACCTTCTCCTGTCCAGGTGAGCATCCCCAGCTCTCCCTAGACCTTCTCCCCTCCAGGTGAGCATCCCCAGCTCTCCCTGGACCTTCTCCTCTCCAGAGGAGCCCCCCCAGCTCTCCCTGGACCTTCTCCTCTCCAGGTGAGTCCCCCCATCTCTCCCTGGACCTTCTCTTCTCCAGAGGAGCCCCCCAGCTCTCCTTGGACCTTCTCCTGTCCAGGTGAGCCCCCCGAGCCCCGGGCAGCGCCCCCGCCCCGCTCCCGGTACCCGCGGGGTCTCGGCAGCCGCGTCCCGCCCAGCCCCGGCGGCTCCGCAACCTTCGGGCTCTCTCTTGTGGCTGCTCAGCCCCGCTGCAGCCTCGCCGCTGCCGTCCCGAGCCAGCCCGGCCCCGGGGCCCCATCCCGGGGTCCCCTCCAGCCGCTCCCGGTGTCCCCGTCCTTCCCCCTTCCCATGGGAACAAACCCGAAACCGGGACCGGCAGCCTCGCGCTGCGGTGGCTCCAGTGCTGTCCCCGTCCCGCAGCTCGTCCGTCCCTCCCAGTATGTCCCAGTCCGTCCCAGTCCATCCCAGTCCATCCCAGTCCCTCCCAATCCGTCCCAGGCCATCCCAGTCCGTCCCAGTCCATCCCAGTCCATCCCAGTCCATCCCAGTCCGTTCCAGTCCATCCCACATCATTCCACTCCATCCCAGTCTCTCCCAGTCTGTCCCAGTCTGTCCCAGTCTGTCCCAGACCATCCCAGTCCGTCCCAGTCCGTTCCAGTCCACCCAGCACGCAGAGCCCGGCACCACCTCATCCCCCCAGCCCAGCCAGCGCTCCCTCTCCCTTTCCCCTCGCCCTTTCCCTCTCCCTTTCCCCTCTCCCTTTTCCCTCTCCCTTTTCCCTCTCTCTTTCCCCTCTCCCTTCCCCCTCTCCCTTTGCCCTCTCCCTTTCTCCTCTCCATTTTCCCTCTCCCTTTCCCCTCTCACTTTCCCTCTCCTTTTCCCCTCTCCCTTTCCCCTCTCCCATTTCCCTCTATTTTCCCTCTCCCATTTCCCTCTATTTTCCCTCTCCCTTTTCCCCTCTCCCTTTTCCCTCTCTCTTTCCCCTCTCCCATTTCCCTCTCCCATTTCCCTCTATTTTCCCTCTCCCTTTTCCCCTCTCCCTTTTCCCTCTCTCTTTCCCCTCTCCCATTTCCCTCTCCCATTTCCCTCTATTTTCCCTCTCCCTTTTCCCCTCTCCCTTTTCCCTCTCTCTTTCCCCTCTCCCATTTCCCTCTATTTCCCTCTCCTTTTCCCTCTCCCTTTTCCCTCTCCCTTTTTCCTCTCCCTTTTCCCTCTCCCTTTTCCCTCCCCCTTTTCCCTCTCCCTTTTCCCTCTCCCTTTTCCCTCTCCATTTTCCTTCTCTTTTCCCTCTCCCTTTTCCCTCTGATTTTCCCTCCCCCTTTTCCCTCTCCCTTTTCCCTCTCCCTTTCCTCTCCCCCTTTCCCCTCTCCTTTTCCCTCTCCCTTTTCCCTCTCCCTTTTCCCTCTCCCTTTCCTCTCCCACTCCATTTTTCCGTGCTGCCTCACGGGCTGTAATTAAGAACCTCCTCTCCCGTCTGTGGAAGCTGAGGAAAGCCCCTTTCGTCCTCTCTCCCCTTTATAATTTTATTTTTCCCCCCTCCCCACTCCTCCCCGCAGCACATAAAGGGATGACAGCGCTCCCAGCCAGGCTCTTTTGCATTTCTGAGTTCGTTCTGTTAATTGGAAGGAGGGTTAAGAATCTGCAAGGTCGTTTCAATCTCCATCTGACCTTCAGAGTAATCCTCTATGCCAACACCAGAGCTTGTCATTAAAATGAGGCCCCTCTTCCATATCCCGCCATCCCTTTATTCTCTCCTCGTGCACATTAATTGCTCATAAGTTGATTTGATCTCCCTATTCTGCAAGAAGTAAATTGCCCTCTTATTTCGCCATTTTCATCCTGTTTTCTTAATTAGGCCCTTAAAAATCTCTAGGGCCTGAGCCGGGCCGCAGGCCTCATCCTGGGAATAAATTTTGATCTCGGGCTGATAAAGAGCGAGCAAAGCCCGAGCTGGAACAATGTCACTGCTGCCCTCCCTCCCGCACGCTATTCTCCTGACATGAAAAGGCTATCAGTTTTTCTCTGTGCTAATATAGGAAATAATTCACACTCCAGGCGTTGTTCTCTATTTAGTGTTCACGCTCCCCTGATAAATCAAATCAGGGATTTTTTTTTAATTTTTTTTTTTTTTTTTCCTCTCTAAAGTGTCTGGAACCAGTTGCTCCTTCTCCCCCGCCCTCAGCACCTTCAGCCTCCTCTCGTTTTTTCTTCCCCTCCTTCTCTTTTTAATGAAGTTTCCAAGATAAACCCCTGTGATTTTCCAGACTGGGAAGTCTAATTTAAGGTGGATTTTCTTGCTTTTTTCCCCCTCCTGTGTGTGTTTAACAGCAGCACCGAGGGGATTGGGAAGCTGGCATGTGGCTGAGGGGCTGCAGATGTGACTTGTGGCGAGTTTTTCCAGGCACAGGCTCAGTAGGACACTTTAAAAGTAGATTTTTTTTTTTTTTCCCTCGCACTGGGCAGGAGAATCCCCCAAACTTGCCTGGCCCAAGGGCCCCAACACCCAGAGGATGCTGCTGATCCAACCTCCAGGACAAAGAAGAAGCTGCCACGCTCCAGGATGTTGTAAATAAATATATTTTTAATGATTCTTCTTCCATTCCAGTTCATTCTTTTATACATTTATTTATAAAACAGTAGTAAAATTTTTTAATCAGAGCACAGTGCATTAAAAAAAAAAAAAAAAAAACCAAACAAAACTCCCAAAAAAAGATTAAAAAAAATAGTAATTATAATCCACAACTGTTTACTCACAGCCAGGGGAGACATCTCGTGCTGAGCGGTGCCTGGCCTTGCCTGTGGGCACCCTAAAGCCACAATAATCCCAATTTCCTGTGGGATTTCGTGGCGTGGAGAACCCACCCAGCCCCTTGGGAGGGCACAGACCCATGGCTGTCCCACGCCCCCGGGTCCCCAGCACCCAGGGGTGACCCTGGTGGGGACAATTCTCCTGGCAGGCACTGATGGCAGCACACAAAGGGTGCCAAGGCCTCATGAACACCCCCAGAGCTGCAGCGCGGAGCCCCCTCAGCTCCGACATCTCCTGGATCCTTCTCTTCTCCAGGTGGGCACCTGGAGCCCCTCTCCTGCCACCCAGGGTCCCCTCCTGCTCCAACTCCTCCTTCCTCTTCCTCCCCACCTTCTGCACCTCCCCGCACCCTCACATCCCACCAGCCCCTCTGTGGGGCTGCCCCCCAACTTCCCACCCCAAATCTGCCACCGCGGGGCACCTCTGTCCCCCCAGCTTGGGAGGGGACAACCACCAAGGGGTCCCCTGTGCTCTCCAGCCTCGTTTCTCTCCTTTAATAACCCCACAGGGGATTTTCCCTCCTGTCTTCCCATTTCCCTGCAGCTGGAGTGGGGAGGCAGGAGCTGGGAGCACGAAGCAGCTCCCCAGTACAGAGCTCTGCAACCAACTGGTGAGACTGGGAAGGGAAAACCACTGAGCTCTGCAACCAACTGGTGAGACTGGGAAGAGAAAACCACCAAACTCTGCAACCAACTGGTGAGACTGGGAAGAGACAACCACCGAGCTCTGCAACCAACTGGTGAGACTGGGAAGAGAAAACCACCCCCCAGTTCCCAGCTGGGCAGTGGGCATGAACCATTCCCTGCAGCTTCATGCCCATGTTGGGGCAGGACTTGGAAGAAATATCCCCAAAAGCAGAAGTGTGAAACCCTTTTATCCTGCCAGGGAAGAGCTGGGGGTGTCACGGGGCACAGAGACACTGCAGGGACATCTCGGGGGCACTCAGGGGCACCTGGCAGCCTTGCCCGGAGGTTTTGGGGTGGTGGAGCATCGAACCCCCCCATCCCAGGCGTTGTGGAGACCTTCCACATCCACCTGCAGACAACACCCCCTTAATGAACAGGCGCTAATTAACCCCTTGTCACCCTCCTGTGACCCCAGAGGCAGCGGGGAAGGAGGAACTGGCTGGACTGGGAAGCATCCAGGGGCTGGGAAGGCTCGTGGGGGATGAAGGATCCCAGGGAAGGCGAGGAGACACCAAACAGGAGGACACCAAGCTCGCAGCATCGTCCCGGGGGCTCCGGGGAAAGGGGCTGAGGCCAGGAGGCCTCTGCTGAAAGGCAAAGCAGCCCAGACACCGCTGCCAGGCTGTGGGGTCTGCAGAGAGGCTGTGGGATCTGTGGGGTCTGCAGAGAGGCTGTGGGATCTGCAGAGAGGCTGAGGGATCTGCAGCCAGGCTGTGGGATCTGCAGAGAGGCTGTGGGGTCTGCAGAGAGGCTGTGAGATCTGTGGGATCTGCAGAGAGGCTGCGGGATCTGCAGAGAGGCTCTGGGATCTGCAGCCAGGCTCTGGGATCTGTAGGATCTGCAGTCAGGCTGTGGGATCTGTGGGATCTGTGGGATCTGTGGGATCTGCAGCCAGGCTCTGGGATCTGTGGGATCTGCAGAGAGGCTGTGGGATCTGTGGGATCTGCAGTCAGGCTGTAGGATCTGTGGGATCTGTGGGATCTGTGGGATCTGTGGGATCTGTGGGATCTGCAGAGAGGCTGTGGGATCTGCAGCCAGGCTGTGGGATCTGTGGGATCTGCAGAGAGGCTGTGGGATCTGCAGCCAGGCTCTGTGATCCGCAGCCAGGCTGTGGGATCTGTGGGATCTGCAGCCAGGCTCTGGGATCTGTGGGATCTGCAGCCAGGCTCTGGGATCTGTGGGATCTGTGGGATCTGTGGGATCTGTGGGATCTGTGGGATCTGTGGGACCTGCAGCCAGGCCAGCGCCACGGCAAAGCCAGGAAGGTCCGTTCCCCTCCTGGCGAAAAGAAGCTGCGAAAGACACGGCGGCGCCCAGCCGAGCCCCGGTTGCATAGAGAAAGGTGCTCCTGGGGAGATCCAGTGCGTGGTGGGACGGGCTCCTCCTGCCAGGAGCACCCTGGGGCTCACCCAGCCAAAGCTGGAGCTGCAGCCCCCGCCCTGGCAGCCCCCCATCACAGCATGTCCGTGTCCTCCATGCTGAAGCTGCTGCGGCGGCTGCTGGCCTTGGAGGCCTCCGGGGACATGGCCGAGAACAAGGGGTCAGAGGCCAGGGGCAGCATCGTGTCCTGCATCAGCATCAAGTCCAGCTCCTTCTTGGATAGGGATGGGAAGGAAGCGCTGTCCGGGAAGCCCTGGGAGCCATCATCGAAGCTCAGGCTGTGGGTAAAGTCCAGCTGGTGATAGGGAGACTGGGGCGGCGCGGGCAGCGCCGGCTGCGGCTGCGAGTCGGGGTCCGGGGGTGGCAGCAGCGGCTCCAGGGTCCCCTCGTCCCCGCTGGCTTCTTGCTTCACCACCTGCTGAGCCAGCTCGGCCACGTTGACGCCCGAGGGCGAGGAGGTGGGCAGCCCGTGCACGCGTGCCTGCATCTCCAGCTCCTGCCAAGGGGACACAGAGGGGCTTTGGTGGGGGTGGCACGCTTGGGGACACATATGGAGGTGGAACAGACTGAGAAGCCCTCAGGGAAGGAGCCCCTGGAAGATCCGTGGTGATCCATGCCAGCTCAGTGAGCCTCACACATCGGGTTTGTCACGAGACTTCGCTCCTGGTGACTTCCCAGCCAAAAAACAGCAGGAGATGCCCTGGCCGTGCCCTCAGTGGGGCAGGAGTGAGGGGCTGGTGGGGCTGGGCTGGGGCAGAGGCGGGGGAGAGCCCAGGGAAGCTCACCTGGATGCGGAGCAGCAGCTGCTTGTTTGCCATCTCCAGGCGCCGTGAGTGATTCTCCAGGTCCCGGGACCTCTGCAGGTCCTTCTGCATCCTCTTGATGTAGTCCACGGACGCCTTCAGGATCGTCCCTTTGTTCCAGCGCACGTCCCTGTCACCCAGGATGGAAAAAGGGATGGAGCTGGGTGCCAGCAGTGCGGCCCCTCACCGCTGCTGCACCCCAAGAGCCCCCGGTGACCCCGGGATCAGAGCCGCGGGTACGCACAGGTCGTTGGCTTTGGGGATCAGCATTCCCAGCTCCTTGATGCGGTCGTTGATGTTGAACCTTCGCCGCCTCTCGACTGCGGGTGAGAGGAGAGGGATGGAAGTCAGGAGGCAGCAGGAGCAGGGAAGGCTCCGTGTCCCTTCCACGTGTCCTTCGTGCCCCTCGTGTCCCACACCCCCATGTCGTGCCCGGGGTGAGGAAGCTCAGGAGACAACCCTGCCCCATCCCTGGCCCAGCAGGTCTGATCTCCTCCCCAGGAGGACAGCGGGGTGGCTTTCCTGAGGGCCAGCTGAGGTGGGAAGGGGGAATGAGGAGGAAGAGTGATGGGGAAAGGCTGTGGGGTCAGGAGAGGGAAAGGAGGAGCTGAACTCACTCAGGTTGTGATTGTCTTTCTTCTGGCGCTCTTTGGCCAGGGCTCGGCTCTCGGCATCTGCAAGAGACCCACGGTGTCACCCGGAGGGGACAAGGGTTGGCACTGGAGCCCTGCACCCCCATGGGGACAGGGCAGCCCCATTTTTGTCACTCGCTCTGGGGCCAGGACACACCTGTGAGTTCTCTCTTCTGGGTGAGGTCGGCGGGGCAGGAGCTGCTGGTGACACCAACGAGTGACGCCGTCACCTGCGGGTCCCCACTGTAGACATTCATGTGGCTGCTGGACATGGGCAGCTGGAAAGCAGAGGGACAGCTGGGTTAGCTCCACGCAGGGCTGGGCACGGGGCTCACACCCAGCTGGGTTAGCTCCACACAGGGCTGGGCACCGGGCTCACACCCAGCTGGGTTAACTCCACTCAGGGCTGGGCACTGGGCAGGTGGAATCGTCTTCCCAGGTCCTTAAAGCAGCTTTCACCAGAGCAGAGAAGAAAACTTCAAGAGGGCTTTAAAGGGCACAGCTGATCCCCTACCATGGCCAACATCTAAAACAGGGCAGGAGAATCACATCTGGGAAGGGCTGGGCGGGATGGACCCCACTGGGAGGCATGAGCTGCCACACGGATCCGACTGCTCCAAGCTCCTGGCAGGGAAACCTCCCCTGGCTCTCATCTCTCCACCCTTGTTCCCTCCCCATGCCTCTCTCCCACCTCTCCAGTTTTTTCAAAGCATTCCCAACTGTCCTCAAGGGGGAAAAAAAGCTGGAGAACTGATTCTTGTGGGTGTTGGTGTCTCCAGGGACAAGGCTGGCTTGGGCTGCCACCAGGTCCCCTCCATGCCACCTCTGCAGCTGCAGGGACACTGTGCCACCCCCAGGTCCAGCCCCTCCCCGTCACCCTCCACTCACCGTGTTGGGCATGTGAACTTCGGGGTTCATGTAGCCCAAAACATCATCCAGGCGCATGATGTCATCGATGACCTCATCGAACTGAAAAGGAGAAAAGGACAAAGCGCCCGTGGGCTCCTCTGCCCTGCCCAGCACCCTGCGTGTGCCCAGTGGCAGCTGCTCACCTCCCGCTCGGGGTTGGAGCCGATGTTGAGCATGGCCATGGGGCTGTTGGGAGCGCTGTTGCCCGCCGAGGAGGACAGGACGTGGCCGGGCCGGACGCCGCCGGGGGACGCGGCAGCCGGGGGCGGTTTGGGAGAGTGGCTGGCGGGGCTGACGTGGGCGGCGAACTTGTTCCCGTAGGTTTCGGAGAGATACGCCTGCACCTTCTTGTCCCGAGACTTCTGCAGGTGGTAGGTGGTGGGGTTCTCCAGGTAGGACTGGACCTGCGGGGACAAAACCCGTCAGGGACACCCGTGGGTTGTCCTGGAGCCGCGCAGGGGGACGCCGCGGTACCTTGAGGACTTCTCCGGGTACGGGCGGTGGGGACTGGAAGTGGACGGGGGTGTTGATGGCGGGGCTGGAGGCCACGGGCATGCGCTGCTGCTGCATGTAGCTCATCATCATCTGCTGCTGCACGCGCTCCCGCTCCGCTTCCTGCTGCGCCTGCTGCTTCATCAGCTCCATCCGCAGCCCGATGCGCGACGCCATGGTGGCACCGGGGGCTGGCGGCCACCGGCACGCACGGCACGAGGGTCACCCTGGCGGGAGGACACGGCACCTCAGCGACGGCCTGGACAGCAGGGAAACTGAGGCACAGCAGGGAAACTGAGGCACGGAGAGGGAAACTGAGGCACGGAGAGGGAAACTGAGGCACGGAGAGGGAAACTGAGGCACGGAGAGAGAAACTGAGGTACAGCAGGGAAACTGAGGCACAGAGAGGGAAACTGAGGCCCGGAGAGGGAAACTGAGGTATGGAGAGTGACACTGAGGCACGGAGAGGGAAACTGAGGCATGGAGAGGGAAACTGAGGCACGGAGAGGGAAACTGAGGCACGGAGAGGGAAACTGAGGCACAGAGAGGGAAACTGAGGCCCGGAGAGGGAAACTGAGGCACGGAGAGGGAAACTGAGGCACGGAGAGGGAAACTGAGGCATGGAGAGGGAAACTGAGGCACAGCAGGGAAACTGAGGCACAGCAGGGAAACTGAGGCGCGGAGAGGGAAACTGAGGCACGGAGAGGGAAACTGAGGCACGGAGAGAGAAACTGAGGCACAGCAGGGAAACTGAGGCACGGAGAGGGAAACTGAGGCATGGAGAGGGAAACTGAGGCACGGAGAGGGAAACTGAGGCACGGAGAGGGAAACTGAGGTATGGAGAGGAAACTGAGGTACGGCAGGGAAACTGAGGTATGGAGAGGGAAACTGAGGTATGGAGAGGGAAATTGAGGCATGGAGAGGGAAATTGAGGCATGGAGAGGGAAATTGAGGCACGGAGAGGGAAACTGAGGCACTGAGAGAGAAACTGAGGCACGGAGAGAGAAACTGAGGCACAGCAGGGAAACTGAGGCACGGAGAGGGAAACTGAGGCATGGAGAGGGAAACTGAGGCACGGAGAGGGAAACTGAGGCACGGAGAGGGAAACTGAGGCACGGAGAGGGAAACTAAGGCACGGAGAGGGAAACTGAGGTACAGAGAGGGAAACTGAGGCACGGAGAGGGAAACTGAGGCATGGAGAGGGAAACTGAGGTACAGAGAGGGAAACTGAGGCACGGAGAAGGAAACTGAAACACGGAGAGGGAAACTGAGGCACGGAGAGGGAAACTGAGGCACGGAGAGGGAAACTGAGGCACAGAGAGGGAAACTGAGGCACAGAGAGGGAAACTGAGGCACAGAGAGAGAAACTGAGGCACAGCAGGGAAACTGAGGCACAGCAGGGAAACTGAGGCACGGAGAGGGAAACTGAGGCACGGAGAGGGAAACTGAGGCACAGAGAGGGAAACTGAGGCACAGCAGGGAAACTGAGGCATGGAGAGGGAAACTGAGGCACGGAGAGGGAAACTGAGGCGTGGAGAAGGAAACTGAGAAAGTCAAAAGCACCCCCAGGAAGCTCTAGAGAAGGCAAACTCTCGAGGATGAGGATGAGGATGAGGATGAGGATGAGGATGAGGATGAGGATGGGTAAGGGGGGCCAGAACTGGGATTGACAAGGAGAGGAGGGAAATTAAGGCATGGCAGGAGGGGAACCCCAATGGAGCACCGCGCACTCACCCCGGAGCCACTTCCCCAACATGGCAGAAGCCAGAGCGAGCCCGGGAGCGAAAGGGAAAGGGAAAGCGAGGGCAGGGCAGGGAGAAAAGGCCCGGCGGGTGCCAGGAGCCAGGGGCAGCTCGAAGCAAAGCCCGGCCGGGCGCGGGGCGAACAAGGCGGGCTCTGTGCGGGACCCGCACGCGAGCGCGGGCACGGGGGGCACCGCGCCCGGCACAGACCGGCCCTTGTTCCCCGGGACAAAGGGGACGGCGGAGGGTGGGGGATGCCGGGGCTTGGGGAGCCGCCCCGGCCACCGGGGCTTTCCACGGGGCTGGTTTCCCACGCGGGGGATGCAGGAGGTGCTGTGGGGGTCCGGAGTGCGGCAGCATCAGCACCCCGTGCATCCTCACAGCAGCATCAGCACCCCGTGCATCCTCACAGCATCACCCTGTGCACCCTCACAGCATCACCCCGTGCATCCTCACAGCAGCATCATCATCATCCTGTGCATCCTCACAGCATCATCCTGTGCATCCTCACTGCATCACCCTGTGCATCCTCACAGCATCACCCCGTGCATCCTCACAGCATCATCACCCTGTGAATCCTCACATGATCACCCTGTGCATCCTCACAGCATCATCATCACCCCGTGCATCCTCACAGCAGCATCACCTCACAGCAGCATCACCCCATGCATCCTCACAGCATCATCATCATCACCCTGTGCATCCTCACAGCATCACCCTGTGCACCCTCACAGCAGCATCACCCTGTGCATCCTCACAGCATCACCCCGTGCATCCTCACAGCATCATCATCATCCTGTGCATCCTCACAGCATCACCCTGTGCATCCTCGAAGGAAAAGCTGTGAGGGGAACGGGCAGGGAGGGGAAATTGGAGATTTCTGGAGGGTTTTGCTGTTTAAACACGAGGCCTCAGCAGTCACCCGGAGCCGGTGCCGCGTTACCCGGAGGGGAAATGAAATCAAGGCAGCGGCGACGCGCTGACACAGCCCGAGAGCAGCTATGGAGCGCCAGGGGAAGGGAATTAATCAGCCACGGGGGCCTGGCCCAAGGGGGATGGGAGCCTGGAGCTGGGGACAGCGACCCACGGGACATTCCTTGAGGGGAACATCGTGGAGGAGGGCACGGGGATGAGAAATGGACCCTGGAAAAGAGCCCAGGGAGAGCCCCCGGAGGATGCAACAAGGCTGAACGACAGGGAAACCCACAGCTGATGCCCACGGGGGATGTACAACCCCAAAACAAGGCTGAACAACGGGGGGAACCCACAGCTGATCCCTACGAGGGATGTACAACCCCAAAACAAGGCCGAAACCCACGGCTGATCCCTACGAGGGGTGTACAACCCCAAACCAAGGCTGAACGATGGGGGAACCCACAGCTGATCCCTACAGGGGATGTACAACCCCAAAACAAGGCTGAACGATGGGGGAAACCCACGGCTGATCCCTACAAGGGATGTACAACCCCAAACCAAGGCCGAAACCCACGGCTGATCCCTACAGGGGATGTACAACCCCAAACCAGGGCTGAACAATGGGGGAAACCCACGGCTGATGCCCACGGGGGATGTACAACCCCAGACATGAAGGGAAGGGCGAGGGAGAAGGGCTGGCACCCGTGGGTGTCACGGGAAGGGTGCCACGGCACTGCCACCCACAACACAGCACCCTGCTGGCCCCCCGGCCACCACCCAGCCCGGCTGCAGGACCCCCCAAAAAACGGGGCTGGGAGAGCCAAAAGCTCCCGAGAAGAGCTGCAGAGGATGAGGATGAGGATGGGGAAGGGTGGCCAGGGCTTGGCTCGGTGAGGAGAGGGGATGAAATCAGGTCAGGTTTAAAATAACCCCTTTGGTTCTGCTTGGCTTCCCCCCCAGCCCCCAAAACGCCGAGCAGCTTCTGCTTTCGCTCTGAGTCAGCCCCGGCAGGAGGGCGGAGTGGGACAGGATGGGGACACGGGGATGGGGACACGGGGCCCACGTCCCACCCTGGGGACACGGGGCCCACGTCCCACCCTGGGGACACGGGGCCCACGTCCCACCCTGGGGACAACAGGACCCACGTCCCACCCCGGGGACACGGGGCCCACGTCCCACCCTGGGGACACAGGGCCCTTATCCCACCCCGGGGACACGGGGCCCACGTCCCACCCCGGGGACACGGGGCCCACGTCCCACCCTGGGGACACGAGGCCCACGTCCCACCTTGGGGACACGGGGCCCACGTCCCACCCTGGGGACACGGGGCCCACGTCCCACCCTGGGGACACGGGGCCCACATCCCACCCCGGGGACACGGGGCCCACGTCCCACCCTGGGGACACGAGGCCCACGTCCCACCTTGGGGACACGGGGCCCACGTCCCACCCTGGGGACACGGGGCCCACGTCCCACCCTGGGGACACGGGGCCCACATCCCACCCCGGGGACACGGGGCCCACGTCCCACCCTGGGGACACGGGGCCCACATCCCACCCCGGGGACACAGGGCCCACGTCCCACCCTGGGGACACATCCCAGCCCCCCCTGATCCATGGGGACAGCCAGATGAGCTCCAGCCTGTCATTCCTGCGAGGGCACCCCGTGCTTTTCCCACTGAACCAGAGCCATCCCAGCACCAGTGGGAGCCCCAGACTGGTTCTTACTGGGAGAGCCCAAGCCAGCCTTGTCCATAGAGGCTGCAACACCCACAAAAAATCAATTCTCCAGCTTTTTCCACCCCTTTGAGGACAGTTGGGAAAAGCTGGAGGGGCAGGAAAGAGGAAGGGAATGAAGGTGGACTCCAGGGAGGTCTGGAGGGGGAGAGGAACAGTTGGGAAGGGGATGGAGGGGTGGAAAATCAGGGAAAATCCGGATGATCCCAGAGCTGACTGCGCTTTTCCAGCCATGAGGAGCGCAGGACAGGGGCTGTGCAGGATGCAGCAGCACCCCCAGCCCCAGGGAACACCAGGGAATGCCAGGGAACACCAGGGAATGTCAGGGAACACCAGGGAATGTCAGGGAACGCCAGGGAATGACAGGGAATGCCAGGGAATGACAGGGAATGCCAGGGAACGCCAGGGAATGCCAGGGAACGACAGGAAACACCAGGGAACTGCCTGTGGGGACACCTGTGGTGACACCTGCAGGGACATCTGTGGGACACCTGTTGGGACATCTACAGGGACATCTGTGGGACATCTTTGGGGACATCTGTGGGGACACCTGTGGGACATCTGTGGGGCATCTTTGGGGACATCTGTGGGGACATCTGTGGGACACCTGTGGGACATCTGTGGGGACATCGGGCGCTGTCCTGCAACCTGCCACCCCTCTGAGTGCCACAGGCCTCCTGCCACCCCTGAGTGCCACACGTCCCCTGTCACCCCGAGTGCCACACGTCCCCTGTCACCCCTGAGTGCCACACACCTCCTGCCACCCAAGTGCCACACGCCTCCTGCCACCCCTGCAAGTGCCACACACCTCCTGTCACCCCAAGTGCCACACACCTCCTGTCACCCCTCTGAGTGCCACACGCCTCCTGCCACCCCTGAGTGCCACACGCCTCCTGCCACCCCTGAGTGCCACACGCCCCTGTCACCCCTGGGAGTGCCACACGCCTCCTGCCACCCCTGAGTGCCACACACCCCCTGTCACCCCTGAGTGCCACACACCCCCTGTCACCCCAAGTGCCACATGCCCCCTGTCACCTCTGAGTGCCACACGCCTCCTGCCACCCCAAGCGCCACACACCTCCTGCCACCCCTGAGTGCCACACACCTCCTGCCACCCCTGAGTGCCACACGCCTCCTGCCACCTCTGAGTGCCACAGGCCCCCTGTCACCCAAGTGCCACACGCCTCCTGCCACCCCAAGTGCCACACGCCCCTGTCACCCCTCTGAGTGCCACACACCTCCTGCCACCCAAGTGCCACACGCCTCCTGCCACCCCTCTGAGTGCCACACACCTCCTGTCACCCCTGAGTGCCACACACCTCCTGCCACCCCTGAGTGCCACACACCTCCTGTCACCCCTCTGAGTGCCACACACCTCCTGCCACCCCAAGTGCCACACACCTCCTGCCACCCCTCTGAGTGCCACACGTCCCCTGCCACCCCTGAGTGCCACACGCCCCCTGTCACCCCAAGTGCCACACGCCTCCTGTCACCCCTGAGTGCCACACACAGCGAGAAGAAAAGGAGAAGCAAGAAGTGAAAAGAGCTTTGCTGCTCGCCAGGGGCCGGCCCGGCCTTCCCTTCCTCCTTCCTTCCTTCCTTGGTTTTCATTCTCAGACAGGACGTGGGCAGGGACAGGGGGGTGGCAGGGAGGGACACGAGGGACCCCAGCCCAGGGTGTCACCTCACCACACACCCACAGAGCCAGCCCAGGGGTGTCCCAGCCTGGGGACGGGCTCTGCTGTCACCCTGCTGTGTGGGGACAGGGGGTCACAGAGGGGTTTGGGGACCCTGCAAGTGGCCAGGAGGTCACAGAGGGGTTTGGGGACCCTGCAGGTGCCACCAGGAGGTCACAGAGGGGTTTGGGGACCCTGCAGGTGCCACAGAGGGGTTTGGGGACCCTGCAGGTGCCACCAGGAGGTCACAGAGGGGTTTGGGGACCCTGCAGGTACCACCAGGTCACAGAGGGGTTTGGGGACCCTGCAAGTGGCCAGGAGGTCACAGAAGGGTTTGGGGACCCTGCAGGTGCCACCAGGAGGTCACAGAGGGGTTTGGGGACCCTGCAGGTACCACCAGGAGGTCACAGAGGGGGTTGGGGACCCTGCAGGTACCACCAGGAGGTCACAGAGGGGTCTGGGGACCCTGCAGGTGCCACAGAGGGGTTTGGGGACCCTGCAGGTGCCACCAGGAGGTCACACAGGGGTTTGGGGACCCTGCAAGTGGCCAGGAGGTCACAGAGGGGTTTGGGGACCCTGCAGGTACCACCAGAAGGCCACAGAGGGGTTTGAGGACCCTGCAGGTGCCACAGAGGGGTTTGGGGACCCTGCAGGTGCCACCAGGAGGTCACAGAGGGGTTTGGGGACCCTGCAAGTGCCACCAGGAGGTCACAGAGGGGTTTGGGGACCCTGCAGGTGCCACAGAGGGGTTTGGGGACCCTGCAGGTACCACCAGGAGGTCACAGAGGGGTTTGGGGACCCTGCAGGTGCCACCAGGAGGTCACAGAGGGGTTTGGGGACCCTGCAGGTACCACCAGGAGGTCACAGAGGGGTTTGGGGACCCTGCAGGTGCCAGGAGGTCACAGAGGGGTTTGGGGACCCTGCAGGTGCCAGGGCCACCAGGCCACAGTTCCCTCTCTCTGGGCCAGCCTCGTGTTCCTCATTTTCAGCAGCCACGTGGGGTGCAGGGCGGGGGGAAGTTGCAAAAAAAAAACTCCTCCAAACCTCCAAACCTGCTTGTTTTGGGGTTTGTTTTTTTTTTTTTTTTTCTACCCAAGAACTGTGTGGGGATCACTGGGATCCCTGTGTGGGGAGCCTCTGGGACCCCTGGGAACCATCCCAGTCCCATCCAAAGATTCCTTCCACCCTGGAGCTGTGTGGGGCAGGGTTCTTGGGACCCCTGGGAACCATCCCAGCCCCACCAAAGGCTCCTTCCACCCTGGAGCTGTGTGGGGCAGAGCTCCTGTGACCCCTGGGAACCATCCCAGCCCCATCCAGAGGCTCCTTCTACCCAAGAGCTGTGTGGGGATCCCTGGGATCTGTGTGTGGGGAGCCTCTGGGACCCCTTGGAACCATCCCAGCCCCATCCAAAGATTCCTTTCACCCTGGAGCTGTGTGGGGCAGGGTTCTTGTGACCCCTGGGAACCATCCCAGCCCCACCAAAGGCTCCTTCTACCCAAGAGCTGTGTGGGGATCACTGGAATCTGTGTGTGGGGAACTCCTGGGACCCCTGGGAACCATCCCAGCCCCATCCAGAGGTTCCTTCCACCCTGGAGCTGTGTGGGGCAGGGTTCTTGGGATCCCTGGGAACCCTCCCAGCCCCACTGAGAGGCTCTGTCCCCACACTCCAGAGGCAGAAGGAGCAGAGGAGGGCCTTGGCAGAGCCAGGCCAGGGTCAGTTGACAGCAGCAGCGAGGCACTGAGTCACCAGGACTGTTTTTAGCCCCGGCATGTCAGCAACGTGGAGCGGGACGTTGTTAACAGGCGCTGGGTCAGAGGCCAAATGTTTTCCCTGGCCGGCGTTAAACACCGAGCCTGGAAAGGGCCCAGGGATCCCACACGGGAAAAACATGGGAAAAACATGGACAGGGCTGGCCCCAAACAGCCAGGTAAGGCTGGCCCACCCAGGGAGGGAGAAGCATCAGGCTCTGCTGCGTGTCCTTTGTGTCAGTGAATTTACAGAGTCCATAAAAAACCCCCTTGGTGGTGGCAAGGTGTGGGAAGGAGAGCACAGCTGGGCTTGGCAGCCATTAAGGGGTTAATAATACACACATAGCCTTGTTCTGGTGTCTCTCCATCCCAAAAAATCGTCTTTTATCCCCAAAAAACCCATACAGCTGAGGGATGGCTGTGGAGCATCACCCAGCTGGGTTGGAGGGGCAGGGGGACCCCCAGACTGTCAGACCCCCCAAACAAAGCTGGGCAGGAGCTGCAGAGCCCTGCTGGAAACATCCCTGTCCGACTGACCCGGCTGGGAATTCACAGCCCCTGCCCCCATCCACGGCAGCAATTAAAAATAAAAGTGTGAACAGGCAGGAGGATGGGCTCAGGCACCAGCCCGGTGATTAATCGCGACAGAGGAGGGGACCCGGTGACCTTGGGAGGGACACGCAGGCTCCAGGTCCTGCTGCACATCCCGGGAAAGAAAGGGAAAACCCCGGCCCGGGGTCACTCCGGGCGATTTGGGTGTTGGCCTTTTGAAATAAGCGCATAAATGAGCGATCAGGGGAACAGGCAGGACCTGGGATCCAGCCCAGACACCGCTCCGGGGGCTGGGACAGCCCCGCCACCCGCTCCAAAATCCCAGAAACCATCCCAGAAAGGGGGGAGAAACCCCAGGAAGGGGGCAGAAATCATCCCAGGAAAGGGGCAGAAATTATCCCAGAAAGGGGTCAGAAATCATCCTAGAAAGGGGGCAGAAATTATCCCAGAAAGTGGGGAGAAACCCCAGAAAGGGGGCAGAAATCATCCCAGAAAGGGGCAGAAATTATCCCAGAAAGTGGGGAGAAAGCATCCCAGAAAAGGGGCAGAAATTATCCCAGAAAGGGGGGAGAAATCATCCCAGAAAAGGGGCAGAAATCATCCCAGAAAAGGGGCAGAAATTATCCCAGAAAGTGGGGAGAAATCATCCCAGAAAAGGACAGAAATTATCCCAGAAAGTGGGGAGAAATCATCCCAGAAAAGGGGCAGAAATCATCCCAGAAAAGGGGCAGAAATTATCCCAGAAAGGGGGCAGAAATCATCCCAGAAAAGGGGCAGAAATCATCCCAGAAAGTGGGGAGAAATCATCCCAGAAAAGGGGCAGAAATTATCCCAGAAAGGGGGCAGAAATCATCCTAGAAAGGAGGGAGAAACCCCAGGAAGGGGGCTGAGATCATCTCAGAAAAGGGGCAGAAATTATCCCAGAAAAGGGGCAGAAATTATCCCAGAAAGTGGGGAGAAATCATCCCAGAAAAGGACAGAAATTATCCCAGAAACTGGGGAGAAATCATCCCAGAAAGGGGGCAGAAATCATCACAGAAAGTGGGGAGAAACTACCCAGGAAGGGGGCAGAAATCATCCCATGAAGTGGGGAGAAATCATCCCATAAAATGGAGAGAAATCATCCCAGAAAGTGGAGAGAAACCACCCAGAAACTGTGGAGAAATCATCCCAGAAAGGGGGGCAGAAAACATCCCATAAAACAGGCAGAAAACATCCCATAAAGTGGGGAGAAACCACCCAGAAAGGGGGCAGAAAACATCCCATAAAGAGGGCAGAAATCATCCCAGAAAGTGGGGACAAATCATCCTAAAAAGTGGAGAGAAACCACCCAGAAACTGTGGAGAAATCATCCCAGAAAGGGGGCAGAAAACATCCCATGAAACAGGCAGAAATCACCCCATAAAACAGGAGGAAACCACCCATAAACTGGCGACAGAACCGGCCCAGGGCGCCCCAAGCTCACGGTGCCACCTGCCACCAGCACAAGGTGACAGCGGCCACCCCCTGCCACCCTCCCAGTGCCAGAGGCACTCCCAGCACCGCCTCCCTCCCTCCCTCGGGGCTCCATGCTGCTGCGAGGAGGTAATATTTATAAATATTTATAAATATTTATAAATACTCCCTGTCCAGCCTCCAGCACAGTGGAGGCAGAGCTGGATTAAACAAATTTGGGACAGCCCCTGCCTTGCCCTCCCAAAGCAGCCCGGTGCCCCCCTGGCATCGCCTGCCGTGCCCAGCGCTGCTCACCGCTCCGGAGGGGTTTGTGCTGTGCCCTCCTCGCTGCCAGGCTCAGCTTTCCTGCTCCCTGAAGGTCAAACTGCTCCCTCGGAGCCCCCGCTGCCAGCCCAGCCCCTGGCCTGGCACCGTGCCGCCTCTCCCGGGCACCTTGCTCCGCTTGGAGCCCCTGCAGGAGCCATGAGGGGGGGTTTTTTTGGGTTTTTTTTCCTCCCCACCAAGCTGGGATTTCTCCTTTGCCTGCCCCAAATTTCTCCAAAATGCTCAACTGGCACCCAGCTCCCTCCTCACCTGGCAGCAGGGAAATGCTGGACAGTGTGTGCCAGGTGGATGCAGCCCCCTTCCCTCCTCATTTCCTCCAGAATATTCCCAGCCCCAAAATCCCCAGGGCACATCCTTGCTGCCCTCGCGGCTCCAAGAACCCCCCTGGCCATCCCCACACTGGGAGTTTCAGGTTTATCCGGATTTTGCACCCATTTAACCAAAGGAGGGGAGCCAGGCAGAGCTCAGGGTGTGGGGAGGTTGTTTGGAGCCAAAAGCGCTCCGAGGAAAGGTGACAAAACCCCGCGGGCAATTCCTAGAAGAGGCTTTAAAGATAAGGTGGCACAACCTGAAGGGACATTTGGGGGAGACCTTGAACCCTTCCCAGGTGAGCCCGGCCAGGTGATCCCACCCAGCACTGGCTGCAAATCATCCCACGGTGCCCATCCCAATGCTCCTGCAGCATCCCCCTCCCCAAAATCCCCCCAGAAGTGCCTCTGGGCCTCCAGAGATGGAGCATCCCCCACTCCCGATTTTCTCAGCCTCCCAGGAAAAGGAGCAGCACCCAGAGCTCATCCCAGACTCCCAATTCCTGGGAATTCCACGTCAGGGAACCTCTGATGTGCAGGCAAATCCGCAGGTAAAACCTGCTCCAAGCACAAGCCAAGTGCCAGGAGGAGGGACAGGAATTTGGAAGGGCTCGAGAGGAAAAAAAGATGGGCACAAACCCCCTGTGTGGGCAGGGAGAGATCCCCCCTTCCACCCTCCCAAGCGTCACAGCCCCGGTGACAACGGCCACAGGGCCACCAGTGTGACCCTGCCTGCCCCCACACCAGCACCACGCAGCTTGGAGAAGCTCATGGAGGTGGTGCCACCATGGGAAGGCCACCACAGGGTGGTGACAGCACAGCTGGCACCTCTGAGCACCTTCTGCTCTTTTATGGGGTGGTCAAACACCCAGCGCTGCCTCCCTGGGATCCTCCTGGGATCCTCCTGGGATCCTCCTGGGATCCCTCACAGCAAACAGGGCTCTGGGAAGTTGTCACAGAGTGCCACAGGGACGTGTGGTGGCACTGCCAGCCGCAGCCCCACGCCCAGGACACCGCTGCTGGCCCCTGGCCACTTCCCCTTTGTCCAGGATATGGGATAACCCCACACAGGGCACTTACAAAACAGCTCCCTTGAGGCGAGCCCAGCTCGAGCTGCCCTCCAAAACCACCCCAAAATCTCCAGATGGGAGTTTTCGTCCCCACAGAGGGGACAGGGGTGTGGCAGCTCCATCCCTGCTCTCTACACCCCAAGGAACAAGGGAGAAACATCAATCCAGGGATGGGATCCCATCACATCAGACCCTCAGCACTCCAGGACACGAGGATGGTTTTTCTCTCAGCACTGTGGGTTTTTTGGGGGGCACACGAGGATGTTTTTCCCATCACCACTGTGGGTTTTTTGGGGGGCACACAAGGATGTTTTCCCCTCAGCACTGTGGGTTTTTTGGGGGGGACACGAGGATGGTTTTCCCTCAGCACTGTGGGTTTTTTGGGGGGGACACAAGGATGTTTTTCCCTCAGCACTGTGGGTTTTTTGGAGGGGACACGAGGATGTTTTCCCCTCAGCACTCCAGGACACGAGGATATTTTTCCCTCAGCACTGTGGGTTTTTTGGGGGGGACGTTTTCCCCTCAGCACTGTGGGTTTTTGGGGGGGACACGAGGATGTTTTTCCCATCACCACTGTGGGTTTTCTGGGGGGGACACGTGGATGTTTTTCCCTCAGCACTGTGGGTTTTTGGGGGGGGGGGGACACCCCCAGCACTGCAGAACATGAGGATGTTTTCCCCTCAGCACTGTGGGTTTTTTTGGGGGGGACACGAGGATGTTTTCCCCTCAGCAATGTGGGTTTTTTGGGGGAGACACGAGGATGTTTTTCCCTCAGCATTCCAGGACACGAGGATGTTTTTCCCATCACCACTGTGGGTTTTTTGGGGGGGACACCCCCAGCATGGCCTCCCCAGCCCCATTTCCCTGTTTGTTTTCAGGCCACTCCACCCTCAGCCCTGCGAACGTCCCCCCACATCATCCCAAGGGGCTCTTCCCACTTCCCACAGCAAACAGGGAAGGCAGGGCAGGACAGAAGGGACCAGGAACACGCTGGACGCCCACGAAACGTGGAAAAAGCAATAAAATCCTGGCTGGGATCACGGCTCCATCCCAAACACCCGGATGCTGGATGGCCCAGCTCCACCCCGGCGCAGTTCGCAGTTTCCTACTGATAAGGTCGGGCAGGCAGGGCCGGCATCCCTCGGAAAACACCAAAAAAACCCACAAAAACCACGCGGGGCCGGCATCCCTCAGGAAGCGAAGTTAGAATCCCTCAGGAAGCAAAGCCAGCATCCTTTGGAAAACACCAGGCTGCCCTCCACAGCTCAGCACCCGCTGGTCTGACCCCCCTAAAACCCCAATCTGGGTGTTCCCCCAAATCCAGCCACCCCAAATCCCAAATTCCCAGCACTTCCCAGCCACGCTGGATCCCTCCTGCAGCAGGTGAGCACAGGCTGGGAGGAACCAGCTCCATCCCAGCTCCAGCCGGAGCAGCCGTGCATGAAGCCAAGCAAACATGGCAGGGAAGTACAGAAGAAGGGGGGGGGAAGAAAAAATAACCCCCCCAAACCCTCCCTTCGCTGCCTGCCGGACTCTGTTATATAAAAAACACCAACTCCCCCCGTGCCCCAAGCGCTGGGATTCCTGGAAACGAGCCCTGCTTTCCCCGGACTCGCACCGGCTTATTTATTTATCTTACACCAGCACAATAACCACCAGATTTTCTTCGTGTTTCTTTTTTTGTTTGTTTTTTTTTCGGGTTTTTTTGTTGGTGGTGTTTTTATTTTTGTTGTTTGTTTGGGGGGGTTTTTTTTGTTGTTTTTGTTTTTTGGGTTTTTTTTAAGGAAATTTCCCCCATCATCTGACTGCCCGAAGCTCTTGGGGTCTGCGTAATCGTTTCCTGCCTCGCAATTAATTCGTGAATGTAATTAATTCGGTGGCTGAAGGTTTGGGGCAGCCCCTCTATTGCCTCCCCAAATTCCCTGGGAGAGTGGGGGGGGGGGGGGACACGCTGTGTGTCCTCTTGGTGACCCCCCCTCAAAAAAAATTCGTGTGACACGAGGTATCCCAATTTCCCCATCATTTCACACCCCAAAAGGGCTCCTCACTTTGCGTCCCCCAAACCGGGGGGTGCCAGAGACCCCCCGGGTGTCCCGAAGCATCCGTGCCTCAGTTTCCCCACCGTGTTCGGGGGGGTTCCCGATGGGAAAGGCGACTCGGGCTGGTCCCCCCGAGCTGCCGGGGGGCTCACAGTCCCCCGGGACCACCGGGTTTTGGGAGAAAGAGCTGCTGGAGACCCCCAAAACCCCCTCGCCCCGCAGGAGCCTCCCGGGGGCCGCTGCCGGGGGCGAGGGCGGCACGGATTTGGGGGGGGAACGATTAATTACAGCAAAATAAGGGGAAAAAAAGCAACTACGAGTTCAAAGCGCTCCGGGATGGCGCAGGACAGGGGGGAGCACCCCAAAACCCCCCCGGCACCCCCAAAAGGTGGGCTGCGAGCCCCCCCTGCCCCGGGGACCCCCGCGACCCCCGGCCCCGCACTCACCGGTGGGGAACGGGGAGACACGAAGTGGTTCGGCTCGGCTCGGCTCGGCTCGGTTCGGTTCGGCCCCTCGGCTCGGTTCAGCCCCGTTCGGCCCCGCTCGGGTCGGTTCGGCTGCGCTCGATTCGGCTCCTCAGCTCAGTTCGGCCCCACTCGGCTCGTCTCGGCCCGGCTCGGTCCGGTTGAACTCCTCGGCTCGGCCCGGCTCGGTCCGGTTGGGCTCCTCGGCTGGGTTCGGCGCAGTCCGGCCCGGTTGGGCTCGGCTCGGCTCGGCTCGGCACGGTCCGGTTAAACTCCTCGGCTCGGCCCGGCTCGGCTCGGCTCGGTCCGGTCGAACTCCTCGGCTGGGCTCGGCCCGGCTCGGCTCGGCACGGTCCGGTTGAACTCCTCGGCTGGGCTCGGCGCAGTCCGGCCCGGTTGGGCTCGGCTCGTCCCGGCTCGGTCCGGCTGAACTCCTCGGCTCGGCCCGGCTCGGTCCGGTTGAACTCCTCGGCTGGGCTCGGCGCAGTCCGGCCCGGTTGGGCTCAGCTCGGCCCGACTCGGCTCGGCACGGTCCGGTTGGGCACCTCGGCCCGGCTCGGCCCGGCCCGGCCCGGCTCGGCCCGGCTCGGTCCGGTTGAACTCCTCGGCTCGGCTCGGCCCGGCTCGGTCCGGTTGAACTCCTCGGCTGGGCTCGGCGCAGTCCGGCCCGGTTGGGCTCGGCTCGGCCCGGCTCGGCCCCGTGCCGAGGGAGGGCAGCAGCAGCGCCCGCCCGGCCCGGCCCGGCCCGTTCCGCTGCCCTCGCTGCGCTCCGCCGGCCCCGGGCACGCCGGGAGCTGCAGCCGCGCCTGCCGGGACTTGTAGTCCCCGCCCGGCACGGCAGGAGCTCGGGCTCGGCGCCTTCCTGCCCTGAAAAGGGGACGGCGTCCTCCCCAACAACCTTGGGGGTTTTCTGCCCTAAAGTGAGTGTTTCCACCCCAAAAACGTGGATGGGGTGGGAGGTGAAGGCAGCGCTGTGTTCGGGTTGTGCAGTCCCGCGAGCCAGGATGGTGCATCCCTTTTCCTCAGGAATACAGGGGGATCACGGAGCTCCTGGCACTGGGATCCTGCATCCCTTTGGACTGGGACCGCATGGGAATTGTGGAGCTCCTTGCACCGGGATCCTGCATCCCTTTGGACCAAGATTCTGCATCCCCCAAGATCCTGCATCCCTTTGGACTGGGACCACATGGGAATTGTGGAGCTCCTTGCACCAGGATCCTGCATCCCCTTGGACTGGGACCACATGGGAATTGTGGAGCTCTTTGCACCAGGATCCTGCATCCCTTTGGACCAAGATCCTGCATCCCTTTGGACCAAAATCCTGCATCCCTTTGGACCAAGATCCTACATCCCTTTGGACCAAGATCCTACATCCCTTTGGACCAAGATCCTGCATCCCTTTGGACCAAGATCCTGCATCCCTTTGGACCAAGATCCTGCATCCCTTTGGACCAAGATCCTCTATCCCTTTGGACCAAGATCCTGCATCCCTTTGGACCAAGATCCTGCGTCCCTTTGGACCAAGATCCTGCATCCCTTTGGACTGGGATCATAGAGCTCCTTGCACCAGGGTCCTAAATCCCTTTGGAGCAAGATCCTGCATCCCTTTGGACCTGGACCGCATGGGAATTGTGGAGCTCTTTGCACCGGGATCCTGCATCCCTTTGGACCAAGATCCTACATCCCCTTGGACCAAAATCCTGCATCCCTCGAGTCCCCAGGTGACCCTGTCACCTCCCTGCCTGTGGCCACAGGATGGGCTTTCAGTGGCCAGGATCATCCTGCTGGCAGATCGGGCTGGAAACAGCGGATTTTTGAGGTGGCCACGTGCCACGGATAATGTCCTGCATCTCCTGAGCATCACCCAGGTCATCCTTCAGGTCATCCCTGGGCACCCTGCACCATCCCGATCCATCTGACCCTGCATCCAGCAGCTCCTCTGGGGGCCATCCACACCTCAAGCACCTCAAATCCCTCCTCCCCACCCTCCGTGGAGGCTGCAGCCATGAGTTTTACCCCCGGAGAACAATCCCAGGGTGTTTTCCTCAGCCTGAGCAGTCTTTGCTGTAATCCCTGATTTAATCCCTCCTTTATTTGCAGGTACACGTGAGCAAGTCCCCCTTGGGAAAAAAGAAACCCCTCCCCAAGGAACCTGGAGCTGTTCACACGCAGCTCCTCCTGCTCCAAACTGGTTTCAAAGCCTCCAGCCAGGGCTCAGCCTGGAATTCTCCCACTCATCCTCACCCTCAGGCCCTTCATCTTCACTCCTACCTGCCCTCAAACCCTTCATCCTCATCCCCAGACCCCTCATCCTCACCCTCACCCCAAGATCCCTCATCCTTACCTCCATCTTGCCCCCAGACCCTTCATCCCCACCCCAGACCCCTCATCCTCATCCCCAAACCCCTCATCCTCACCCCAGACCCTTCATCCTCACCCCAGACCCCTCATCCTCACCTCCAGACCCTTCATCCTCACCCCCAGACCCTTCATCCCCACCCCCAGACCCCTCATCCTCACCCCCAGACCCTTCATCCTCACCTCCATACCCTTCATCCTCACCTCCAGACCCTTCATCCTCACCCCCAGACCCCTCATCCTCACCCCCAGACCCCTCATCCTCACCTCCAGACCCCTCATCCTCACCTCCAGACCCTTCATCCTCACCTCCAGACCCCTCATCCCCAACTCCACCCTCCCCCAGACCCCTCATCTTCATCCCTACCTGCTCCCAAACCCCTCATCCTCACCTCCAGACCCCTCATCCTCACCTCCAGACCCTTCATCCTCACCCCCCAGACCCTTCATCCTCACCCCCAGACCCCTCATCCTCATGTCCAGACCCCTCATCCCCACCCCAGACCCCTCATCCTCACCCCCAGACCCCTCATCCTCGTCCCCTCCCGGAGCAGGGGCACAGCAGGGACAGTGCCAGCCCCACATGTCACCTCTGGGCATGGCCAGCTCGGTGCCCTTTCCTCCTGCCCTCAATCCAAACATCTGATAAGAAGCCAAACACTGTCCTTATCACCCCGATAAAGGATTTTTCTCCCCCAGCTCCAACTTTCCGGAAAATGAGGCACAACCACCCCCGCCCTTTCCAGCAAATGGAAATTCCTGCTGCTGGGAATGTTCCAGGTGCCTGCAGACCTGCTGGCTGCTTCCACCCGAGCTTTTGGGCACGGAGTGATGCTTGGAAGCGTCAGAAGCTCGGGAATTCCCCGCCAGGTTCTGGATCTGCCTTGGCCTGGCAGGTCCTGCAGGGAGCAAAGGGGACAGCAAAGAGCAGCAGGGACACGGGCGGCCTTTGCCTGTCCCCACCCTGCTTCCAGCAGAAAATTCCCATTCCAGAGGGAAGAGGAGGAGGAGGAGGAATGCCCTTCCCCACTGTCCGCTCCATCCCAGCGCGCTGTGTCAATATTTTGACTCAAAGCTCGGAGCGCTTTGTGTCCTTCCCCCGGGAGGTGACGGAGCCGTGAGCGCATCGGAGAGCGAGCTCGGCTGGGAAAGAATTCCTAAAAAACCACTCTGGATGCTGGGAAAAGAGTGGGGTCACCCAAATTCTCCCTGCCTGGGGTGCTCCCCATCCCCTTGGGCCACACCGCCCCCCAATTCCCGATATTCCAGCGCGGATTTCCCAGGATGAACAGCTCAATTCAGGGCTCGGGGGTTATTTGGGTGCCATGATTCAGCTCTGGGGATAAAGAACTTCTGAGAAACTCCGGGAAAGAGCGGGGTCACCCAAATTCTCCCTGCCTGGGGTGCTCCCCATCCCTCCCCCCCCCAATTCCCGATATTCCAGCGCGGATTTCCCAGGATGAACAGCTCAATTCAGGGCTCAGGGGTTATTTGGGTGTCGTGACCCACCTCACAGCCTCAGAATCCCGCTGGGATACCCCACAGGGCTTTGGCAAAGCTTTTCCAGCTGCAGGGAAGCTCAGGGGTTTCCCCTCTGAGGTTTCCCGAGGGTTGGAGATGGGAACTGCCCATCCCCGGGGCTTTATCCCAGGGCCTGGAGCTCATCCCAGCACTTCACCTTGCTGGAGCAAGGAATTGTGAGCCAATTGTTGTGATTTTTAAAAGTGTTCAGGTATTTTTTAATAGTTTTTTTTAAAGTTTTAAAGTTCTTTTAAAAGTTTTTTATGCTTTTTGATGTTTACAGATCTCAGCTGGAGTTTTCACGCCCTGTTCATGTAATTAATGATTGTTTTGTATTCTTTTTTTTGTGGGAGGAGAGAATTGATGGACTGTTGCTTTGACCAGTGTGGTTGGAGATGTGGGAATTCCATCCCCCAATCCACTGCCACTTTTGGGATTCTAGATATTGCAAGGTCAGAAATAAAATTAGCTATTTTTCTCTTTTGATCTTCTGTGTGCTCATTTCACATCCAGCAGCGACAACACAGAACCCCTCAGGCTGCTCCCAACAAACCCAGGAGCTCGGAGACCTTTTTGGGATGGTTTTTTTGGGATGGTTTATTTGCTACAGGACCCGTGGGCATGCACAGATCCCGAGGGATGGGGACTGGGAATGCTGTGGTGCTCCATGGGTGGGAGAGGGGCTGGAATTCTCTTCCTCTAGGCCGACGGGGCGAAGCCCACGCGGCTGTTGGCCATGTCGAAGGCGGTGTAATATTCCTTCAGGAAAACGTTTCCCAGGATCCAGAGGGGCTGCCCGTCCTGGGAGGGCAGGTAGGTGCCCTCCATGGCCAGGGTGCAGTAGCCGTGGCTCTGGAGGGGGAGAACGGGGGGTCAGCGCCTCCAGCAGCACGGGGAGAGCTCCGGGATCTTCCCGGGAATGCCTCGGGAATGCTCGGGATGTTCCCAGTGCCTCGGGGTCTTCCCAGTGCCTTGGGATGTTCCCTGTGCCTCAGGATGTTCCCAGTGCCTCGGGAACTCTTGGGATGCTCCCAATGCCTGGGGAACACTCGGGAACTTTCAGGATGTTTCCGGTGCCTCGAGATGTTCCCGGTGTCTGGGGATTTTCCCGGTGCCCAGGGAACTCTCGGGAACTCTCGGGATCTTCCCAGTGCCTCGGGAACTCTTGGGAATGCTTGAGATGTTCCCAGTGCCTCGAGATGTTCCTGGTGCCTGGGGAACTCTTGGGAACTCTCAGGATGTTCCCGGTGCCCGAGGATCTCTTGGGAACTCTTGGGATGTTCCCAGTGCCTGGGGATGTTCCCAGTGCCCGAGGATCTCTGGGGATCTCTTGGAATCACTCAGGATTTCTCAGGGTCTCTCAGGATCCCTGGGGCTCTCTGGGGGTCTCTGGGGCTCTCTGGGGCTCTTTGGGGATCTCTGGGGATCTCTGGGGCTCTCTGGGGATCTCTGGGGATCTCTCAGGATCTCTGGGGCTCTCTGGGGATCTCTGGGGATCCCTGGGGATCTCTTGGAATCACTCAGGATCTCTAGGGATCTCTCAGGGTCTCTCAGGGTCTCTCAGGATCTCTGGGGGTCTCCGGGGGTCTCTGGGGATCTCTGGGGATCTCTCAGGATCTCTCAGGATCTCTGGGGCTCTCTGGGGCTCTCTGGGGATCCACCCCACGTACGTTCAGGACGTAGGCGGTCGGGGGCAGCGCGAGCCGGGCGCCGCCGATGCCGAAGGCGATGTGGGGTTTGCTGTGGGTGTCGGCGCAGTCCACGGCGTACTGGGGGGACAGAGACACGGGGGGTGGCAGGGAGGGGACAGAGGGACAAACACCCCCCTGGCAGTGCCACCCCACGGAATCACGGAATGGTTTGGGCGGGAAGGGAATTTAAAGGTCACCAGTGCCACCCCTGCCGTGGCAGGGACACCTTCCCCTGTCCCGGGCTGCTCCAGCCTGGCCTTGGACACTCCCAGGGATCCACAGCTGCTCTGGGAAATCCACCCACCCTCACAGGGAGGGATTCCTTCCCTGTACCAAACCTCAATTCCTTCCCTTTCAATCTGAACCCATCCCCCCTTGTCCCGTCACTCCAGGCCCTTGTCCCAAGTCCCTCTCTGGCTTCCCTGTAGCCCCTTCAGATCCTGGAGCAGGCTGTGAGGTTTCCACACAAGGTTCTCCTCTCCACCTTTCCCAGCCTGATTCCCCCCTGCAGTCCCTTTCCCTGCAGGTGCCACGTGAGTTTTGTGGGACCTGGTCGAGCCCAGGGCTCTGACTCCCACTGCTCCAGACCCCAAAATCCCCACACTCACCCCATAGCTGGTCTCCTGCGCTCCCAGGGCCTCCAGGATGCTCTCCAGGTACTCCTGGGGCACGGTCAGCAGGAATGTCCCCGTGTCCACGATGGCCTGGCAGCCCTGGCTGCACCAGCTGGTCACTGACTGCCCGATGGCAAACCTGGCAGGGGACAAGGGGACAAGGACGTGGCTTTGGGCGCCCTAAACCCAAAGCACCGAGCCCGGAGCCCTGCAATGGCCAGAGGTACAAACAGCACTCACTCCTCAAGTGCCACCTGCCAGTAAAGCTTCTGTGTCACCGGCGCCCACGCGATGTCCCCCTGGAAGAGCCGAGGGTCGATGCCCCCGAGGATGAGCTCTCCCCCGTACTCGTAGGTGGGCTGGCTGCGGAAAAACAGAGTCACAGCAGCAGAGAAACCCTGTGCTCAACGTGGGCTGCAGAGGGATCAATCCCCAAGGAAACCTCATGGGGACAGGAAGGGGACACCAGGACATCCAGGCAGGGGACACCACGACATTTGGACACCAGGAGATGCAGACAGGGGACACCAGGACATTTGGACACCAGGACATGCAGACAGGGGACACCAGAACATGGAGACAGGGGACACCAGGACATTTGGACACCAGGACATGCAGACAGGGGACACCAGAAGATGCAGACAGGGGACACCAGGACATTTGGACACCAGGACATGCAGCAGGGGACACCAGGACATGCAGACAGGGGACACCAGGACATTTGGACACCAGGACGTGCAGACAGGGGACACCAGGACATTTGGACACCAGAACATGAAGACAGGGGACACCAGGACATGCAAGCGGTGGACACCAGGACATTTGGACACCAGGACATTTGGACACCAGGACATGCAGACAGGGGACACCAGGACATGCAGCAGGGGACACCAGGACATGCAGACAGGGGACACCAGGACATTTGGACACCAGCTCATGCAGACAGGGGACACCACGACATTTGGACACCACGATGTGCAGACAGGGGACACCAGGACATTTGGACACCAGGACATGCAGACAGGGGACACCAGGAGATGCAGCAGGGGACACCAGGACATGCAGCAGGGGACACCAGGACATTTGGACACCAGGACGTGCAGCAGGGGACACCAGGACATTTGGACACCAGGACGTGCAGCAGGGGACACCAGGACATGCAGCAGGGGACACCAGGACATTTGGACACCAGGACATTTGGACACCAGGACATGCAGACAGGGGACACCAGGAGATGCAGACAGGGGACACCAGGACATTTGGACACCAGGACATGCAGCAGGGGACACCAGGAGATGCAGACAGGGGACACCAGGAGATGCAGACAGGGGACACCAGGACGCGCAGAGCGCCCTGGAAGGTTTTACCGTGAGAAGTAAAAGCTGAAGACGGGCTCAGCCAGCTGCTCCTGCTCCAGCATCCCCCCCAGCGCCGTGGCCGTGCCCCCCACGGCCAGCGAGGGGAAGGCCATGCCCAGGATGCCATCGAAGTCCGCGAAGTAGAACGGCTGGGTGGGCTCCTCCTGGCTGAGCCCAAACTCCTGCTGTGTGACAGTGATGCTCTGGATCTGCAGGGACGGCATCCAGCTCAGCCAGGCAAGCCTGAGGGCACCAGGCAGAGGGGAAAATTGGGAAAAAAACCCAGGATTTGGGTCAAAACCCAGCCAAAGGCTGCCAGGGATTGTCCAAGTGCAGCACAGGGAACGGGATTGGCCCCAAGGTTCCTCCTGGGCTCATTCCATGGGGACAGGACATGGGATCGGCCCCAAGACAGGACACGGGATCGGCCCCAAAGCTCCTCCTGGGCTCATTCCATGGGGACAGGGCACAGGATCGGCCCCAAGGCTCCTCCTGGGCTCATTCCATGGGGACAGGACATGGGATCAGCCCCAAGGCTCCTCCATGGGGACAGGACACGGGATCGGCCCCAAGGCTCCTCCTAGGCTCATTCCATGGGGACAGGACATGGGATCGGCCCCAAAGCTCCTCCTGGGCTCATTCCATGGGGACAGGACATGGCAGCAGGAGGCAGGGGTGGCACGGGGGACACTCACCCTCAGCGTGTCCCAGCCCAGCGCGATGGTGACGGAGCCGCTGCCGTAGGACACGGTGCAGGACCGGCCACCGGGGCTGAAGGTGCTCGAGGCACTGGGCTTGAACTTGGCGTGGTTGACTGGGACAGGGAGAAGGGGGAAAAGCTCTGGGCACGGGATTTCACTGCTGGGATAATTCCCAGGGATCAGATCCTGTTCTGCAGTGGGATTTCATTCCTGGGATAATTCCCCGGGACAAGGTTCTGCTCTGCAGTGGGATTTCATTGTTGGATACTCCCTTGGGATAATTCCCAGGGATCAGGTCCTGCTCTGCAGTGGGATTTCACTGCTGGGATAATTTCCCGGGATCAGGTCCTCCTCTGCAGTGGGATTTCACTGCTGGGCATAATTCCCAGGGATCAGATCCTGTTCTGCAGTGGGATTTCACTGCTGGGATAATTCCCAGGGATCAGATCCTGCTCTGCAGTGGGATTTCATTCCTGGGATAATTCCCAGGGATCAGGTCCTGCTCTGCAGTGGGATTTCACTCCTGGATGCTCCCTTGGGGCAATTCCCAACTCCTGGGGATGGGGACAGGCTGCTCCTCTGTCCTGTTCTCTTTTGGGCTGTGGGGTTTCCATCCCAGCTTTGTCCAGATCCCTCCCCGGGCGATCCCTTTGGATTTTAGCTTTTATATTTTTCCCATCATTGCAATCCCGGCGTGACAGGGGAAGGAGGTGGAAGAACAGGGACAAGGACGAGGCTTTGGGCACCCTCTGGCACCTAAACCCATCTTGGGGTGCTCTGAAACGCCGGGAGCCTGGAGCCCCGCAGTGCTGGGATAGTCGGCACTAATTAGCGAGTACTAATTACTCCCCGGAGCAGGAGTAGCTCTGCTCACAGCAGCCCGGGGTACTCACAGCAAGCAGGACTCTTGCAGTCCGTGGAGGGCACCCACAGGTTGGAGGAGCCGGTGTCAAAGAGCACCAGAAACTTTTGGGGGGGCTCCCCGATGCTGATCTCCCCAAAGTAGGAGGACTGGAAAAAACAGGGAATTTCCACTGGCCACGGGCTCAGGGACAGACCAGGGACCCCCCCTGACATCCCCCAGCCAGGCAGGAGCAGGCTGAGCTCTCATCCTGCTTCTAGTACCCCAAAAATTGAAATATTCAATAATTCTTGGGGGTTTGTTTCACACAGAAAAGCCCCTTTTGGCTCTTTGGGGTGGGGGTCAGCTTCTTCAGAGCTCAAAGCAGAAGTTAAAGAGTGGGGAAAAGCGATTTAAGAGTGGGGGGAAACAATTTAAAAATGGGGGGAAAAGCAATTTAAGGATGTGTAAAAAAGCAATGTAAGAGTGGGGGGGAAATTTAAAGGTGGGGACAAAATCAATTTAAGAGTGGGGGGAAATTTAAAGGTGGGGAAAAAAGCAATTTAAGGGTCGGGGGAAAACAATTTAAGGATGGGGGAAACAATTTAAGGATGGGGGAAAGTGATTTAAGGATGGGGGAAACAATTTAAGGATGGGGGGAAAAGCAATTTAAGGATGGGGGGAAAAAATTTAAGGATGGGGGGGAAAAGAGATTTAAGGATGGGGAAAAAAGCAATTTAAGGGTGGGGGGAAAAAGTGATTTAAGGGTGGGGAAAAAAGCAATTTAAGGATGGGGGAAACAATTTAAGGATGGGGGAAAAAGCGATTTAAGGATGGGGAAAAAAGCAATTTAAGGGTGGGGAAAAAAAGCAATTTAAGGGTGGGGAAAAAAGCAATTTAAGGATGGGGAAAAAAGCAATTTAAGGATGGGGAAAAAGGCAATTTAAGGGTGGGGAAAAAAGCAATTTAAGGATGGGGAAAAAAGCAATTTAAGGGTGGGAGGAAAGCAGTTTCTCACTCCTGGAGGCTCAGGGTTGCTGTGGCAGTGGGAGGGAGGAAGGGCAGGCAGGAGGGGAGCGTGGGGCACTCACGTCCAGGTGGTTGGTTATGGGCTGCCTGACCACGGAGCCCTGCCTGGGCTGGTATTTCTTCACGGGATCGTATTTGATGTGCCTCAGGAAATCGTCCAGCACCCCGGCTGCCCTCATCTTGTCCCGGATGGACAGGCCTTTCTTCAGGCTGATCCTGCACAGACAGGGACAAAACGCAACAGGGCACAGCAGGAAACGAGGAGATTTCAGCATTTCCAAAGGCTGAGTTCTCTGGGCTCCTTTGAGTCGTGACAGGAGCTCTCCATGTCCCTGAGAACTGCTCTCCATGTCCCCAAGAACCGCTCTCCATGTCCCCACGAACTGCTCTCCATGTCCCCGAGAACCGCTCTCCATGTCCCCGAGAACCGCTCTCCATGTCCCCACGAACTGCTCTCCATGTCCCCAAGAACCGCTCTCCATGTCCCCACGAACTGCTCTCCATGTCCCCAAGAACTGCTCTCCATGTCCCCACAAACTGCTCTCCATGTCCCCAAGAACTGCTCTCCATGTCCCCAAGAACTGCTCTCCATGTCCCCAAGAACCGCTCTCCATGTCCCCAAGAACTGCTCTCCTCATCCCAGGAGCTGCTCCCCAGGTTCCAGGAGCTCTCCATGTCCCAGGAGCTGCTCTCCACATCCTGTGGAGCATCCCGTGCTTTCCATGCCCTAGGAGCTCTCCACATCCCAGGAGCTGCTCTCCACTCCCAGGATCTCTCCATGCCCCAGGACCTCTCCATGCCCAGGATGTCTCCATTCCCCAGGCCCTCTCCATGCCCAGGATCTGCTCTCCATTCCCCAGGATCTCTCCATTCCCCAGGACCTCTCCATGCCCAGGCCCTCTCCATGCCCAGGATCTCTCCATGCCCAGGACCTCTCCATGCCCAGGATCTCTCCATTCCCCAGGCCCTCTCCATGCCCAGGATCTGCTCTCCATGCCCAGGATCTCTCCATTCCCCAGGATCTCTCCATGCCCAGGTCCTCTTCAATCCCAGGGTCTGCTCTCCATTCCCCAGGATCTCTCCATGTTCCAGGACCTCTCCATGCCCAGGACCTCTCCATTCCCCAGGACCTCTCCATTCCCCAGGCCCTCTCCATGCCCAGGACCTCTCCATGCCCCAGGCCCTCTCCATGCCCAGGATCTCTCCATGCCCAGGGTCTGCTCTCCATGTCCCAGGACCTCTCCATGCCCAGGACCTCTCCATGCCCAGGGTCTGCTCTCTATGTCCCAGGACCTCTCCATGCCCAGGCCCTCTCCATGCCCAGGACCTCTCCATGTCCCAGGCCCTCTCCATGCCCAGGATCTCTCCATGCCCAGGATCTCTCCATGTCCCAGGATCTCTCCATGCCCAGGATCTCTCCATGCCCAGGCCCTCTCCATGCCCCTGGATCTCTCCATGCCCAGGCCCTCTCCATGTCCAGGATCTGCTCTCCATGCCCCAGGGGCTGCTCTCCATGTCCAGGAGCTCTCCACATCCCAGGATCAGCTCTCCATTCCCCAGGATCTCTCCATGCCCAGGATCTCTCCATTCCCCAGGATCTCTCCATGCCCAGAACCTCTCCATGCCCAGGAGCTGCTCTCCATGCCTAGGATCTGCTCTCCATGCCCCAGGACTTCTCCATGCCCCAGGCCCTCTCCATGCCCAGGACCTCTCCATGTCCCAGAACCTCTCCATGCCCAGGATCTCTCCATGCCCAGGGTCTGCTCTCCATGCCCAGGCCCTCTCCATGCCCAGGAGCTGCCCCGGGCTGTGACACCCGTGCAATCTCCTCTCTCCATCCTCCACGCTCTCACCCACCTGACCGCGCCCTCCGCCACCTGCAGACACGCCAGGACCACCAGGAGCCACTTCATGGTGCCGAGCAGCCTCGTCAGGACCTCGGGAGGCGACAGGGAGGCCTTTTATCCCGGGAGGCAGTGCCCGCTCTGATGTGCCGCTCTCCGCTTGGCACCTCCCGACCCGGCCTCAAGGGCCGCTTTGTGCTCCGGACCCCGCGGGACCGGCGGCCTCGGGGGCGAGATCAAAGCGCCCCGGTGAGATAAGGGCAGCGCTTATCAGGGACCAGCGGCCACACGTCACCGCGCCCGGCCGGGGCTGCGCTCGCCAAAAGCTGAGCCAACCTTGCCCCAAGACAAAGGGACCTGCGGCTCTCGGCCTGGCAGGGAAAGGCTTTGGCTGCTCTCCTTCCGCCGCCGGACAGAGCGGGGATGGAGGCGGAGAGGACGCGCGGCAAGCAGATGGAGCCCATCAGGTTCCTCCTGGCGTTTCCTCCAGGATGGTCTCCAGGTTCCTTCTCTCATTTCCTCCAAGGTGGTCTCAAGGTTCCTCCTCTCAGTTTTTCCAGGATGATCTCCAGGTTCCTTCTTTCATTCCCTTCAGGATGGTCCCCAGGTTCCTCCTCTCATTTCCTTCAAGTTGATCCTCAGGTTCCTTCTCTCATTCCCTCCAGGATGGTCCCCAGGTTCCTCCTCATTTCCTCCAAGGTGGTCTCCAAGTTCCTTCTCTTGCTTTTTCCAGGATGATCTCCAGGTTCTTTCTCATTTCCTCCAGGATGGTCCCCAGGTTCCTCCTCATTTCCTTCAAGATGGTCCCCAGTTCCTTCTTTCATTCCCTTCAGGATGGTCCCCAGGTTCCTTCTCTCATTTCCTTCAAGGTGATCCTCAGGTTCCTTCTCTTGCTTTTTCCAGGATGATCTCCAGGTTCTTTCTCTTATTTCCTCCAAGATGGTCCCCAGTTCCTTCTCTCATTTCCTCCAAGGTGGTCCCCAGGTTCTTTCTCTCATTCCCTCCAGGATGGTCCCAGTTCCTTTCTCTCATTTCCTCCAGCGTGGTCCCCAGGTTCATTCCCTGGTTTGCTCTGAGGTGGTCCCCAGAGCTGTCCTGCCTTCTCCTCTTCATCAGCACCCCAGACCTTCACTCCAGGACATGAGCTCCTTTCCATGCCCTACCTGCTCCTCTTTCCCTGTTTGGACAGGAATCCCCCAGTTTTCCCGTTCATTGGTTTATTTGGTGGAGCACACGCAGGTGCTGTGACCCCCAGGAAGGTGCAGCCCTCAGGATTTGACCCACACTCCACATCCCCCCACCAGCCCAGAAAGTCAGAAGACTCCTTGTTGACTTTCTTTTTCCATGAAAACAAAAAACCCCAAGCACACACTTCCTAAATCGCCAACAAACACCCAACCAACCGAAACATTCTGAGTTATAACCCAAATACTCTTTAGAAAACGGACCAAAATGGGTTTGGTCACAATCTAAATATTTCCTAGCAAACAAACCAAAGCCTTTTTGGTGATAACCAAACTATTTTCTGGCAAAGGGGCTGTTATTCAGATATTTTCCAGAGCTCGTCCAGGAATGCTCACATCCCAAATCCAAGCGAGACAGCTCTTGGAAAAAGATCTTCTCCATCCCGTGCCAGCACGGGTTCCGTTCCCTCGGGAGCACCGGGTGTGTCCTGAGCTGTGGGTGTGTGTTCCATTTGCCATCCCTCAGAGCTGGGGCAGTTCTCTGCTCATGGGGCATTTTCTTTATCTCTTCCACACCCAATCCTCCCTCCATGAAATCTCTTCTCTTAATGGGCTATTAATTATTCATTAGCTTCTCTTCATGAGCAATTATTAATTATCTTCTGTTCATGGGCCAGCGAGTGTCCCTGCATGGCTGAGAAAATTCCATCATCCATGGGGAACTGCTCCACCCAGGGGAGGAGCCAAGAATTCCTACTTGGATATAATCTGGGATTTTGGGATACCAGAACAGCCTTTCCACTGCATTCCCAGAGGAGCCCAGGCCCATCTCCCCCAGCCCTGGAGCTCCAGAGGAAAACTCCCCCCTTGTGCAGGATCCTGCTCCAGCAGAAGCACAGCTGGCACTGCAGCAGCCCTGGCAGGAAGGTTGGATTCTGGAGACTGGATAAAAAATTGAATTCTGGCGGAAAGCTGTGGGAGTCCAGAGCTTCCCTCTGGCTGCCCTGGCAGGTCTGGGACCCTGGCAGGGGTCAGGAACCCCCCTGGACAGAGCCCCCAGAGACACTGGCTGTGATCTCTGTCCATGGAAAAGAGTTTTCAATCTCACAGAATGAATTACCAGCACTGAGGGTTTGATATAAGGAATAATTAAGTGTGGCACGGGTGCAAAAGTAGAATTTTAGGATTCTAGATGAGGGGTCCAAAGGGGACAAGACGGAGGAAATTGGGTGTGCCTTGTCCTTTTTCTCCTTCTTCATGCCCTCCATGTTTCACTGTGCTGTTGGCATTTTTCTGTTGGTTCAGGCTGGGGACACACTGTCCAACGTAGGTGACAGATATTGGCACGTTATTGTAAATCCAGCACAGGTAGTTTGTGGTATTTAATGTTTGTACCATCCCACTGAGGGCAGAGCCCCACACGCTGCCCTGCAGGACAGAGCTGCGGCAGGGCAGCAGAACATGTTAGAGATAAACAGAATAAACAACCTTGAAACAGCACAGACCAATTATGGCTTCTGCTTTGGCAGCGGGGCTGACAGACAGAGACTTTCTACATTTTGGGATCATCAATACCTCAGATTCCGACAGGAAGCGAGCGCGGTTATCGGAACACCGACAGAGCGCCCGCTCCGGGCACGGACCCGTGGGGCACGGGGGTGAGGTGCCCTCTGCAGCGCCCATCCCACTTTTTGGCACCTCCTGAGCCGAAGTGAGGCAGCGCTGAGGGAGCTGCTCCAGCAGGAATTCCGGATTTGGGGTTTCCAGCAGCAGAGCTCGGGATTTCCCTCGGGGCCAGGCTCTGGGCATTCCCTCTGCTTTGCTTTCAGTTTCTCTTCTCTGTTGGTTTGGTGGCCCAGCTCCAGCTCAGGGAATTCCATCTCTCCACCGCCTTTCCCGGGGTTCTGCAGTGGGGGAGCCCCTGGAACCTGGAGCAGGTGAGGTTCTCTGGAGACCTCCTGGCCCCTTCCAGGACCTGGAGGGGCTGCAAGGAGCTGGAGAGGGGCTGTTCACCAGGAACTGGAGTGAGGGACAACGGGGAATGGGTTCAGGCTGAAAGAGAGGAAATTTAGGTCGGATATTAGGAAGGAATTCTTCCCTGTGAGGGTGGGGAGGGGCGGGTGGGATTCCCAGAGATGCTGTGGCTGCCCCTGGATCCCTGGAAGTGTCCCAGGCCAGGCTGGATGGGGCTGGGAGCAATCTGGGGTGGTGGGAGGTGTCCCTGCCCATGGCAGGGGTGGAACGAGATGATTTTTAAGTTTCTTCCAACCCAAACCAGTCTGGGATTCTCTGCCCCTGGAGCAGCTGTGTTTATGAACCCACACAAGCACTCAGATCCTTCACCAGCCGCTTTTAGTGTTTTGTTTCCAAAACAGAGGTCACAGTACACAGGAACAGCTTCCATCACATCAAAATAAAGATTCCTCTTTTTCCTCTGAGCAAAAGATGGGTAAATAAACTGTAAAGACACGGCTGGGCTCCAGGTCAGGCATTTAAACTCCCAAACCAGGTGAGGATCAGCCACTTCTTGATGATTAAAACCTAAAGGGGGCTCTAAGGGAGCTGGAGAGGGATTTTGGACAAGGGGATCGAGAGACAGGATGAAGGAAATGGCTTCAAACTGACAGAGGGGAAGCAGCACCAGGAACTGCCTTGTAAAGGTCTCCCCATGGGTCACCAGCCAGGACAACCATCCCATTCCGTTTATTCTGTTCAGTTCCACGCTTCAGGGCAAACCAGGAGCTGCCCTCAGGCCACAGAGCTGCTCTTCAGAGAGGCACTGCCTGGATTTCCCTGATTTCCCTGGATTTGAACCCAAAGGAACAGTCCCCAGAGCACCTTTGCTCCTCTGCCACATCAGAAATGTTCCGTGGCTGAGGCACCAGCCCAGGTGACAATGACAGGAGGAGTCTGAGGTGACGCTGAAGCATCTGGAAAAATCCCGTTCACTTCGGGAAGGAAAAACAAATCAGATTCGGTCTTTACAATGAGCCTTTTCCATCCCCTGCCCTGTAATCGCCAACTTCAAAGCTGCCAGGGCTCTCAGGAGTGAATTCACCTCCAGCAACAGGAGCCCAAACCTGTTCTGCCACCTCTGAGCAGCACTTCCAGACCAGCCGAGTTTGGGGGAAAGACAAAATTCCCAGAAAGACTGAGGGCAGCCCTCCCAGGGGCAGGAATTAGGAAATAGGTTCATTAACAGTCACTCATTAATGATCCCCCACTTGAGAGGGCTGAGCAGCATCACACAGAGAGACAATGAGAAAACAGGGAGCTGGCAATGCCACCCCTGGTTTGGTTTTTCTGTCAGTAAACAGCACGGCTGAGGTAAGAAAAACAAGAATTCCTCAGAAATAACAAACACATTCGAGTCTCTGCAGAAATATTGATCTTTTAACCTTCACCACCTCCCCTTTCCCCTCCCTGTAAGGCAGGCAGAGCTCACAGGGATTCCAGGCTCCTTCCCCGAGGGAAAAGCAGGCACCTGAAATGGGTTAGAAGGGGAAAAAACCCTCCAAAAACACAAGACAACAGAGCACTGGGAGAAGCTCTGCTCCTACCAGCAGGTTCTTGGGAAGGGGAAGAGGGGGAAAATCCGTCTGTGCATCCAGCAGGGAGGAAATACTGGGGGGAGAAATCTGATGGATTAACCCAGACTCAAACAAGAACCACTTAAAAAGGTCAAGGCAGAGACATTCCCTCTGCTCAGCCCCCAGCTGCTCACGAGACATCCCAAAATTACAATTCCAGCTGGAGGAAGGAGCCCAGCAAGGCCAGGTCAGCCCCCAGTGGGGCCACACAGAGCCAAGCACTGGAACCTCCAGCCCAGCTCCCACCCCCAGGGTCAGCACCACCCAAATTCACCTCATTTTGCTGCCTGAACCCTTTTGGAGAGCCAAAGTCTCAGCAAACATTTCACTGAAGCAGCTCCTTCCTCGATTTTCCAGCTGCCAAAACACCAAGCTGAGCTTGGGGCAGGGAGGAGGAGAGCTCAGAGCGTCCCCTCAGCTCCAGGGACAAACTCCAGAGCAGGTTTGGGATGGTTTTTCTAACCCAGCTGGGTGCACAGAGCCCAGGACGGATCCCTGAAACCCAAAGGCAGATTTGTGGATGTATCCACCAAGGGTGGGGGTTCTGCTGTGGATCACCGAGTGTCCCAATCCAGTTTTCCATCCAATCCAGCAGCACCTGCTGCTGTGCATCCATGGGGAAAGCCCAGCAGAAGGTGTCAGACCCAAAGGAAAATCCATAAAATCCACCTTCACACGGTTCCATAAGGACACAACAGAATGGGGAAACATTCCCAATCCAAACAAAACAGCCACAGGGGAAAAAAACCAAACCACAGAACCGAAGGATGAGAGAACACGGGCTGGAATTCCCAATCCCAGCCCGGATCCTCCTCTGGAAGCGTTTCCCCACGGCCACTAGAGGAAGCTGCGACGCTGCGCCGGGAGAATCCCAAAAAGTGTCACCGGAGCTGCGGGGACAGCGAGGGCAGCCCCAAAAGCGGCTCCTGCGCTCCCCTCCACCGGGAAAAAACAATATCCCGGATTTCTCAAAGGTGCCTCAGTGCGGGCACAGCTCTGGGGATATTTTCCCCAAAAAAAAGAGGGAACATCACCGGGATGTGAACACTGAAATCCCAAAGCTCCATCCACCACAATTCCCATGGAATGGCTCCAGCACGGAACAAGCCACAGCAAAAAAAATAAAAATAAACGGGCTGGGAGCGGCTTTTCCTTCCCAAAAATTCCTGGGGAGTTTGGGATGGAGCTGGAGCTCAGCCTGCCGAGCCAGCAGGGCCACGGCCACCGCGGGGAGGGGACACGAGGGGACACGAGGGGACACGAAGGGACACGAGGGGACACGAGGGGACGCGGAGCGCAGGATGCCCCACGCTGCCATCAGCTCCATCCTGTCTCATCTTCAAGGCTCGTGGAATTCTTCTCCTTCTTGGAAGAGGAGCAGGACAAAGGGGTGAGGACATTGTCCCCTGTCACCACTCCCTGGATCTGCCAGGGAGGGAAGGGACAGCCCAGATCACCTGGAGCAGGTGAAAAGCAGCAGTTTGAGCGAGCCCAGCCAGGTTTCCTGTTGCCCTGAAAATTATTTTCTCTTATAGTTCTTTTGAAAGTATTAAAGTCCTCATAAAACTTCTGTCGCCTTCTGATGATGTTCAGATGTTTGAGAGGCAGAGTTCCCACACAATTTCATGGATAAATAGAATTGTTTACATTTTTCTCTGTGGGTGGAGAGAAATGATTGATTGATCTTTGGAGCAGCGTGGTTGGAGAGGTGGTAATTCCATCCTCCAACCCACGGTCACCTTTGGAATTCTATAAATACCAGATGTTGGAATAAAACTCTTTTTCTCCTTTGAACTTCCCAAGCTTCTGTGCACTCATTTGGTGTCCAGCAGCGACAGTTTCCGAAGACAAAGCTCTCATGGAGCCACCGAAATTGCATTGCCCGATTTTTTAAGGAATTCCAGTGTTGGAGCTCTGGGTGCTGAGGATTTTGGACTTTCTGCAGTTGAGCTGAACACGAACCATCACCTCATGTGCCTTCAATCCCGACAGAGGTAGAAGAAAGAAGCCAAAAGCATCATTCCAGGGCAAAAAGGGAAGAGGGATTTTGTACTTCCAGCAGGCTCCTACAGAGGCTCCAGAAGGAGCTGTGCTGTCCCAGAGGGTGACACCGACAGCTTAAAACTCTTTATTTAAATACTTTATTTAAAGCTTAACGCAGTTAACTTTTATATATATATATATAGATATATATAGATAGATATAAACAATTTCTTCTCTCTCTTCCCTAAATGAAAGCTGGATTTAGGGGGATACATTACTTAGGGCGGAGATTGATTTTTTTTTTTTTCCTTCAAATAAAGTCATTTGTTATACATATAAAAATATATTACTCGGGTCTCCTTTCAGTTACAGGTAACACAAGGGACGGACGAAAGAATGGAAGACGAGCACAAGGACCTCCAAAACGAAAATAAAACCAGTGGATTGAAGCGTGTGGCACACTTGGGATTTATAGTGCAACAGCAAGCCAAGAACTCCGCGTTCTGCGACACAAACATGGCACCACTCAGACTTGGGACACGCGGCCCTGCTCCCCACAGGGCCACGACAGGACAGGACAGCACCAAAAACCAGAACAAGGCTGAACTTCCAAAGGCTGGCACTCGAGCTGCTGGCCTTGGAGCTGGGCGTGGGGCTGCTCCTCTTCCACCGATGTCAACGGTGGGACACAGCGAAGGACAACGGGGACACGGGGCCTGGCACTGCTGCTGCCCCAGGAGGCACAGGGACACAGCCAGCAGGGAGCTGGGGCTCCAGGGCACCCCAGGGTACCCCAGAGTTCCCCAGAGCATCTCAGAACACCCCAGGGCACCCCAGAGCTCCCCAGGGCACCCCAAAGCACCCCAGAGCACCCCAAAGCATCTCAGAGCACCCCAGGGCACCCCAGAGAATCTCAGAGCACCCCAGGGCACCCCAGGGCACCCCAGAGAATCTCAGAGCAGCTCAGAGCTCCCCAGGGCACCCCAGAGCACCCCAGGGCACCCCAGAGTTCTCCAAAGCATCTCAGAGCACCCCAGAGCTCCCCAGAGCATCCCAGTGCACCCCAGAGCATCCCAAAGCATCCCAAAGCATCTCAGAGCACCCCAGAGCAGCCCAGAGCACCCCAGAGCACACCAGAGCACCCCAAAGCAGCCCAGAGCACCCCAAAGCACCCCAGAGCATCCCAGAGCAGCCCAGAGCACCCCAGAGTTCCCCAAAGCACCCCAGAGCATCCCAAAGCACCCCAGAGCATCTCAGAGCATCCCAGAGCTCCCCAAAGCAGCCCAGAGTACCCCAGAGCATCTCAGAGCACCCCAGAGCGCCCCAGACCTCCCCAGAGCACCCCAGAGCATCTCAGAGCACCCCAAAGCATCTCAGAGCACCCCAGAGCACCCCAGAGCACCCCAGAGCACTCCAGAGTACCCCAGAGCACCCCAGAGCACCCCAAAGCACCCCAGAGCACTGCTCTCCATCAGACCAGGCACAGAGAAATCCAGGGAAAGGCCGAGGCACCGCGTGTCCCACGGGGAGGGACCAGGGGACATCCCGGGGCGGCTCAGTGTCAGCCCGGCATCGAGACAAAAATCCACAGCAAAAGGCCACGAATGTACCCGGAATTTGAGCCCTTCCAGGTCCAGCTGGGAGAACAAACAGCACATTCACTCCTGCCACCGAGCTGGACCCAGCCAGGCACGTGGGTGCAGCAAGGGCTTTGATGCCGCTCCAAGCTGGGCTGCCCGGCAGCTCCGCTCCCACTCCCACATCTCCCATTCCATTTCCCACCCACCCCGTGACAGTCAGCCCCCAGTTCATCCATTTCCATTCCCAGCTGCTCTTCCCCACAGTGTTTTTCCCCCAGTTGGTGGCTCAGCAAAGCCACTGAGCTCTTTTGGGGCCTGTCCCCTCAGCAGGAGCGACCGGCACCAGTTTGGCAACCAACTGGGATGCAAAGGAGCAGCTCATAAATAAATAAGTAAACAAATAAATAAACCCACAGCACTTCTCATAGAACCCTCATTAAAAAAAAAAACAAAGCAGGGTATGGCACAAGTGAAGTTTTCTAGACCAAACTTCCAATCTCCCTCATGGTTGTGGCCTTTCCCTCCTCTGCTAAAGCAGGGGAGGGAATTTAAGGATTTAGGCAATCAGGTTTCTGTGATCACAGTGTGTGCCCATGGCTCTGTGTCCTCCTCCTTTCATTGCAGCTGCCCAATTGAAATGGGATCTGAGACAGGGACAGAAGGATAAAAAGCTTCAGGAACAAACAGCGAGCTGAGGGGGGAAAGGCCACGGCGTGAGCTCCCTCATGTCCAGGCACCACTGGAACCACAAAGGCAAACCCCAGCTCTGGAGTGGCCTCACCACAGTGGAGATGGGAAACCCACAGGGAACGGGCTCCATCTGCACAGAGCTCCAATTTTGGGAGCACTCTGCCTCACCACAGAGCTCTCCTGGAGATGGGAAATCCACGAGGAATGGGTTCCATCTGCACAGAGCTCCAGTTTTGGGAGCAGAACAGACTCTGCCTCACCACAGTGGAGATGGGAAACCCACAGGGAACGGGCTCCATCCGCACAGAACTCCAATTTTGGGAGGACTCTGCCTCACCACAGAGCTCTCCTGGAGATGGGAAACCCACGGGGAACAGGCTCCATCTGCACAGAGCTCAAATTTTGGGAGGAATCTGCCTCACCACAGAGCTCTCCTGGAGATGGGAAATCCACGGGAATGGTCTCCATCTGCACAGAGCTCCAATTTTGGGAGCACTCTGCCTCATCACAGTGGAGATGGGAAACCCACAGGGAATGGGCTCCATCTGCACAGAGCTCCAGTTTTGGGAGCAGAACAGACTCTGCCCCACCACAGAGCTCTCCTGGAGATGGGAAATCCACAGGGAACGGGCTCCATCTGCACAAAGCTCCAGTTTTGGGAGCAGAACAGACTCTGCCTCACCACAGTGGAGATGGGAAACCCACGGGGAACGGGCTCCATCTGCACAGAGCTCCAGTTTTGGGAGGAGAACACACTCTGCCTCACCACAGAGCTCCCCTGGAGATGGGAAACCCATGGGGAATGGGCTCTATCTGCACAGAGCTCCAGTTTTGGGAGCAGAGCAGACTCTGCCTCACCACAGTGGAGATGAGAAACCCACAGGGAACGGGCTCCATCTGCACAGAGCTCTGCCCTGCCCCACCCCAGGCTGTGCCACCTCCAACCCGGAATCCAACCCTCAAGAGTCACCAAACATCCCACAAGGCTCGGAAAACGAGCAACACGGAGAGGGGAGGACGGACAGACGGACAGACGAGCCTCGACAGCAGCAGCTGCAGGAGCCACGAAGGTGATGGCGAGTGGGAGCCCCACGGGGCAGGACACAGCGAGGGGCAGGGACCGAAGCCACGCCACGGGGCTGGCACTTGGGGCCCTCACAGGGGCAGGTCGGTGCTGTTGTGCCGCGTTTTCCTCGAGGTGCCGTCGTCCCTGGGCAGGGCCCGCTGCAGGCTGGACATGGCCGCCGTCTTCTTGAGGTCGATGACGGCGTACGAGTCGGTGCGGCGGGCGCCGGGGCTGGCGGGCGCTGCCGCCCGTGGCTCCTGCTGTCCCTGGCAGGGCTCGGGCTCCAGCTCCACCTGGATGTAGTTGAGCTGCCGAGGAGGCTCCGGGCAGGGCCGGGGGAAGTCGAAGCTGAAGACGTTGGGCAGGCGGCCGCGCCGGGGCCTGGGCAGGAGAGCGCGGCGCGGCTGCGAGGCCGCGGAGCTCTGCAGGGGCTCCTCCTCGCCCGCCTCGGAGAAGCCATTTGGGGACGGCGTGGGTGCCATGCCAGTGTCCTCATCCCCATACCGGGCTGGCTGCTGCTCCCACAGCGGCGGCAGCGCCGGCAGGTTCTCGTAGTGCAGCAGCGCCGAGCGGCGCTGGGAGCAGCTCCCGTCCTCCCGGGATGCTTTGGAGAGGCCAGGCCGGCCTAGGGATGAGGTGCTGGGGGCCACCAGGCCATTGAGGTTCTCATAGACGCACTGTGGGGACGGGCAGCCCTCCTGGCACTCGTTGTTGTTGTTGTTGGGAGGGCAGAGGTGCGGCCGGCATTGCCGGCACAGCCGGCGGGAGCCGGAGCTGGGAGCCAGCACGAATTTCACCTCCCCTGGCTGCAGGAAGACCTGGGGGTTGCGGTCTTCCAGGGAGCAGCTGTGGTTCCTAGGGGGGAAAGGAGGGTGGGCTTCAGGCAAGGAGTGCATACAGTGCCGGCCCCTCGGCTCCGGCTCCCCGGTGTTGACGTAGGTGTGGGACTGCAAGGAGAGAAGCAGAGGGACAGTGAAAGGAGGAGACAGCAGAGACCAGAGCAAAGCAGCTGAGAAACCACCACGAGAGGGGAATTCCTCAGTGGCGGATGAGGGAAAAGGATTTTGGAAGTTGGGAAAGGTTTTTGGAGGCAAAAAGTTGGTTTGGGTTTTGTGGGCTGGGAGAGAGACAAGAGTGAAGCCACAGATACACCCTGTGTGTCCTCATGGATGGGCATCTGCAGGAATTTCCTCATGGAAAGGCTGGTCAGGCTTTGGAAGGTGTGGAGTGCCCATCCCTGGAGGGGTCACCTGGATGTGGCACTGAGTGCTCAGGGTGGGAACTGGGCACAGGTTGGATTTAATCTTTTCCAGCCTCAGTGATTCGGGGTTCTGTGTCATGCTCCACGCACATTCACAAACTTCTCACTCCTCGAGTGGCCCATAGGTGATCCCACAACCCTCACACCTGCCCAGGCCTCCCTGGGGGTGCCTCAGACCAGCTGGGTTTTGTAGGAAAAAATTTAAAATTCTACAACTGAGAGCAAAGAGCTGAACCTCAAAACAGAAAATGAAAAGGGTCTGAATTGCGGGGCTGTGTGATAGCTGGCAGGTAACTGCACCCCAAATACCACTGGGTTGAGGACAAAACTCAGTTTTTCTGACAGGACACCAGTTCTAGCAAAGTATCAAAGAGCAGGAGCCTCCAGGAGCAAAAGGAAATAAAGAGAATAAAGAGAGTGACAAGGTGTGAGGGTCCCCTGAGCTTTGAGTGAGGGAAGCCCAGAATTGCACCCAGCAGAGTTGAGCATGGGTTTACCTGCTCCTCAGGCCCCAGGAGGGGGTGGGTAGAGTCTTCCCCCACAGAGGAATGTCTCAGGCTGCTCACTGAGGGGTGCTGCCCTGCAGAGTAGGACAGGGATTCTCCAGGGAAGCTGTGAAATCCATTGGGAAGTCCAGTGTAGCCCAGACCTGTGAGGGAATCAGGGCAGAGGAGCGTTAAATTGGTACAAAACAGAATTATTTACACTTCCAGAGTGAGCTGGGCTCTTACTGGTGGGGCCCTGGGGGCCGCGGGGCAGCTCCCGCTCCGAGGGGTGGCCGCTCCTGGTGATCACCATGGGCTCCTCCACCACGTTGATGCTGTTGCACTGCATCAGCTCCTGCAGCAGGTTGAAGATCTCCTCTGCTCGGGAGCACTTGAAGGCAAAAATCCCTGCCAGGGACAGAGAGGAGGGTTAGAACAGCAAGGAAGTGATCCTGCTTCGAAAAATAGGTGTTGTTGCCGTTTCTAAATGAATTCTGATTTCTTCTGCTGCTGTTTAACAGCATCAAACCACAGGAAAACAACCCCCTGGGCACTGCCCCTGCCCAGCCCCTGCCCAGGGCACTGCCCCTGACTCAAGGGAGCCCCCAGGGAGCCCCTGAGCCCCTGCCATGGACACTGACCTTGCCCCAGAGAGCTCCCAAGGAGCTCCCTGGGCACTGCTCCTGCTCCCAGGGAACTCCTCAAGGACTGACTCTGCCCCCTGGGCACTGCCCCTGCCCAGACCCTTCCCCTGCCCCTGCCCAACCCCTGCCCAGGGCACTGCCCCTGCCCCCAGGGAGCCTCAAGGGAGCCCCCCTGGGCACTGCTGCTGCTCCAGGGAGCCCCCCAGCCCCCTCCCCAGCCCTTTCCCCTGCCCAACCCCTGCCCAGGGCACTGCCCCTGCCCCCAGGGAGCCCCAAGGGAGCCCCCCTGGGCACTGCTGCTGCTCCAGGGAGCCCCCGAGACCCTTCCCCAGCCCTTTCCCCTGCCCAGGGCACTGCCCAGGGCACTGCCCCTGCCCCCAGGGAGCCCCCAGGGAGCCCCTGAGCCCCTGCCATGGACACTGACCTTGCCCCAGAGAGCTCCCAAGGAGCTCCCTGGGCACTGCTCCTGCTCCCAGGGAACTCCTCAAGGACTGACCCTGCCCCCTGGGCACTGCCCCTGCCCAGACCCTTCCCCTGCCCCTGCCCAACCCCTGCCCAGGGCAGTGCCCCTGACCTTAGGGAGCCTCAAGGGAGCCCCCCTGGGCACTGCTGCTGCTCCAGGGAGCCCCTGAGACCCTTCCCCAGCCCTTTCCCCTGCCCAGGGCACTGCCCCTGACCCCAGGGAGCCTCAAGGGAGCCCCCCTGGGCAGTGCTGCTGCTCCAGGGAGCCCCCCAGCCCCTTCCCCAGCCCCTTCCCCTGCCCCCAGCCCCTCACCCTGGCCGGTGCGGCAGCGGCGGCCGCTCTCGAAGGAGAAGAGGTTGGCGTCGAAGCCGTAGCGCCGCAGGCACAGGTAGGGCCACCGCACGGCGTCGCGCTTGTGCGAGTGCAGCACCAGCTCCCCCGGCGCCAGCTCCAGCACCCCCGAGCCCAGCTCCTGCCCCTCGTCGTCCACGTTGGTCACCTGTGGGTCTCAGGTTCAGTCAAAGACAGAAAACTGAGAGTTTCTAGCCAGGCAGGAGCCTGGAAAGAGCTGGAGAAGAATGTAAATAATTCTGTATCTCTCTTGTTGGTCACATTGTTTATAGTTAAGTTCTAGCACTGTGTGTCAAGCACTGTACACCAGTGCTGTGAGTTGTTTTCACTTCAGGAGCAATGGAGTTGGTCCTCACGAAGCTCTGTATAAAAGAGCGGGGTATTTTGAATAAATCAGAGTTTTACTTTCAGTTTTTTAACATTGGACTGATGGAGTTGGCCCTCACGAAGCTCTGTATAAAAGAGCGGGGTATTTTGAATAAATCAGAGTTTTACTCTCAGTTTTTTCCTTTGGACCAATGGAGTTGGCCCTCATGGAGCTCTGTATAAAAGAGCGGTGTATTTTGAATAAATCAGAGTTTTACTCTCAGTTTTTTTCCATTGGACCAATGGAGTTGGCCCTCACAAAGCTCTGTATAAAAGAGCGGTGTATTTTGAATAAACCAGAGTTTTACTCTCAGTTTTCTTCCATTAGACCGATGGAGTTGGTCCTCACAAAGCTCTGTATAAAAGAGTGTATTTTGAATAAATCAGAGTTTTACTCTCAGCAGCTTCTGAGTCAGAATCTTCTCATTCCCGTCCTGCCTCGACAGCGACAGTCACCTGCAGGGTGGGAGCCACCAGGGCATTGATTGTGCACGTTCTCGGTTGGTTCAGAGAGTGAAACATAAATTTTAAAGAATTTAGAGATGTTAGAGGATCTAAAATTTTAGTTAGAGATAAGCCTTACTAGAGTTAATTAAAATAAATGAGTAGGCCTTGATGAAGTTAAGAGTTAGGAGTTAGCTAATAATTGATTGCTTGTCAGCACAATGTTTAATTGAGAAATCACTCTTTGGTAAACAAATCTCCATAACACATTCCACAGGTTCACAGCAACAGGTGTAGTAAGTTAAGATTTGTTTCTCATTCTTTTCTCTGATCTTCTCACAGCCCTTCCCAGAACAATGCTTGGGAAAGTTTTTCTGAGAGCTGCTGCCACAGTGGGGAACTCCCTGGGCACTTCCAAGGCCAGGCCACGCTTTCCATGACAAAATTCCTGCTGATTTCCAGCCTAAACCTCCCCTTTTTGGGACACACAAGACTTTGGACCTGGCTAGCACACGAGATTTGACAATCAGGATGCCTTGGCAAGAACAAACAGCTTTGAAGATTGCAAGAAGATTAAACCAGGCTGAACTGGATAAGAAAATTACATCAAGACTCCTGCAAGCAAGAGATGTTGCAAAATGCTACGTTTGTTTATGTGATGATTAACTTAATCTTTGTAGTAAAACATTAGTAGCCTTCCTAAAATAGTGTATAAGCATAGGTAGTCCACAATAAATTTGGATTCTTCTGACCATCTCTTGGAGTCTCCCTGTCCCTCTCATCATTGCCGATATCCCCTGGCCCAACCTGAGGCTGTTCCCTGGGATAAGATCCCAAATCCCCCCGGCTGTCCCCTCCTGTCAGGGCCAGAAATTCCCCCTGAGCCTCCTTTGCTCCAGGCTGAGCCCCTTCCCAGCTTCCTCAGGGCTCCCCAAACCCTTCCCAGCTCCCTCAGGACTCTCCAAACCCTTCCCAGCTCCCTCAGGACTCTCCAAACCCTTCCCCAGCTCCCTCAGGACTCTCCAAACCCTTCTCCAGGTGCTGAAGCTCCTCACCATGCCCCAGCCCTGCCCTTGCTGTGAGGGCCCAGAGCTGGACAGGGCTCTCCAGGTGTCCCTGAGCAATTCCATGGATTCCTCCCTTTTCCTGCTGCCTTTTTCCCAGCTGGCAGCAGGGATCCGTGGCTGGCAGCCCTTGGCAGCTCAGCTGCTGTGGCTGAGCCCTGGAACACAGCCCTGAGCAATAAAAGGTTTTTCTCTCCAGTCCCCCATTTCTTTGCCTTTCCCAAGCAGCAAATACAAATACATTTTCAACAGGAGTTTCTTAAGGAAAGGGAAAAATAAAAAGAAAAATCAAACCAGAAGTGATGAATTTTCATATTTGTGTGCGGGGGCAGGAGTTTGCCCTCTCCTCGTGCAGCCAGAGCTGTCCCAGACCCTCTGAAGGGGTTGGAAGGGCAAAAATTTACCTTGAATTTGGTGGGGTGGTTGTCTGGGATGCTGTCTGTGCACAGACAGCTGCAGCAGCTCCCCATGACGCCAGGCAGAGAGGACATCCCTGGGGACAGGACAGGCACGGTCAGACCCCAAATCCAACTCCCCCAGCATCTCCAGCTGTGCCCTCCCCCATCCCAGCGGGGCTGGAGCTCCAGCTCTTTGCTCTGCTCCTTGATTAACGAGAGTTGTGTTAATTAAAACCAGCTCCTACCATTAGGCAGTTGTTGGATTTGTCGTGGAGGAGTGAGAAGGAATTCCCACTGCAGTCCCTCTATCTCCCTCGGGATTTCATGGCAAGCAAGTTTCACCTAAAACATGAGGGGAACACTCCCATCTTCCACCTGGCAAGGAGAACACAATTAAACAATGATAAAAGCAGAGAAAATTAAAAGGCAGGGGGTGGGAGAGTGACTGAACTTCCCTTCAGACAACCCAAGGAAAGCAGGTGCATTTTGTGTTTAATTAATTACATTTATATCAACACAGAAAACTCTGCACAGCAATGAAAAATGCACAGCTAAAAATAATTTTTAAAGATTTAGAGATGAGATATTTTATTTCCTGGCTTTGGGATCCTACAGAGGAGTGGGGTTTACCAGGGTGAAGGAAATAAAGCTGAGGAATGCGAAGGTGCCTTCACTGCAGGGAAGGTCCTTCAGGGTCAGAGAACCAGCAGCTGCTCTGCTTCGGAGGAGGAGAAACAAGAAAAGGCCAGAAAACACAAGAAATCTGATATGTGACCCAGAAAACACAAAAATTCTGATATCTGACCCAGTCAGTGCGAGGATCAGGCAGGAAGGAGGCAGTGAGGAATACTCCTGTGTTTTCACTCACAGAGTCACTCCTGGGGGTTGTATTTTTTTTTTTTAATTGTAGTGAGAAATGGGAAATTCTGCTATCCCTGATGGGAACTTGGGCAGGTGACAGGGAATGATGCCAGGTGTGCCCTGAGAGCGGCTCAGTGTCTCCACCTGATCCACCAGGACCTCCAGCCCGGGATGGAAATGGCAATTTGGGAACCCTCTTTCCATCGGGAAACTTTTTCCATTGGAAACTCCTTCCATTGGAAACCCCTTTCCATTGGAAACTCCTTCCATTGGGAACCTCTTTCATTGGAAACTCCTTTCCATTGGAATCCCTTTCCAGTGGAACCTCTTTCCATTAGGAGCCTCCTCCATTGGAAACCTCTTTCTGCTGGAAACATCTTTCCATTGAAAACCTCTTTCCATTGGGAACCTCCTTCCATTGGAAACCCCTTTCCATTGGCAACCTCTTTCTACAGGAAACCTCTTTCTACAGGAAACCTCTTTCCAGTTGGAACTTCTTTCCATTGGAAACCTCTTTCATTGGAAACCCCTTTCCATTTGGAACCCCTTTCCACTTGGAACCCCTTTCCATTGGAAACCCCTTTCCATTGGAATCCCTTTCCACCTGGAACCTCTTTCATTGGAAACCCCTTTCCATTTGGAACCTCTTTCCACCTGGAACCTCTTTCATTGGAAATTCCTTTCCATTGGAATCCCTTTCCAATGGAACCTCTTTCCATTAGGAGCCTCCTCCATTGGAAACCTCTTTCTGCTGGAAACATCTTTCCATTGGAAAACTTTTTCCATTGGGAACCTCTTTGTATGGGAAGCCCCGTTTCATTTGGAATCCCTTTCCATTTGAACCCCTTTCCACTGGAACCCCTTTCCATTGGGAGCCTCTCCCTCTGCCAGAATCTGCCTCCTCCTCCTCCTCCTCCTCCTCCTCCTCCTGCTCCTGCTCCAAACGAAACCTGGGGCCGTGGGGTGGCAGAGCTGCCCTGGGCCCCTTCCAGTGTGGAGGGAGGGGGCAGAGCCCCACTTGAGCTGCCCAAGGGTCCCACTCCATTTTCAGATCCAAACAGCCCCATCAATCCCCTCCCACTGCCCCTCTCTGCCTTCCCTTCGGCCCTTGGAGAACTCCTCACCATGCCCCAGCCCTGCCAAGTGCCCAGAAGAGGAAAGTTTTCTCTCTGTGCACGCTGAGAGCAAACAAAGCCGGTGCCAGCTGCCCTCCTGCACACACCTGCCCGCCCTAGGGCACACCACACCTTCCCTGTGCCACCCCACGCCCTGCCCCAGCCAGCCTGCTCCTTTGCCTCGGCTCAGCGTGGATTTATTCCCCCCACAGGCTCATTTAGCACAGATCCTGCTCCATCTCATCTGGGCACTGGGGGCTGGCTCCTCTCCCACTCCCACCTCAGCAATTCCCTCAGGAATAAGGGCTGGGAGAAAACATTCTGCTCTTCCTTCACTCCTCTCCCTCCATCCCCACCTACGAGGGGCCAGCTTGAAGTGCTGTGGCTCACCAAGGACAATTCCTACACTGAGAACTGTAGAAAATAACTAAAAAACCACCAGGAGCTCCCAGAGCACTCCCTGGGCATTTCCCTCTGCTCCTGGCTGGGGGAATATTTCAGCAGCATTCCACTGGGAATCGCCAGGCTCCTGCTCTGCACTTCCAGCTCACCTTCTTTGCCAGTCCAGAGCTCAGCCAGTCCCTAAAACCATCCCAGCACGGCTCCCACAGCAGCACTGGGTCCCTCCTGAGGCCACCAGCCCCATCCAGACCCTCAGAATCCCAACCCAAATCCTCCTCAGCCCTGCCTGGACCAGGCTTTCCCGAATTCCCAGGTTATTCCCACCCTCCCAAACCCCCAGCCTGCAGAAGCCACTCGTGCCTTCATCCTCCTTAAACCCAGAGCTGGAGAAGCAGTTTTCCCTAATCCCAAAGGGCCAGGGGGACACCCTGACACCCCCTGCACAGGGACACACGGACACCTCGTGTGGAAAAGCACCTGGGCCCACATCAACCCCTCCAGGACATGCAGGGACAGACCCAACACGGCCCCCCAGGAAAAGGAGGGAGCAGGGTGGGCAAGGAGAATGGGATGGAGGGAAGAGGAAAGGGATGGGGGATTGAGGAGGGGGCTGCAGGGAGGGAGAAGGGGATGGAGAGAGGAGGAAAGGGATGGAGGGAGGAGGATGGGGCTGCAGGAACGAGGAGGATGGGGCTGCAGGGACATGGGAGGGGATGGAGGGATGAGGACAAGGATGGAGGGATGAGGACGGGGATGGAGGGATGAGGATGGAGGGAGGAGGAAGAGGACAGAGGGATGAGGAAGGGGATGGAGGGATGAGGATGGAGGGAGGAGGAAGAGGACAGAGGGATGAGGACGGGGATGGAGGGATGAGGATGGAGGGAGGAGGAAGGGGATGGAGGGAAGAGGAAGGGGATGGAGGGATGAGGACGGGCCTGCAGAGCCCGTGGGAACGAGCGGCCTGAGGAAGGGGCGAGTCCCGGGGGTACCGGGAATTGGCGGCAGGGGCGGCCGGGGCAGCCCGGGGAGGGCTCCAGGGGAGGGGACGGGGGCGATGCCGCGGCCCCGCTCCAGGCGCGGCTCGGTACCTGAGGCGCTCCCGGCTCCGCCGTCCGGGAACCTGCGGCGGCCCGGAGCCCCCGGCCCGGCCCTTCCCGGGGCCCGGAGCGTGTCGGGGCCCCCGGCCCGGCCCTGCCCCCGCCCGGCCCGGCGGGTCCGGGGGTCCCCGGTGGGGCCCGGAGCGATCGGGGCCGGGCCGGGCCCGCCGGAGCAGCGACAGCGCCGGAGCCGCCGCCGCCGCCAGGGGGCGCCCGGGGGCGGGGCGGGGCTGGGGGCGGGGGCGGGGCCGGGGGCGGGGCTTGGGTGGGCGTGGTCTGGGTAAGGGGGTGAACGGGAGAGGATTTGGGGTCAGTGAGAGGATTTGGGGTCAGTGAGAGGTTTTGGGGGTCAGTGAGAGAATTTGGGGTCAGTAAGAGAATTTGGGGTCAGTAAGAGAATTTGGGGGTCAGTGAGAGGTTTGGGGTCAGCGAGAGGATTTGGGGGTCAGTGAGAGGTTTTGGGGTCAGTGAGAGGTTTTGGGGGTCAGTGAGAGGTTTTGGGGGTCAGCGAGAGGTTTTGGGGGTCAGCGAGAGGATTTAGGGGCCAGTGACAGGTTTTGGGGTCAGTGAGAGGTTTTGGGGTCAGTGAGAGGATTTGGGGGTCAGCGAGAGGTTTTGGGGTCAGGGAGAGGTTTTGGGGGTCAGCGAGAGGATTTGGGGTCAGTGAGAGAATTTGGGGTCAGCTAGAGGTTTTGGGGGTCAGCGAGAGGTTTGGGGGTCAGTGAGAGAATTTGGGGTCAGTGAGAGGATTTAGGGGCCAGTGACAGGTTTTGGGGTCAGTGAGAGGATTTGGGGGTCAGTGAGAGAATTTGGGGTCAGTGAGAGAATTTGGGGGTCAGTGAGAGGTTTTGGGGGGCTGGGGAAGGAGAGGGGCTGGGGGTCAGTGGAGGGGGATTTGGGGGGTCTGGGGTGGCCCCGGGGCCACCTCACCTTGTCCTGCCCTCTGAGGGGACACTGCTGCCACCTCGGGAAGCCCCGAGTGCCCTGTCTGTCCCTGTGCCCACGGAGGACTTTGCCCACGGATCTTTCCGCCCTGGGGAGGGATGGAGGAGCGTGGGGGGAGCAGGGGACAAGGGGGGGCCCTGTCACCACCCGCGGGGACAAAGTCCAAAGCAGGAACTGGGCCAAGATAAAGCTCCCAGCAAGGCCAAGCAGCAGAATGACAACGTGGGGACATAGGGGACCTCAAAGGGACCCTGCACAGGGCAGGGAGCAGCCAAGTGTGGAGGTGCTCACCCCTCCTCCTCCTCCTCTTCTCCCCCTGCTCAGGGGATTTTTCAAAGTGTCCCCTAATGGTTTGGGGATTTAAAACTCCCTTTCCTGCCATGGACAGGGACAATTTCCACTGTCCCGGGTTGCTCCAGGTGGTGCTTACCCGGGCTACCTAAAACAGAGGCCAGACAGAATGAAAGGAATAAAAAGCAGATTTATTTATTGAAGGGCCTCCAGGTACATTTAGGGCAGATGAAACCCACCCAAAAATGGACCATGGCTCAGGGGTTTCACACTTTTATAAGTTTGGGTGATTTGCATATTGGGGGTTAATCTTCCAATTACAACTTCAGGTAATGAAGTTGTTTAACCCAAGTTTGCTCCTCCCCAGCTCCCTTTTGTTTCCATCTCTTGGGGCCTGGGGCAGTGAGGTGTCCTTGATTCCCAGCCTGGAGAGGAAAATTGTTTTGGAAAAATGGGAAAGCAGCAGCTGACACTGTGTGTGGAGTTCAGAGTGTCACACTAAAGAACTGCAGGATTACAAACAAATGGAAAAGATAAAAGCTAAAATGGAAAAGATAAAAGCTAAAATCCCAAAGCATCACAAACCCCATTGAACCTGGCCTTGGACACTTCCAGGGATGGGGCAACCACTTCCAGCCCCATAAGCTGTGCCCCAACACCGCCCTGCCCGCCTCACCCAGCGGTGCCAAGGGCTTGTCACTGAGCCTGGCACCTCCTCTGCCAACTCGCCATCCCTGTGCGTGTTTTTGCAGTGCCACCCCCAATCCCACAACCAACACGAGCCACCTGCACCCCTCAGGGCCCCCAAAACCAGCCCCAGCTCCCGGGACCACGCAGGTGGCAGAGATCCAGCCTGGCCCCACAGACGTGGGGGGTTTTTTTGGGGATGCTGTGTCCCTTGTCACCCCCAAAGTCCCATCAGCGGGCAGGAAAATCTTACAGAGCGCTGAGAAACACCAGCAGGACGCTGTGCCTCGCGTCAGGCTCTGATAAAATTTTCCCCCGACTCCTGCCCGGGTGGAATTGCTGCAGCCGGAGCCGGTCTGGAATGGTTTGGAGGAGCCTCGTCAGGTGTTCAGGGCTTGTGGAAACTGGGACATCCTGACTTGCCGCTGGCTAACTCCTTTGTGAGAGCCCAGCCAAAGTTTCTCCACCTCTAAATTGGGGTGTAATGACACTTCCCCCTCTTTCATGAAGCTTCAACTCTTTCTGATCTCGCCAGGGAAATAAATCACCGCGCGGGATCATAAAAGCCGTCAAGCGGCAACCTGGGGTGAACCGAGCCGCAGATGGAGGGAAGGGCGCGGGCGCTCGGAAAATGAGAGGTAGGAGCGAGCCAGATGTCACCGGCAGCTCCTTCCCCTGTAGGGTTAATGTCCCCCCCCCCTTTCCCCTCCCTGCCTGCCCTGGAATTCCAGCCATTGGCTGCCTCCCGAGATTTAGGCTAAAAAGCCTCTAATTAGGACCCCGGCTGCCGCGCAGCCAGTGCCTGGGCAGGCAGGGCAAAAAAAAATTAAAAAAAAAAAAAAAGAGAGAGGAAAGAAAGAAAAGGAAAAAAAAAAAAGTGTTTCCCTGAGTGAGCTTGGATGTTTTCCTTTCGCTTTGCAAAGTTTCCCCAGGCCAGGCTCCATTCCCTCGCGTCCTCCGGAGCAGGGCGGGACGGCGGCGGCCGGTGCGGGGCTGGAGCCCGGAGCGGCGGAACGCGGGGCCCGGAGCGGCTGGAAAGGGCAGGTAGGAACGGCTGGAAGGGGCAGGTAGGAGAGGCTGGAAGGGGCAGGTAGGAGCGGCTGGAAAGGGCAGGTAGAGCGGCTGGAAAGGGGCAGGTAGAGCGGCTGGAAAGGGCTCCTGGAGCGGCTGGAAAGAGCTCCTGGAGCGGCTGGAAAGGGCAGGTAGGAACGGCTGGAAGGGGCTCCTGGAGCGGCTGGAAAGGGCAGGTAGGAACGGCTGGAAGGGGCAGGTAGGAACGGCTGGAAAGGGCTCCTGGAGCGGCTGGAAGGGGCAGGTAGGAACGGCTGGAAGGGGCAGGTAGGAACGGCTGGAAAGGGCAGGTAGGAACGGCTGGAAAAGGCAGGTAGGAACGGCTGGAAGGGGCAGGTAGGAACGGCTGGAAAAGGCAGGTAGGAGCGGCTGGAAAGGGCAGGTAGGAACGGCTGGAAAAGGCAGGTAGAGCGGCTGGAAAGGGCTCCTGGAGCGGCTGGAAGGGACAGGTAGGAGCGGCTGGAAGGGGCAGGTAGGAACGGCTGGAAGGGGCAGATAGGAACGGCTGGAAAGGGCAGGTAGGAGAGGCTGGAAGGGCAGGTAGGAGCGGCTGGAAAGGGCAGGTAGGAACGGCTGGAAAGGGCTGGTAGGAACGGCTGGAAGGGGCAGGTAGGAGCGGTGGGAAGGGGCAGATAGGAGCGGCTGGAAGGGGCTCCTGGAGCGGCTGGAAGGGGCTCCTGGAGCGGCTGGAAGGGGCAGGTAGGAACGGCTGGAAAGGGCAGGTAGGAACGGCTGGAAAGGGCTCCTGGAGCGGCTGGAAGGGGCTCCAGGCTCGGCTCTCCCGGCTCCGAGCGGAGATGGAGGTGGGGGAGAGGGAGACTGGGAGGGTCCCGCTGCGAGGGGAAGGGGACGAGGCAGAGCTGGGGGGGATTTTGGCTGTTCGGAGGTTTGTTCTTTTTTTGGAGGGAGATGATATCGCTGTCCCCGCCGTCTTTGTTTCCGGGAAATTGAGAGCAGGAGGTGACGCCCGTTCCATCGTGCCAGGCTCTGCCAGCCCTGAGCCGGGCAGGTGCGCTGCACAATCCCTGCTCCAGCTGGGATTGGGATTGGGATATTTGGGGAGCGGGGATGGAGCTGGGCCCCTTCGGACGTCTGGTGGCCATAGGGAGGGGTGGGGGGCTTCGTTCTGGTGGCCACAGGGAGAGGCGGGGGGCAAATCTTCATCCCGGGGGCTGCAGGGAGACGAGGGGCGGGGGTCTCGGTCCGTGGCTGGGGGTGTAGGGATGGGTGAGGCAGGGTGGGTTAATGGGTTTCTGCTCCCTTCCCCAGCGGGAAAAGCCTTTGGCAGCGCTGGCATATCCCCCGGTGAGCCAAGGGGCCGCGGTCCCCTCCGGTGACACGGTGCAGTGGGGCAGAGAGGGATGCTGAGACCCTCCCCCATCATTTGGGGGGCTACAAAAGCGTTTTTAAAGCGAGGGCCACGCTCGCAGCAGTGGCACCGAGGGCTGCTCCACCTGGTGCCACCCCAGGTCCAAAAGGCACCGTGGGCTCCTCGGTGAGACCGGCTGCAGGTCGGGCAGGACTTGCTGCTCCGGCTCTCCCTGCCAGACCTCAGCTTATCTCGCCCCAAAAGATGCATCTTTATTGCTCTGCATCTTTATTTCTCTGCATCTTTATTCCTGCTCCGCCAGCGCAGCTGTGTTGATGGGAGCTCAAGCAGAAACAGATTATCCCGTGGGTGAGGCCAGCGTGGAGCTGTGCCCCTGGGAGCTGCCAGTGCTGCTTTGAGGGGCTTTTTGGAGATGTTGTGCTTCCTGCGAAAGCAAAGTTGAGGCAGGGATGGGAACAAGGGAGGCTGTGCTGAATTCCGAGCAGGCTGAGGTGGCTGAGCTCCAAGTTAATGTGTGACCTTGGCAGCAGAGGGCTGCGAGCCCACACGGGCTCCCACAGCCAGCTGGAGACGGGGGCTGCTGCCGGCGAGCCAAATCAGATTAACATTCCCAGGAATTTCAGCCTCTTGTACCCAGGGAGCCGCGACGGCTTCCGATGCTTTTGGAGAGCTCGGGCAAACGCATCCGGAGGAGCTCCCGCAGGCAGGACAAGGAGGATTTACAGCCAAGGCAACATGACAGCCGGTGCCACCCAGCCTGCCCGACTGGTCTGTCACACGTCGCTTCTCGGGGACTTGCTGGCAGGGAGAGGCAGCTCCCCCAAAGTGCCACCCTGGTGCCACCTCCCCCCGGCGCTGAGCCGCGGTTTGGGGCGGCCGGAGCATCCCTGCATCCCTCGGCAGGGATGGGCAGCAGCAGTGCCCCGAGGCAGCGAGGGAGGCAGGAGGGAAGAGGGGACAGAGGAGCCGGACCTGTTGGGGCTGCCCGGCTCTTTAGCATCAGGGAGGCGCGTACCTCTGTCACCGTCTGGGGCTAATTACAGGGACTTGTTTACAGCCCAGACGGCTGCCAGCCAGCGTAATCACATCAAACTGGGCTGGGCTGGGCTCCCCGGCACATCCCCGAGTGTTGCCCGAGCCGCCCTCCCCGCAGTGTCACCCCACCGCGCTGGTGGCCCCGCCGTGGGGTCCCTGTGCCTCTCGGGCTGGGGCCAGGCTGGCACCGCCAGTGCCCAGAGCGTGGCAGGGGTCTAATGAACAGCAAAGTTCTTAGAGATTAATTACACAAATGCAGCTTAATGAGCCCAGCACAGCCCGGGAGTGCCCCACCTCCCACGGCAGGGAGAAATGGGGACACTGTCCCCAAACCAGGCAGAGCAGAGCTGGGGGTGCACATGGGGGTCCCCACTTGGCATCCCAGGGTCTCCCCCAACCCTTCTCCTGTCCAGCCAAGGCTGTTCCCTGGCCCAGCTCACCAGCAAGGCCAAGGCTTTTTTTGGGCAGCAAACACACACTCAAACCAGATTATTTCATCCCTGTCCCAAAGCACAGCTTTGAACGACACCCTACATCCATCCCTGCGTCCCCCTGGGCTGCCCCAGGGATCCAGACCCCAAAGGGCAGGAAAAAGCCCGCAGCCCTTTTGTTTGATCTCTCTGATTAGCCGATCTGCAGCGTTAATCATTGACCCGGCAGCGGGGCAGGGAAACTGGAGCTGCCCCCACTGATCCCACCCGCTGCCCCCTGCCACATCCCCCCACCCCAGGGGCTGCTCAGGAAGGGGCTCACAGGGCTGGGGATGCTGGAGGGGTTTGCTGGGGACACTGCGATGTCCCTGACAGAGGGGACACGCCAGCCCCGTCCCAGTGTGGAGCAGGGAACGGCTCCTCGTGGTGGCAGAGGTGTAGGAGGACCAACATTTCGTGGTCTGGGGGTTCTCACTGCTCATCCCTGAGGCGGTATTATGCATGGAATATTTTCCAGAGGGGTTGATCCATCCGTGGGGGGCGTTGCAGGGGTGAATCCCTGGGCGTGTTTGGTCACAGCCCCGTGATTGTCCCCCCCATCCCACCCTGGCTCCCCATGGCAGGGCAGGAAGCGCGGGCTGAGGGCGTCAGGCTCTGGGCTGGCATCCAGGGAACCCCAGGAGCCACCACATCAGCATCTCGCTTTTGTTTTGGGAAGCCGGGGCAGGAAGGAAGTGTGGTGGAAAGCGCCCGCGTGGGGAGGAGGGGACGGCTCCGGATGGGTTTCCACTGCGTAACCCCGAGCCAGGCGTGTGCTGTGGGCTGGGACTGCCGGGCAGGAACAGCCCTGGGCAGAACAATGGCAGCCCCAGGGGAAGGAATTATTTTCCACTGAGCTGGGCCCAACCTCGGTCTGTTCCCACTAGACCCAGGATTAGTGCCAGCAAAGGGCTGGTGGCAGCTGGGGGAAAGCTCCTGCTGTGGGTGTTGCTGTTTTCCAAAACCTGTTCCAGCTTCAGATTGGGCATTTGGGGTCTTCACTGCCTGGCTTCATCCCCATCCCATCCTATCCCATCCCATCCCATCCCATCCCCATCCCATCCCCATCCCATCCCATCCCATCCCATCCCATCCCATCCCATCCCATCCCATCCCATCCCATCCCATCCCATCCCATCCCATCCCATCCCATCCCATCCCCATCCCATCCCATCCCATTCCATCCCACCCAACAGGCAAAACCCCAGTCCTGCCAAGTGCCCATATGCTCGTTGTGGGTTTGCTGTAATCCCCAAAGAGAAAGGAACCCCCCAAAAATCCCTCGGACTCGTGCAGTGCTTCAGCCGAAGATCTGGAGGTCGCGGTGCCTTGAAGCATCACCGCAGCTGGACGTGCTCCAGGGTCCCTGAAGACACGAGGAGCTGCTTGTCCTGCTGCCATGGGGACACAGGGATGGTTCCCTGCCTCGTGGCTGACCCCTCTGCCTCTCTGTCCCCAGCTCATGTCCCTGCCGAGCCCTGCATGGCCCCAGCAGGACGAGCCCTCCCCGTGTGGCACCACCGGCCTCCCCCCGGCCTCGTCCGACAGCGACTCCGGCTGTGCCCTGGAAGAGTACCCGGAGCCCCCCGCGGACCCCGCGCCCCCCGAGGTGGGCAGAACCCGGCTCTCCCCACCCCCACGGGGTTCCCACACTGCTGCACCCCATTTCCTGGGGTCCAACACTCGTTTTAGCACCTTCAACAACCCTGAAATTGCTGTTTCTCCCAAGGTCCCGCCGTGCTTCGGGCCCCGCTCGCCCCAGCCTGGCTCTCCCTCTGACAGGACCCGGCTCCGAGCCAGAGCCCTCCTGCAGCAGCTGCCTCCTCAGGACTGCGATGTAAGGCCCCTCTTTTTGGGGTGCTGCTCACCTGATGCCTTGTTGGGACTACCCAAAACCAGACAAAATTAGCTGTAAAAAGCAGTTTTATTTATTGAAGGGCTTTCAGCTACGTTTAGGGCTGACAAAGCCACCCCAGGGGCTACACCCAAAAATGGACTACGGGATTCACACTTTTATAAGTTTGGGTGATTTGCATATTGGGGGTTAATCTTCCAATTACAGGTTCAGCTAATGAAGCCATTGACCCCAAGTTTGCTCCCCCAACTCGCTTTTGTTTCCATCTCTCAGGGTCTGGGACAGTGAGGTGGTGTTGATTCTCAGGCCTGGAGGGGAATTGCTGTGTCTGCCCAAAACGGGAGCGCAGCAGCTCCCGCTGTATGGAGTTCAGAGTTATACACTAAAGAACTGCAGGATTATAATTGTATGGAAAAGATAAAAGCTGAATTCCAAATGCATCAGAGCCCCCCTGACCCCCCGTGCCCCACAGGAGCGGTACTGCCCCGACCTCGCCGAGGAGGAGCGGCACCAGCTCCGAGCCTTCAGCGCCCGCCGCAGGCAGGAGGCTCTGGGACAGGGCCTGGCGTGTCCCGTGCCAGGTCCCTGCCACGGCTGTCCCTGCAGGAAGGTGAGGTGTCCCCTCCAGCTGCCACTCCTTGGCAGGGACCCGTCCCCAAAAGCCAGCCCTGTCCCAAACCTCGCGTCCCTGTGCCTTGCAGTGCGGCCGGAGGCTGAACAAAGGCGACCCGGGGGTTTCAGCGTCTCGCCTGGGGGACCAGTTCTGGCACCCATCCTGCTTCTCCTGCCACTTCTGCCACCAGCAGCTGGTGGATCTCATCTACTTCCAGCAGGATGGGAGGATCTACTGCGGCCGGCACCACGCCGAGCTCTTCCGACCCCGCTGTGCCTCCTGCGACCAGGTGGGTGCCGGGCACGGGGAGGTGTTGACCTCGCTTTGGCTGTTAAATGTCCCCAAGCTCGGCTGGAGGCTCCAAATCCATCAAAACCACTGATGGGTGGAGGAATATCCCTTCCTGAGCGCCCCACGGGCTGGGGGCTCCTCCTCCCCGCTAAGGACGGGGCGCTTTTTCCCATTGCAGCTGATCTTCATGGAGGAGTGCGTGGAGGCCGAGGGCCGGCGCTGGCACCTGGAGCACTTCTGCTGCCTGGAATGCGACGAGCCCCTGCGTGGGCAGCGCTACGTGATGCGGAGCGGCCGGCCCTGCTGCCGGGGCTGCTTCGAGAGCCTCTTCGCCGAGCCCTGCCAGGCGTGCGGGGACCCCATCGGTACGGCCTTGGCGGCATGATGGATTTTGGCTTTTTTTGGGTTTGGAGAACCTTTGCCTCACACTGTGGTCACCCACAGGTGCTGACAGTGAGGAGGTGGCGCACCAGGGGCTGCACTGGCACGCCCGAGCCTCCTGCTTCTGCTGCAGCCGGTGCCAGGCGCCGCTGCGGGGACAACCGCTCACCTGCCGCCGCGGCCGCCTCTTCTGCTCCGGCACCTGCGGCCGCGGCCTGGACGCCTCTTCCAGCGCCTCCGACTCCTCCGACTCGGCCTTCGCCTCCGCTCCGTCCCCCGACTCCACGCCGCTGTCCCCCGGCAGGAGCTCGGCAGCGGGGGGCTGCAGGCAGCGGGGGGAAGGGGCTGGTAGGGTCCTGCTGCTGTGGGGTGGGAGTAAATCCACGCTCTGGGGGCTTTAGTGGGGATGGCGCACCGTGGGAAGCGGTGATAAACTCCCCTCGCGGTGGGAGCTGTGGGTGGGTCGGTGCCGCCGCCCCGTTGTGTCCCGAGACAACCCTTGCTCAGCTTCTCCTTCCTCCCTCACACCCATTTCCCCTCTTCCAGAGGCGCTTTCGGATCAGGCCCCGCTGCACCCCGCCTTCAGGAGCCCCGGGGATCTCGCAGCGGCTGCGCGGGAGAGGAGCAGCGACGCCGCCAAGGAGCACCCAGGGGTGCTGGGACCCCCAGCTGGCCACCCCTCGGCCCCCCAGCCCGGCCCCGAGCGGCCCAGCGAGCCCAGAGCCCAGGCCCACGCGCTTTTGGGGGACCCTGAACCCCGAACAGCTGCAGGCAGTGGAAACCCACCGTGCCAAGCGGGCGCCTCCCCTCCCCGACACAGCCCCTGGGCAGAGGATGGCACGGAGGAGGACGACTCCTGGTGTCCCACCTGCTCCTCATCTTCGGACTCGGACTCGGAGGAGGAGGGTTTCTTTTTCGGGAAGCCCATCCCCAAGCCCGGGATGAATTCCCTGGGCAGGGAGCCCCCCGGGAGGGGCAGGGGCAGGACGGCCAAGCACTGCAGCGTGTCCTAACAGCGGGGTCCGATGTCCCCGAGTGGCACTGCCACGTCCTGCCACGGCCTCGGCGTGTTCCGAGCGCGTCCTGGACATGGCCCAAGGCTGCTGGGAGAAGCTGCTGGAATCCTTGGCCTGGCAGAGCCTGCAATTCCTGCCAGCCTCTCCCAGAATTAGGAACAGGTAAAGCAGGGAGGGAGCAGGGCTGGGCCGGCCTCCAGCACCTCCGACACGGCGGCACCTCCGGACAAGGGCAGCTGCCTGCATCGCCCCACTGCTCCCAGTGGGATCCTTCCCTGGACTCCTCCGTGCCCCACTGCCACCCCTCTCCATCCCTGGTGGCACCGTGTGTGTCCTGCTGCCACCACCGCGAGGGGACCGGATGACAAAGCTCCAATAAAGGCTGGCTGAAATCTGAGCAGAGGGTCTGCCCTGTTCCTTCCCAGCCCGTTGTGACACTGAGGATGTCACCGGGGCTGGGAGGTCCCCAGGGGTGACCTCTGCCCTCTGCCACAGTGGGACCCCTCCCTTGCAGGAACAGAACAATGGCAGAGCAAGGGCTGCAAAGAAGACGGGGTTTATTTGAACATTTAAACACAGAAACACTCGCTGGGGTTTGGGAACACATTCCTGGCAATCAGCAACAGAGCAGAGGGACTGCTGCCCTCCCTCCAGTAAAACCAGTAACACTTTTGCTGCCCTCAGGGGTTTGGGCAGGGCTAAACCCAAACATATCCTGCTCACCCTCCTTCTCCAAGAGACACAGTGGGGCTGCCAACATCTCCCAGCTCGTCCCGCAGGCTCAGCACCCTCCTGAGCCCCCCAGAGCGCTGTCAGGAGTGGGGGGCTGCCCTCAGAGGCCGGCGGGGTCCGAGTCGAGGCTGTCGATGAAATCCTGCAGCTGCTGCAGGTGGTGCATGCGGCACTGGCGGAGGTTGGCCCTGAGCGCCAGCCCCAGCGCCGCCTCCATCGAGGGCTCCTTCTGCAGCAGCATCGTGGCCACCACGGCGATGCTCAGGCTGAACTGCTGGTACGACTGCAGGGCAGGGCCACGGGGTCAGCACCCCAAAACCAGCACCAAGCAACCCCTACTTTTAGTCCACAAACCCCCAAACATCATCCGAGCTCCCACAAGCACCTCCCCAAAACCCCAAATTCACACCCCCACTACTCAGCATCGCTCCCAAAGCTCCTCAGGTGAGATCCTGGAGCACCCTTAGGTGCTCATCAGGGGCTGCCAGGGCTCACCAGCTCGATCTTTGCCTTCCTCCTGAGGATGGCGGCGGAGCGGGGATCGATGCCGGCCGGGAGCGGTGTGGGGAGCAGGGAGCAGAGCTGCTGCTGGCCAGACACAGCCTGGGAGGTGGAAAAGGTGAGGAAATCTCAGAGGGGAAAGGGACTGAGCCAAACTGGGGCTGCCAGTGCTGGTCACTAGCCCGGGACTGGTCACCCTGTGGAAGGACCGCAGGTTTGTCACCCTTCCCACTGTGCCCCAGCTTCTCTCCCTCGTTAGCAGTAATTAAGCTGCTCTGGAGGGTTCTCAGAGCTCCAGCCCGGGGCTGTTCACGCTCCAGCACCCCGAGCCTCGGGTCACTTCCCTGGCCTTTTTCCCCGTCCGTTCATCGGTGTTTCTGCAGGGCTGCGCCCCAAAGCTGCCCCTTAACCCCGGCTCCTGCAGCCACAGGGGTCCCCCCTGCCCTGGGGGACACTGGGGGGCTCGGGGGGCACCCAGACCCCGTACCGGGTTTGTCTCACCGGCCCCAGGCCCCGGGGAGGTCTCTGGGGTGGTGTGAGCTCCGGGAGAAGCCCGGCTGGGCTGAGCCTCGGGCTCTGCTGCAGATCCAGGAGGAAGAGGAGGCTCTGCGGGTGGCTGAAGGCTCCATGGGGGCTGAGGGACAGAGAGTGGCACTGCTGGGACAGGGACAGCGCTGCCAGCACGGCCCCATGGCAGCTGAGAGTCACAGGGTGGGGAGCGGAGCTGCCAACATCCCAACTCACCCCATCCTGGGCACCCTGTGCCTCAGTTTCCCCAGCTCCAGGCGGTGGCTGCTCCCGGGAACGTGGGCTGAGCTCGGCCCCGGCCCCTCCAGAGGAGATGGGCTCCAGCAGATCCCCCTTGGCAGGGGTTGCAGGGGCTGCTGGGCTCTGGGGATGTGACCTGTCACTGCTGCCAGCCTTGGGGACACCAGGGCTGCACGGCTCTACCTGTGTGTTATAAACAGCCACATCAGTTTGGCTTCATTTATTTAATGTAATTTAATATATTTAATATAATTATATATATAATATAAAATAAATGTAATATAATAAAATTAATATAATATAATATAATATAATATAATATAATATGCTACAATATGCTATAATATGCTATGCTATGCTATGCTATGCTATGCTATAATATAATATATATAATATATAACATAAATAATATATAATATATATTATATTATATATGTAATATAAATATAAAATATATATTATATATAATATAATATTAAATATATTATATTATAGCATATTATAGCATATTATAGCATATTATATTATAGCATATTATGTTATATGTTATGTATAATATATATATTATCTTTTATTATACATTATACAATAATATATTTTATTATATATAATATAATATATATTTATATATAAATATATATTATTTATCATATTATCATAAATGGCAATTGCTTATAAATTGTAACTGCTTTTAGAGAAGAGGCAAATTTGCAAAGGCTTTGGCGCATTGTATAACTGAAAATGTCCATAAAGCAAGGCTGTCACAAGAGATAACTGCTCCTGTAAAATATATAATCAAGACAGCACAAACAGGGAACAAAATAGCATAAAAAGAGAAAACCAGGCCCAAAGTGGCATCAGGAGACGGGCAGAGGAGCCCCTGCACTGCCTCTGACGAACCCTTGGACCCTGCAGCAGTTTGAATCCTAATTCAGTTCAATTTACATTGAATCCTAATTCAATTCAATTTAAATTAATCCTAATTCAATCCAGGGCGGAGCTGTGGCAAACCCCGAAGCCTGTGCCAAGAAATGTGCGGAAGTTGTGCAATTGCAGCAGCACAAAGAGAAGTGTGCAGGGCTCTGGCCACAGCTACGCACCCAGCACTGTCCCTTCTACTTTATTTATTTGTCCCTTATTTATTGGCTCTTATTAAACCCTTCAAATGGCAGAGTGGCCCTCGTGCCTCGCACTGTGCAAACGCTGCAGGGGCGAGGGGACAAAGGGGTTGGGCAGGGGGCTGTGCTTCCCTGCTGTAGGGTGGGGACAGAAAACATCCCCGGGGGAAGTGTTGGGGGAGATGAAACAAGAAAACCTTATAAATATGATTGCCTGGTGAAAGATTTAGGAAATACAGAGATTGAGATGGTAACAAGTTTTGAGATACCAAACCTTAGTTACTGAACAAGTAGAAAACAATAGCACAGCCAGGATGAAGACAATCCCCCATTCTGGTTGAACAATGCCCTTACCTACAGGTAGGTCCAAGGGTCAGAGGGACTGTTGGATCTCACCCCAATGTACGGTTCATCCCACACCTGTAACCCTCCCCTGGAGCATCAGGAGTCTGTGACCCCATTGGCCTGAGTCTTGTTCCAGCCCACCTTGAACCCCCTGACAAGGAGTCCCTGAGGAGCCAGATGCTCTCTTGGAACTTCCCCTCTCCTGGAACATCCTCTTGGGATCCTCTCTTATCTCCCTCTACCCCTTGTGTCTCCCTTCCCCAACTCCCTCGGGCCTGCCACGGGTCAGGTCTGGTGACTTCAAGCAGGACCTTCCACCCTCTCTAATAATCCAGATATTCTAAGAGCAGCTTCAGAAATCTCTGGTCTCCATCCACCCAAACCGTCCTGGAGCTCAGCATCCCCGCAGGGAAGCAGTGTGCTGCTGGTGGGGAGGATTTTGGGGAGCCTGGAGCTCACCCTGTGCCACGTCCCCATACCTGGAGGTGCTCCTGGATCCCAGGAGAGCTGGAGGTCTCCTCTGGAGGGGCTGGATCTGCTCCTGCAGCACAGGGATCCTGATCCTGGCTGCCCACAGGGGTCTGCCCAGCTTCCAGCTCCACCTGGGGACAGGCAATGGCTGAGGAAACGTGTCCATCAGGGAGTTAAACCCACAGGAAACCACGGAGAGAAAAGCCTGGAAAAATTCCATGCCTGGCAAAGAGACAGCGAGGCGGAGAGGGGAAAGGCTGGATGAGAGAGGAGGGAGATGTCACAGCAGCCAAGGAGAGCCCTGAGCCAGGCAGCTCCAGAGCCGGGAGCACCCCTGGGACCGGAGAACCTCCTACCGGCGGCTCTGCAGCACCGGGATCGGCAGTGGGGCTCTCCCGAGGGCTCCTGGCAGGACTGGGGGGCTCCGGGGCATTCCCAGCCGCCGCTGGCACATCCTGGAGGAAAACGGGACAAAGCTCAAGGTGGGCATCACCCCATTGCTGCCGTGGGATGGGGAGGGGACAGGTAAAACCCACACCTGCGGCTGTCCCGGCTTTTCCCCAACATCCCGGGGATGCTCCGGGGGATGCGGCTCCTTCCTGGCCTGGCTGCGCTTGAAGCGGGCAGGGGAGGAGGGCTTGGAGCGAGGTTTGTGCCCTGCGAGGGATGAAACAGCGGCAGTGGCTCCTCAGCCTGCCCGGGAGAGGATGGAGAGCACCGAGGAGGGGCTCGGGGACATCACGGACCTCGGGGTGGCCGGGGACACCACGCCCGGGGTACCAGCACCAGATGCCGGGGGTGGCTCTGTCGCCTCCCGGCTGGACGACGGCTCCAGGGCGGGCGGTGCTCCCGGAATGTGCCTGGATTCCTGCGGGAACACAGCCCCAGGGTGAGGCTTGGGTTGGGAAGCCTCTCTGGGTAATCCGGGACAGCTTCCAGAGGTCCCGGTGTCACCCCCACCCCGAGCCTGGCACCCACCCTGGATGGGTGGAGGGGGGTCCGGGTGGGGGCTGCTGCTCCTCCGGGAATTCGGGCCAGGGGTCCGGCAGAACATCCTGCAGGGAACAGCACAAGGCACGATGCGGCTGCTGAGGGTCCCCACACACTGTCCTGGTCACCGCGGCAGTGAGTGGCCCCTGCCCCATTCCAGCCACTCGCTCCTGTGGCTGCCACCACCCCCAGCCCGCCTCACCTGGTACCAGATTTCTCCAAAGCTGTCCTCAGGTGGTGGGACGGCTTCTCTGTCATCCCAAGGGGGTGGCAGGGGACAGTCGTGGGGTGCCCACCTCCTGTCCCCCTCCTCCTCCTTCCACGGGATGTCACCGGGGCCAGGGCAGGGTCTGGGGGCTCTGGGGCTGGGCTGCAACGGGAGCGACCACCGTGAGGACACATCCCACTGGATTTTTGGGATTTCTTGCTGCTCCCCCTCCCCACTGTGACCCTCAGCTCTTTCTGCCTCTCCTGCTGGCGGGGGAACCCCTGCTTTGGGCCGGCCTGGATTTGTGGGTGAATCCCCCTTTGCAGGGTGAAATTAGGGGGAGCCAGCTCAGATTTCCAGCCTGGATTTGTGGATTTGTGGGTGAATCCCCCTTTGCAGCAGGGTGAAATTAGGGGGAGCCAGCTCAGATTTCCAGCCTGGATTTGTGGATTTGTGGGTGAATCCCCCTTTGCAGCAGGGTGAAATTAGGCTGAGCCAGCTCAGATTTCCAGCCTGGATTTGTGGATTTGTGGGTGAATCCCCCTTTGCAGCAGGGTGAAATTAGGGGGAGCCAGCTCAGATTTCCAGCCTGGATTTGTGGGTGAATCCCCCTTTGCAGCAGGGAGAAATTAGGGGGAGCCAGCTCAGATTTCCAGCCTGGATTTGTGGGTGAATTCCCCTTTGCAGGGTGAAATTAGGGGGAGCCAGCTCAGATTTCCAGCCTGGATTTGTGGGTGAATTCCCCTTTGCAGGGTGAAATTAGGGGGAGCCAGCTCAGATTTCCAGCCTGGATTTGTGGGTGAATCCCCCTTTTCCAGCCTGGATTTATGGGTGAATCCCCCTTTGCAGTAGGGTGAAATTAGGGGGAGCCAGCTCAGATTTCCAGCCTGGATTTATGGGTGAATCCCCCTTTTCCAGCCTGGATTTATGGGTGAATCCCCCTTTGCAGCAGGGAGAAATTAGGGGGAGCCAGCTCAGATTTCCAGCCTGGATTTGTGGGTGAATCCCCCTTTTCCAGCCTGGATTTGTGGGTGAAACCCCCTTTGCAGCGGGGTGAAATTAGGGGGAGCCAGCTCAGATTTCCAGCCTGGATTTGTGGATTTGTGGGTGAATCCCCCTTTGCAGCAGGGTGAAATTAGGGGGAGCCAGCCCAGATTTCCAGCCTGGATTTGTGGGTGAATCCCCCTTTGCAGCAGGGTGAAATTAGGGAACCCCACGAGGATGTGAAACCCCAGAGCAAGCAGCAGTGGCAGGGAACAGGGGCAGGTGTTTCCTAGGAGGAACCAGAGGGCAGAAATTTGCTTTTTTAAGGACAAATGCTCCACACTGTGAGTGTGGATTCCTCCCCTGGTCACTCCTGGAGGCTGAGCCAGAGATTTGTGCGGGTCTGGGTGAGCAACATCAATCCAAACTTTGTAATTGCTAATTAACTTTGGAACTATTGATTTAATTAGCAGCGTCCTAATATATAGGTTATATATATAACCACGGTGATAAACGAATGTGATTCGTGTTAACAATTGTAATTATATCGATGGAGACGTATTTGTTTTGTCATTTTTAATCCTGGGGGGTGTGTGGGGGTAGACACAAACTGCTGACCAGCTTCCCCAGCTGCATCCTGACATTTCCAAACTCTTTTTGGGAATTTTGGGAATGTCAGGAACTCCTGTCCGTGCCTGGGTGACCACGAGTGGATCCAAACACACCCAGCCTGATTTTGGGGATGGGGTTCAGTGAGCTGGGGGGTTCCTTGCTGTGACTTGGGAGGGTCTCCCTGACCAACTCCAACGCTCCCACCGTGCCTGGGACACATCCCTGGGACATGTCCCCCAGCCCTGTCCCTTACCGGGCGCCTCCTGTGCCGGCGGCTCCTGTGCTGCTCCTGGGGTGGCTCATTCCAGGGTGGCTCATTCCAGGGTGGCTCATCCCAGGGTGGCCCGTCCCAGGGTGGCCCATCCCAGGGTGGCTCGTCCCAGGGTGGCTCGTCCCAGCCGTCCTCGGGGCCAACAGGAGGACACGGCCATGGTCCATCCCACCACGGGGCGGGCTGTGGAGACACCCGTGAACCCTTTTCCCAGCAGGGATGGGGAGGCAGGAACCCACCCAGATGATCCCGAGTCCCCACCCGGAGCACCCCGATGTTCTCCCGAGCATCCCCCAAGGATGGAGATGATGGAGCAGCCACACCGGGGTGACCCAGGGGAGAGCCCCAACCGCACGTACCTCCCTGGGGAAGCCTCTCCTGCAGCCCGGCGAGGGGAACATCCTGCCCGAGGGCCGCCCTGGCTCCAGGAGCTGCGGGATCCGCTGAGAGGGAGAGGCTGGCTCAGCACGTCCCCCAGGACGTCACTGCCGGCTTGGGGACACTGCCAGCCAGGTGCCACCCGTGCTGCTGCCAGCCCCGAGCCCGGAGCGCTGCGACACCCCCGGGGCCACCGGGACACCCCCACCGCGTGTCGGAGTTGGGGACACCGAGACCCGCTCGTTGTCCCCCGGGGGTGACATGGCACACCCTTTGCCCGCCCGGGGCTCTGTTTGTCCCTGCCACGTGTCATCGCCACGCCGTGATGTCCCCAAGCATCCCGGGGTCAGGCCATGGGGGTTTGGATGAGCCCCCCCGCCCAGCCTGAAACCCCATTTTTGTCCCCAAATTGCGGGGGGACAGCCTCAGGTCCTGCAAAGCAACACTGGGAGCGCGGAGGGGGTTGGGATGGAGAGCCCTGCACCCCTTCACCCCAATCCTGAATCCCAATCCTGAATCCCAATCCTTCCCTGCACCCTAATCCTGCTTCCCTGCCCCCCAATCCTGCCCCTCTGCCCCCCGATCCCCCGGAGCTCTCCCGGAGTTCCCACCGGGAGTTCCCCCCGGAGTTTCCCTTCCTCTTCCCACCCCGCTCCCGGCGCTGATTCCCGGGGATCCAAATTCCTCCGGGAATCTCGGATCCATCAGCGGGGTGGGAGCAAAGACCCGCAAACTGCACCCCACGGGCACCCGCAGTCCCCCTGAAAGGACACGGAATATCCATGGGAGAGGGGATCCCGGGGTCCCTGCACCCCCAGGACATGGAATATCCATGGATTATGGGATCCCGGGGTCCCTGCACCCCCAGGCTATGGAATATCCATAGATGATGGGATCCCGGGGTCCCTGCACCCCCAGGCCATGGAATATCCATGGATGGTGGGATCCCGGGGTCCCTGCACCCCCAAACTACGGAATACCCATGGAAGAGGGGATCCTACACCCCCCAGGACATGGAATACCCATGGATGATGGGATCCTGGGAGTCCTGCACCCCCAGATTATGGGATCCCGGGGTCCCTGCACCCCCAGGCTATGGAACACCCATGGATTATGGGATCCTGGGGTCCCTGCACCCCCAGGCTATGGAATACCCATGGAAGAGGGGATCCTACACCCCCAGGACATGGAATATCCATGGAAGAGGGGATCCCGGGATCCCTGCAGCCCCAGGTTATGGAACACCCATGGAAGAGGGGATCCTGCACCCCCAGGACATGGAATATCCATGGATTATGGGATCCCAGGGTCCCTGCACCCCCAGGCTATAGAATACCCATGGAAGAGGGGATCCTGCACCCCCAGGCTATGGAATACTCATGGAAGAGGGGATCCTACACCCCCAGGACATGGAATACCCATGGATTATGGGATCCCGGGGATCCTGCACCCCCAGGCCATGGAATATCCATGGAAGAGGGGATCCTACACCCCCAAGCTATGGAATATCCATGGATGGTGGGATCCTGGGGTCCCTGCACCCCCAGGCTATGGAATACCCATGGATTATGGGATCCCGGGGTCCCTGCACCCCCAGGACATGGAATATCCATGGATGATGGGATCCCTGCACCCCCAGGACACGACCCCCCCTCCCCAGCGCCACCACCCAGCTCCAGCATCACCCGCCGGGTCCCCGGGGTGCTCCCAGACTTGTGCCGGGATATTTCGGGAAGCAGGACCCGCATTCCCGGGGCTGAGAGCCGAGGAGTGCCCAGGGAAGGGTGGGAGGGTTTGGCTCCATCACACCCACCTTTGCTGCCATGCCGGGGCTGCTGTCACCTCCCGGCGTGTCCGTCTGTCCGTCTGTCACCTCCCGGCACCCCAAACCCTCTGCCCACCCAATTCATCCCCTCCCGGCGCCTCCAGCCTCTCCTCCCCCGTATCCCGCGGCATTCCCGCTGGGAATGCGCTGCAGGGGCTGCCTGGCACGGCCACCCCGCCCTGCCCCGGGTGATTTATCGCCTCCCGGCCCGCCGGGGGTTGGCTGGGACGCTCTGATAACCAACTGGTCTGAACTGGTCGGGCCGGCCCTGCGGATTCCTGCGGATTCCTGCGGATTCCTGCGTCCCCATGGAGCTGCGGACACGGCCTGACCTTCCAGGAACGTGGGAGGGAAGGGAAGGCTCCGGCTCTGCTCGCTGGTCCCAAATGGTCATAAAGGATGGGGGATGTGAAAGACAACAGCATCGGGTTTGTTTTTGTTCATTGGGATTGTGTAAAACGCAGGAAACAGTGGGGCAGGAGGGCAGGATGTATGGGATCAATAGATAGTGGAATTGAGAGATCTTTGAAAGCTGAGTTACCATATTTGGAGAAGTTATTGCAGGGTTAACGTTACCTCGGAGGAAGAAGAATAAAAAAGACCCCTAGCAACACTGAGAAGATGCAGAGATACTGAGGGGTATAGGAACTGAAACACCCGGAGGTGCAGTCGAGCTCTTGTGGGGAGCAGAAGCCCCCCGGCCACCCAGCGGTGTTGCTTGCTTGCTAAATTAATAAAATTCTCTTTAAAAAGTGACACAAATTGGTCCCGTGTCATAATTTATAACAGGGGAGAAGAGAGCCTCGGGGTGAACTCGCTGATCCCAAATATTCATAAAGGATGGAGAGAAAAGGGAGCCCTGGGATGAACTGACTGATCCCAAATGTTCATAAAGGATGGGGAAGAAAAGGGATCTTTGGGGTAAACTCACTGATCCCAAATATTCATAAATGATGGGGAGAAAAGGGAGCCTTGGGGTGAACTCGCCGATCCCAAATGTTCATAAAGAACTCACTGATCCCAAATATTCATAAATAATGGGGGGAAAAGGGAGCCTTGGGATGAACTCGCTAATCCCAAATATTCATAAAGAATGGGGGGGAAAAGGAAACCTCGGGGTGAACTCGCTGAAACCAAACGTTCATAAAGGATGGGGAGAAAAGGGAACCACAGGATGAACTCGCTGATCCCAAATGTCGACAAAGGAAAGGGGTGAACGGGGAAACCCAAAGGCAAGTGGAGTTAAACCCTTCAAAACCCCAAAGAGGATGTGGGGCCTGTTAAAAACGAGACGCTGGGCTCAGGCAATAGACCAAGCAGCAGCAATTCAGTTTCTGAATAAATGTGTTAACGCTGTGAGCAAAGGCAGCGCTGGGCACGGCGCTCTGGTTTTCCCCTCCAACTGCCACTGACTGCTGGCCTTGCTGCTATTTATTGAGCACATCCAAAAGCTTTTCTCAGCACTTTCTACTTCCCATTTTCACACACTCTTTCAGCAGTTTCTATTTCTACCTTTTGACGTCACAATTCTACACTTTAGGATCAAAAATCTACGATGGTGATGTCTGATTCCTTCCCAGTTTCTGTGCTCTGTTGTGATCTAGTCCTGGTTTCAATATCCCAGGATGTGTGTCCAGCTTCTATTTTCTGTGATCATTAATCCAAATAGTCAGGTCCAGCTTCCCCTTTCAAAATCACTAATCAGCAACCTTGATGTCCATCTTCCTTCTCCAGGAGCTTGTGTAGGTTCACTTCCCTCTTCTCTTTAAATCCTTTGCACATTCTAAAGCTGCAGTTTAAAATCTTTAATACTAAGCGACATTCTAAAGTTATAATTCAATGTTTCTTATTACAAAACAGCTTAAGATTTAATTACAAGCAAAAAGTTCTTATCAAAAGGCAACATTCTGAAGTTATAATTCAAATATTCTTATTGCAAAACAGCTTAAGGCTTGTAATTGTTATTTGCAAACAAAAGATTGGTTCAAAAGCTTCTTCCACGCTTTCCTCAGTTGTTTATTAGAACTCATCTGACATGAAATGAGCACACAGAAGCTTGGGAAGTTCAAAGGAGAAAAAGAATCAGTTTTATTCCAACATCTGGGATTTATAGAATTCCAAAGGTGACCGTGGGTTGGAGGATGGAATTAGCACCTCTCCAACCACACTGGCCCAAAGATCAATCAATCATTTCTCTCCACCCATAAATTATTCTATTTATATATGAAATTGTGTGGGAACTCTGACTCTCAAATATGTAAATATTATCAGATGGCTACAGAAGTTTCATGAGAACCTTAAAACTTTCAGAAGAACTATAAAAGAAAACGGAACACTTTTAAAAATCAGGACAACGCTCATCTTTGTCACTGTCACAATGACACTTTATTTACCTGACACCAAACACGGCTCTGGATGTCACAGGGCCCGGGCAGCCCCAGGGATCTGCTCCCCCCAGCAGATCTGCCTCTCCAGATGGGCCCTTAATGAGCCCCTAATTGCATAAATCAATTAGCTGGCTGGTGGATCAATTAGTGGGATTTGGGGAGAGAATCCAGCAGCAGGGACAGAGGAGGCTGCACCTGGATGGATGGATGGATGGATGGATGGATGGATGGATGGATGGATGGATGGATGGATGGATGGATGGATGATGGATGATGGATGGATGGATGGATGGATGGATGATGGATGGATGGATGGATGGATGGATGATGGATGGATGGATGGATGGATGGATGGATGGATGGATGGATGGATGATGGATGGATGGATGGATGATGGATGGATGGATGGATGATGGATGATGGATGATGGATGGATGGATGATGGATGGATGGATGGATGGATGATGGATGGATGGATGATGGATGATGGATGGATGGATGGATGGATGGATGGATGATGGATGGATGGATGATGGATGATGGATGGATGGATGGATGGATGGATGGATGGATGGATGGATGGATCCCAGTCCCAGTTCTAGTTCTGATCTCGCTCCCAATCCCGTTCCAAATCCCAATCCCGTTCCAAATCCCATCCCAATCCAGTTCCGATCCCGCTCCCGCCCTCACGTAGCGCTCTGCGCGCCACTGCCTACGTCACGCCGTACTGTTGACGTCACTCCGTACCGCTGACGTCACGCCGTACCGCTGACGTCACGCGCAGCAATGGCGGCGGCGGCCGGGCCGGGAGCGGCGGCGGGAGCGGCGGGGGCGGCCCCGCCTCGGGGCATCCGCGCCTGGCTGCGGAGCGCCTTCCGCTTCGCCACCGACCGCAACGACTTCCGCAGGTCCGGCAGCGGGGACGGGACCGCGCCGGGCCGGGCCCGAGGCGGGGAGCGCGGGCGGGAGCGCGGGTCTGACCCGGGGTCTGTCCCCGGTGTTTGTCCCGGGGTCTGTCCCGGTGTCTGTCCCGAGGTCCGTTCCCGTGTCTGCCCCGGGGTCTGTCTGTCCCCGGTGTTTGTCCCCGTGTCTGTCCCCGGATCCCCCAGAGCAGGAGCAGGGCCGGGATCGTCCCTCGGTCCCTGTGTCCGGTTCTGGCACCTCCTTCAGGGAGGAGATTTTGGGACCGGAACGGGCCCAGGGAAGGGAGCGGAGCTGGGAAGGGTTTGGAGAGCCCTGAGGGATCTGGGAAGGGTTTGGAGAATCCAAAGGGAGCTGGGAAGGGTTTGGAGAGCCCTGAGGGAGCTCAGAAGGGTTTGGAGAGTCCTGAGGGAGCTGGGAAGGGTTTGGGGAGCCCTGAGGGAGCTGGGAAGGGTTTGGAGAGCCCTGAGGGATCTGGGAAGGGTTTGGAGAGCCCTGAGGGAGCTGGGAAGGGTTTGGAGAATTCCTGAGGGAGCTGGGAAGGGTTTGGAGAATTCCTGAGGGAGCTGGGAAGGGTTTGGGGAGCCCTGAGGGAGCTGGGAAGGGTCTGGAGAGCCCTGAGGGAGCTGGGAAGGGTTTGGAGAATTCCTGAGGGAGCTGGGAAGGGTCTGGAGAGCCCTGAGGGAGCTTGGAAGGGTTTGGAGAATTCCTGAGGGAGCTGGGCAGGGTTTGGAGAGTCCTGAGGGAGCTGGGCAGGGTTTGGAGAGTCCTGAGGGAGCTAGGAAGGGTTTGGGGAGCCCTGAGGGAGCTGGGCAGGGGCTCAGCCTGGAGCAAAGGAGGCTCAGGGGGAATTTCTGGCTCTGCACAACTCCCTGGCAGGAGGGGACAGCCGGGGGGGATTTGGGATCTCATCCCAGGGAACAGGGACAGGAGGAGAGGGAACGGCCTCAGGCTGTGCTGGGGAGGCTCAGGTTGGACACCAGCAGGAATTTCCTCATGGGAAGGGCTGGAAGGGGCTGCCAGGGGGGTTTGGAGTGCCCATCCCTGGAGGTGGCACCTGGAGGTGGCACTGGGTGATCAGGGTGGGGGTCCTGGACTCGGATGGACTTTCCCAAAACCGTTCCCGGGCTCAGTTCTGGGGGTTTGTGCTGCAGGAACCTGCTGCTGAACCTGGGGCTGTTTGCTGCCGGGGTCTGGGTGGCACGGAACCTGACTGACATCGACCTGATGGCCCCACAGCCCAGCCCGTAGCTCCGGTCAGTCCCGGGACTGGGAATATCCTGAGCTGGGAGGGACCCACGGCATCAAATCCAACCCCTGGCCTGCACAGACACCCTGGAATCCCACCCTGGGCATCTAAAATCCCACCCTGGGCATCTAAAATCCCACCCTGGGCATCCCTAAGATCCCAAAATCCCACCCTGGGTGTCCCTGGGGATCCCAAAATCCCACCCTGGGTGTCCCTGAGATCCCAAAATCCCACCCTGAGCGTCCCTGAGATCCCAAAATCCCACCCTGGGGATGCCAAAATCCCACCCTGGGCATCCCTGGGATCCCAAAATCCCACCCTGGGCATCACTGAGATCCCAAAATCCCACCCTGGGGATCCAAAATCCCACCCTGGGGATCCCAAAATCCCACCCTGGGCATCCCCGGGATCCCAAAATCCCACCCTGGGCATCCCTGAGATCCCAAAATCCCACCCTGGGCATCTAAAATCCCACCCTGGGCGTCCCTGGGGATCCAAAATTCCACCCTGGGCATCCCTGAGATCCCAAAATCCCACCCTGGGCATCCCTGAGATCCCAAAATCCCACCCTGGGCGTCCCTGAGATCCCAAAATCCCACCCTGAGCATCCCTGAGATCCCAAAATCCCACCCTGGGCATCCCTGGGGATCCAAAATCCCACCCTGGGCATCCCTGAGATCCCAAAATCCCTCTGGGGGAAGAACCTTTCCCAAAATCCATCCTCAGGCTCCCAAATCCAGCCCTTCCCTGGGTGCTGTCCCTGCTCACCCGAGTTTGGAGCTGAGCAAACCCCCCCAGGGCAGCGCTGCCACCCCCTGAGGGGGCACAAACCCCACAGAACCTCCTGACCCACGTTTGAGAGCAGAACCCGCTCCCCTGACGGTGCCAACTCCTGTGCCAGGACTGGAGCCGTGGAGCTGCTCTGAACCCCCTGGAATTGCTCCTGGAGCTACTCTGATCCCCCTGGAGCTGCTCTGATCCCACCTGGAATTGCTCTGATCCCACCTGGAGCTGCTCTGATCCCACCTGGAATTGCTCCTGGAGCTGCTCTGATCCCTTTGGAGCTGCTCTGATCCCCCCTGGAATTGCTCTGGTCCCACCTGGAGCTGCTCTGATCCCACCTGGAATTGCTCTGATCCCCCTGGAGCTGCTCTGGTCCCACCTGGAGCTGCTCTGATCCCACCTGGAGCTGCTCTGATCCCTTTGGAGCTGCTCTGATCCCACCTGGAGCTGCTCTGATCCCACCTGGAATTGCTCCTGGAGCTGCTCTGATCCCCCTGGAATTGCTCTGATCCCCCTGGAATTGCTCTGATCCCACCTGGAATGGCTCTGGTCCCACCTGGAGCTGCCTGGAGCAGTGACAAGGACAAAAGGTTTAATGCTGAGAGGGAGAATTGATTTCCCATCCATCCATTCATTCCTCTGGGAATTGTCCCCTGGAGGATCTGAATGGAATTTCCTTCTGTACCCCCCACCCCCAGATGTTTATTAAATTTTATGGAATAACAACACAGCCCACTGGAGTTTATTTCTTTTTTCTTGGTTTTTTTTTTTTTGTTTTGTTTTGTTTTAATAAGAAATTCAGCTTTAAAAAACCCAAAAAAACAACACAACAAAACAAAGTGTAAAGATTTACAAAATTCAAAAAAAAAAGAAGAATAATCATAAAACATGATTTCTGTTTCACACCCGAGAGAGAGAGACAGGGACGAGTCCAGCCCTGGGACACAGCTACTGCTGCCAGGGGAAATCCAGTTGGGATGGAATTGAAATCCAGCCTGGGATGGAACTGAAATCCAGCCTGGGATGGAAATCCAGGGAAAATCCAGCTGGGATGGAATTGAAATCCAGCCTGGGATGGAAATCCAGGGAAAATCCAGCTGGGATGGAACTGAAATCCAGCCTGGGATGGAACTGAAATCCAGCCTGGGATGGAACTGAAATCCAGCCTGGGATGGAATTGAAATCCAGCCTGGGATGGAAATCCATCGAAAATCCAGCTGGGATGGAACTGAAATCCAGCCTGGGATGGAAATCCAGGGAAAATCCATCTGGGCTGGAACACCAGGAGAAATCCAGGTTGCTCCCCGCTCCCAGCCCTGGGCGTGGGGACAGAGGTGCCCCTGGTGCCCCCCTCTGCTCCCCAAAAAAAACCCAAAATTCCCTTTTCAGAGCAGCTGCTCCACCACCCCACAGAAACCCCGAATTCCCTGGAAAGGGGGGACAGTCCCATCCCCTCCTGCAGGAAAAGGGGATTCATTCCCCTCTTCCAGGCCCTGCAGGGTTAATCCCGGGTTTAATCCGGGTTTAATTTGCTCCCACAAATCCTCCCCTGTGGGGCCAAGGTCAGCCTTGGATCCAGGGATGGTTTGGGGTGATTTGGGGCTGATTTGGAGCTGATGTAGGCCAGATTTGGGGTTCATTTAGGAGTGATTTGGGGCTGATTTAGGAGTGATTTGGGGCTGATTTAGGTCCTGATTTGAGACCAATTTGGGGTTGATTTAGGAGTGATTTGGGGCCGATTTAGGGGTGATTTGGGACTGATTTAGGCCCTGATTTGGGACCAGTTTGGGGTTGATTTAGGCCCTGATTTGGGGTTGATTTAGGAGTGATTTGGGGCCAATTTAGGCCCTGATTTGGGGTTGATTTGGGACCAATTTGGGGTTGATTTAGGCCAGATTTGGGCCAGGTTTGGAGTTGATTTAGGAATGATTTGGGGTTAGATTTAGGGGTGATTTGTGGCTGATTTGGCCTGATTTGGGGCTGATTTAGTAGTAATTTGTGGCTGATTTAGGAGTGATTTAGGGGTGATTTGTGGCTGATTTAAGACTGATTCAGGGTTGATTTAGGCCTGATTTAGGCCAGATTTGGGGCTGATTTAAGAATGATTTGGGGCTGATCTGGGGGTGATTTAAGGTTGATTTAGGCCAGATTTGGGGTTGATTTAGGGGTGATTTGGGGGTGATTTAAGGCTGATTTGGGGGTGATTTGGGACAAACCTGTCTGCATGAAAAGCAGCCAGGAATAGTCAGGAATTCTGGAATATCCCGAGCTGGAAGGATCAGACAGGAACCCAACGAGTCCCTCCCCTCATCTGCCCCTCGAGGCCCTTCATTTGTAGCCCTTAATTAATGAACTAATTGGATTCTCCTGTCACTTGCTGCTGTCCTTGAGGAGGACACGCCAGGCCTGGCGCTGGCATCAGGCAGGATGGGAAATGGGAATTTTTCTCTGACACAATCCAAGTTTTTTTGCTTGCTCTGCTCAATTTTCCCAAGGACAGGAGGTTGAAATTCCCAGGAAAAAGTGGGATTTGGGAACTTTTCCCCCACAGCAACAAAGGTTGGCAGCTTGTGTTTATCTGATGAGACGAAAGGAGCAAAAGGGAGAAAAAAAAACACTTGGAGAGATTTCCTGCCTGAAAACTGAATATTTTTTTTAAAAAAAACCTCATATTTCTTGATTACTTAAAAAAAATAACCCAGATTAACAGACAAAAATTGTAATATTCAGATTAAAAGGTGAAATGTGAACAGCCAAGCCCCAAAATTACAAAAAACCACACCTGAGGTGCAACTGTAGAAGTGACTGTAAATAGTCCAGCTAAGGCTCTTTTTTTTCCCCACAGAATTCCCAAAATTAGGCTGATTTCAGATACAGACTTTTTGTTTTTGTAGCTTTGCCAGCTCCACGTGGAATTTGGGATTTCACATTCCTCCCCTTGGGTGGCCCTGCAGGAATCCCCAAATAAATGACATTTTTTTACTGATTTTTCACCCCAAAAGCAGTGACAAGAGCCCACCCTGAATGTGGCATTGCCACCACCCCGTTCCCCTGAGGAAAAGCTGCCACATTTGTACAAAAAAAGGGGAATTTCCCCCCAATTCCAACTTCTGCTGCCACAGCTTTTGGAAACTCTTCCCAGTCCAGGGGATGCCAGCAGAAACCTGGAGCTCAGGTTTTGGTTTGGCTGCTGGATGTGCCCCTCAGGGACATTCCTGGGGGTTTTCTTGGGTGTTAAAACACATTTTTGGGGGAGTTAAAACTTACTTTATATGTGCTAAATCCCATTTTTGGGAGTAAAAACCCCATTTTTTGTGGGTTAAACCCCATTTTTGTGTGTGTGTGTGTGCTAAAACCCACCTCATGTGTGTTAAAACCCATTTTTGGGGATGAAAACATTTTTGTGTATCAAAACACAATTTATGTGTGTTAAACCCATTTTTGGGGGTTAAACTCCATTTTTGTTGTGTGTTAAAACCCACCTTATATGTGTTAAAACCCATTTTTGGAGGTTAAACCCCTTTTTCTCCACGGCAGAACTCCATGAAAATCCCATTTTTGAGGGGATTTAGCTGCCAGCTGAGTTCAGGCCAGAGAAAACCCTGGAATGTGGCACAGAAATTGGAGTTCCAGGGGCAGCAGAGGGAGGAGTTGAGGGGAATTTTGAAGTTTTTCCAGCAGGAACAGCTCTGGGATGCACCAGGCCACTCAGGGGTACTGTGCCAGTTCCTCTTGGAGCTGGAGCAGGATTTTTAGGGATTGGGGGGTGTTGATCCAGGGGGATTCTCCTGTTTCATTTCTCTTTGACAGGGGATGAATGAACAGCATCAAACTTCATCGTTCCATGGTTTTCTGGAGCCAAAAAGACTCTCAAAACCCAAGATTCTGCCCAAACTCAGAACTGCCCAGCTCCAGAAGGTTCTCCAAGCATCTTGCTGTGATCCCATTGCTGCCCGGATCCCATCCCAGAACCAATCCCATCCCTGTTTCCCTGAACCCATCCCTGTCCTGATCCCATCCCTGCCCTGATCCCATTCCATCCTTGATCCCATTCCAGCCCTCATCCCATCCCTGCCCCGATCCCATCCCTGCCCTGATCCCATCCTGATCCCATCCCTGCCCCGATCCCATCCCAGCCCTGATCCCATTCCAGCCCTCATCACATCCCAGCCCTGATCCCATCCCTGTTTCCCTGATCCCACCCCTGCTCTGATCCCATTGCTGCCCTGATCCTATCCCTGTTTCCCTGATCCCATCCTTGCCCCGATCCCATCCCTGCTCTGATCCCATTCCAGCCCTGATCACATCCCTGCCCTGATCCCATTCTTTACCTGATCTCATCTCTGTTTCCCTGATCCCATCCCTGCTCTGATCCCATCCTGATCCCATTGCTGCCCTGATCCCATTCTTTACCTGATCCCATCCCATCCCTGATCCTATCCCTGTCCCGATCCCATCCCCGATCTCATCCCTGACCCCATCCCTGTTTCCCCAATCCCATTGCTGATCCCATTCCAGCCCGGATCCCATCCCTGTTTCCCTGATCCTATCCCTGCCCCGATCCCATCCCGGATCTCATCCCTGATCCCATCCCAGCCCCGATCCCATACCTGCCCTGATTCCATCCCTGTTTCCCTGATGCCATTGCTGATCCCATCCCAGCCCTGACCCCATCCTGTTTCCCTGATGCCATTCCATCCCTGACCCCATCCCTGTTTCCCTGATGCCATTCCATCCCTGACCTCATCCCTGTTTCCCTGATCCCATTGCTGATCCCATCCCTGTTTCCCTGATCCCATCCCTGCTCTGATCCTATCCCTGTTTCCCCGATCCCATTGCTGATCCCATCCCTGTTTCCCTGATCCCATCCCTGTTTCCCTGACCCTATCCCTGCCCCGATCCCATCCCTGATCCCACTGCTGCCCTGATCCCATCCCAGCCCTGATCCCATCCCTGTTTCCCTGATCCCATCCCTGTTTCCCCGGCCCCATATCCCTGTTTCCCCAACCCCATCCCTGTTTCCCTGATCCTATCCCGGCCCCGATCCCATCCCTGATCTCATCCTTGATCCCATCCCAGCCCCGACCCCATCCCCGCAATTTCCCCAGCCCCATCCCTGTTTCCCCGATCCCATTGCTGACCCCATCCCTGACCCCATCCCTGTTTCCCCGGCCCCATCCCTGTTTCGTTTCCCCGATCCCATTGCTGACCCCATCCCAGTTTCTCCGGCCCCATCCCCGCAGTTTCCCTGACCCCATTCCCGTTTCCCTGACCTCATCCCTGCCCTGATCCCATCCCCGTTTCTCCGACCCCATCCCTGCAGTTTCCCCGGCCCCACCCCGCAGTTTCCTGGAGCAGAGGCAATGATCCCCGTGTTTCCCTGGTGGCAGTGCCAGCGCCGTGTCCTTGTCACTGGTTTTGGGTGGCAAACACCTGAGTTTGGAGCCGTTTTTGGGGGATTCCTGCTGTGTCCTGCGGCGTTCTCTGAGTGTAGAAGAGGATGTAGGCCTGGGTCTTGCACACCTCCTCCACGCTACATACATTCAGTTTGGAGTCATTGCAGTGCACCCAAAAACCTGGAAAAAAGGGAAAAAAAACCCAAAACTTTGAGGCAGGATCCCTTTGGATTTTGGAACTGCTCACAGGAAACATCCGCAGGAGAAAAGGCACCTCTGTCTTCTCCTCTGAGCTGGAAAATTGATTTAATACAATTTTAAGTCTAATTTTTATATAAATATAACTCTAAATATAATTTAAAAATATAACTTCAATATAATTTTATATTACTTTAAATACAACTTTAAAAATCTAATTTTAATATAATTTTATATAAATATAACTTTAAATACAACTTTAAAATATAATTTTATATAAATATAACTTTAAACACAACTTTAAAATATAATTTTAATATAATTTTATATAAATATAACATTTAATATAATTCTAAATATATAATCTTTATATAATTTTATATAAACGTAACTTTAAATAGAATTTTTAATATATAATTTTTAATATAATTTTTATACAAACACAACTTTACATATTATTTTAAATGTATTTTTGATATATTTTTATATAACTATACCTTTTAATATACCTTTTAATATAATTTTTAGATAAACATAACTTTAAATATTATTTTAATATATAATTGTAGATAATTTTTAGATAAACATAACTTTAAATTTTATTTATATATATTTTTGATATAATCTTTATATAACTATACCTTTTAATATAATTTTAATATAATTTTTAGATAAATATAACTTTTAATATAATTTAAATATAATTTTTAGATACATATAACTTTTAGTCTAATTTTAATATAATTTTTAGATACATATAACTTTTAGTCTAATTTTAATATAATTTTTATATAAATATAACTTTTAATATAATTTTAAAAACAGCATTCTTAATATAATTTTTGGGGTGCCTTAGAAATATCAAATCATCATTGAATCAGCCCAAAAGCTCAATCAGGCAGCCAAAACTCCCCAAATTTTTGGAGGCAGGAAGGCAGAGCTGCTGGGATCTCCCAGCCCCCTGCGGATGCTGCTGATGAATAATTCCTGTTTTTCCAGCCTCAAAACATTTTCTGTTCATCTCCTCCACCCTGAGGCTCCTGAGCAAACCCAACTCTGGCAGAACGAAGAATTCCCACCATTCCCAGGAAAACAACAACAAAAAAAACCCCAAAAATAAACCACAAAAAATTATAAAAAAATAGGAATATAGGAAAAAACAAGGAGTGGATCCCAAGGAAGTGGAATCAAAGGAGGGAAAAGCCAAGGAATGGTGAGGCAGGGGAGAGGATTGGGATTTGGGATTTGGGATTTGGGCACTCACGCACCTCCCTCGGTGTTGTAGCAATAGGCGGTGTAGTGTCCTGAGCCAAAGCCCTTCCCGTGGTGCATCACCACGGCCGAGAGGTCGTAGACGCAGGTGCCCGTGGCCAGGGAGGGCAGCGAGTCCCTGCAGCAGTAGGGTTCCATGTTCAGCACCTGCTCAAACAGCACGTGCACCCCGATCTTCTCGCGGTGATTGCGCTCAGACCACCTGCCAACACAAATCCTGCACTCAGGGTGCTCAGAGGGAAATAACCCGAGGGTTCTGACACAAAATTCCCTGCAGGAAACTCCCAAACACACAAATCCCGCGTTCGGGGTGCTCAGAGGGAAATAACCCAGGGTTCTGACACAAAATTCCCTGCAGGAAACTCCCAAACACACAAATCCGCATTCGGGGTGCTCAGAGGGAAATAATCTGGGGTTTTTGCCCCAAAATCCACTGCAGGAAACTCCCAAACACACAAATCCCACACTCAGGTGCTCAATGTTGCCAATTCCAGGGGTTTCACCCCAATATCCACTGCAGGAAACTCCCAAACACACAAATCTCACAGAGTGAGCTAATCCGGGGGTTTCGCCCCAAAATTCCCTGCAGGAAACTCCCAAACACACAAATCCCACACTCAGGGTGTACAGCATAACCAAATCTGGGGGTTCCGACACAAAATCCACTGCAGGAAACTCCCAAACACACAAATCCCACAGAGTGAGCTAATCTGGGGGTTTTGCCCCAAAATCCACTGCAGGAAACCCCCAAACACACAAATCCCACACTCAGGGTGCTCAGAGGGAAATAACCCGGGGGTTCCAACCCAAAATTCCCTGCAGGAAACTCCCAAACAGACAAATCCCGCACTCAGGGTGCTCAGAGGGAAATAATCCAGGGGTTCAGACACAAAATTCACTGAAGGAAACTCCCAAACACACAAATCCCACATTCAGGGTGTACATCATAACCAAATCTGTGGGTTTTGCCCCAAAATCCACTGCAGGAAACCCCCAAACACACAAATTCCGCACTCAGGGTGCTCAGAGGGAAATAATCCAGGGGTTTTGCCCCAAAATCCACTGAAGGAAACTCTCAAACACACAAATCCCACACTCAGGGTGTACAGCATCACTAAATCTGGGGGTTTCGCCCCAAAATCCACTGTAGAAACTCCCAAATACACAAATCCCACATTCGGGGTGCTCAGAGGGAAATAATCTGGGGGTTCCAACTCAAAATTCCCTGCAGGAAACTCTCAAACACACAAATCCCACACTCAGGTGCTCAATGTTGCCAATTCCAGGGGTTTCACCCCAATATCCACTGCAGGAAACCCCCAAACACACAAATCCCACATTCAGGGTGTACAGCATAACCAAATCTGGGGATTTCGCCCCAAAATCCACTGCAGGAAACTCCCAAACACACAAATCCCACATTCGGGGTGCTCAGAGGGAAATACCCCAGGGGTTCCGACACAAAATCCACTGAAGGAAACTCCCAAACACAGAAATCCCACACTCAGGGTGCTCAGCCCTGAGTTTCACCCCAAAATTCCCTGCAGGAAACTCCCAAACAGACAAATCCCACACTCAGGGTGTACAGCATAACCAAATCTGGGGGTTTCGCCCCAAAATTCCCTGCAGGAAACGCTCAAACACAGAAATCTCACACTCAGGGCTGCTCAGAGTGAACAAATCTGGGGGTTTCACCCCAAAATTCACTGCAGGAAACTCCCAAACACACAAATCCTATGCTCAGCGCTGCTCAGAGTGAACGAATCCAGGGGTTTTACCCCAAAATTCACTGCAGGAAACTCTCAAACACAAATCCCACACTCAGGGTGTACAGCATAACCAAATCTGGGGGTTTCACCCCAATATCCACTGCAGGAAACCCCCAAACACACAAATCCCACATTCAGGGTGCTCAGAGTGAACTAATCCAGGAGTTTTACCTCAAAATCCACTGCAGGAAACACCCAAACACAGAAATCCCACACTCAGGGTGCTCAGCCCTGAGTTTCACCCCAAAATTCCCTGCAGGAAACCCCCAAACAGACAAATCCCGCATTCTGGGTGCTCAGAGGGAAACAATCCGGGGGTTTTGCCCCAAAATCCACTGCAGGAAACTCCCAAACACACAAATCCCACATTCAGGGCTGCTCAGAGTGAACAAATCCAGGGGTTTCACCCCAAAATCCACTGCAGGAAACTCACACACACAAATCCCACATTCAGCGTCCTCAGTGTCACCAAATCTGGCAGTTTCACCCCAAAAAATTGATAATTTTTATTTTAGATGGGGTCTCCTCCTACCACTGATGATTTTTCTGTAAGGTGGGGTCTCCTTTCATTGATAATTTTTATTTTAGGTGGGGTAATTTTCAGACAGATTTCTCCTCTGACCACCTTTAAAATCCTCAGTGCTACCAATAAACCCCCCCCACACCCACCCTAACAACTTTAGAGACTTTTCCTCATATTTTGAGCTTTTTCTGCTTTCTGTTCAACAGGCAACAGCCAAAATTGGCACTGAATTCTCTCAACCTCCCATCTTTCACTCAGCTCACTGACTTCTCCTTCCAGGCTGCCTGCAAACTTGAGTAAAACCCGAAGAAATTAAGGATTAAAATGCACAAAATATTAAATTGTGGCAGGAAAACCCCCCTACAAAGGGGCAACACGAGGGGGTTTCACAAATCTGATGGTCCAGAAGTTACACAGATGCTTTCAGCAGGAACTGAAGGTATTTAAAAGCCCATTTTTGGTCACTTTTTCCCCAAAAATCCAGGGCCCAGTGCCTCACCTGAAGCGTTTAAGGTGCAGCCGGAGGACCTGAGGTAGTCTGTAGATCAGCAACTGCTTTTTAGCTTCACTCAGAACAAGAGGTTTGGGAGAAGATTTTCGCCGTTTACCTGGCAAAAAAAAAAACCAAAAAACCCCCAAGGCAAAGATTATCAGGATTCTGTTAATTCCCCAATGAGAAAAACCAGCACAGGGTAAAATATATATTCTTTTTTTTTTTTTTTCCAGCACAAGGATAAACATTTCAGAATTTCTGTGGGGTTTAAACTCTCCCTTCTCCTCATCACACAAACATTTGTCACCTCTGAGTGACAAATCAGAGTTTCTCCTGCTGGAAAAACACCAGGAATGCTGAATCAAAGATATCCTGGGTCACAGCAGCTCCAGCAGGTGAATTCCAGCTCACAAATATTCGATATTTTATTCTCTCTGCTGCTTTGAGCTTCTCACAGAGGCATTTAAAAAATGTTTCCAGCAACAGCAAAGCTGGAAAAGAGGAAGAATTCCTCCTTCCTCTTCCCAGGAAAGGCTGGGGCAGAAGGGGACAGGTGGCTGTCAGAGATCCCAATTAGCACTGCACCTGTTAATTGGATTTGTCCAGCCACTGCTCCCGGCACTTGGGGCCTTTTCCCTGACTCTTTCCAGCTGGAAAATGCGTCCTGAGACATTAAATTCCTTAAAAGCCATTCAGAATCCCTTAAAAAGAATTTAAAAGTCCTTAAAAGCCACTGAAGAATTCCTCGGCCATTTAAATTCCTTTAAAAGCCATTTAGAATTCCTCAAAAGCCATTTATAATTCCTTAAAAACCATTCAGAATTCCTTACAAGTCATTCAGAATTCCTTAAAAGCCACTTGAGAATTCCTCAACCACTTAAATTCCTTAAAGGCCATTTGGAATTCCTTAAAAGCCATTTAAAATCCCTGAGCCATCTAGAATTCCTTAAAAGCCACTTAGAATTCCTTGAAAATCATTCAGAACCCCTTAAAAATCACTCAGAATTCCTTAAAAATCACTCAGAATTCCTTAAAAGTCATTCAGAATTCCTTAAAAGCCACTTAAAATCTCTTAAGTGATTTCCAGAATTCCTGAGCCATTTAGAATTCCTTAAAAGCCATTCAGAATTCCTTAAAAGTAGAATTCCTTAAAAGCCATTTAGAATTCCCTAAAAGCAGAATTCCTCAGCCACTCAGAATTCCTTAAAAGCCATTCAGAATTCCTTAAAAGTAGAATTCCTTAAAAGCCATTTAGAATTTCCTAAAAGCAGAATTCCTCAGCCACTCAGAATTCCTAAATAGCCATTTAGAATTCCTTAAAAGTAGAATTCCTTAAAAGCCATTTAGAATTCCCTAAAAGCAGAATTCCTCAGCCACTCAGAATTCCTTAAAAGCCATTCAGAATTCCTTAAAAGCAGAATTCCTTAAAAGCCATTTAGAATTCCCTAAAAGCAGAATTCCTCAGCCACTCAGAATTCCTTAAAAGCCATTTAGAATTCCCTAAAAGCAGAATTCCTTAAAAGCCATTTAGAATTCCCTAAAAGCAGAATTCCTCAGCCACTCAGAATTCCTTAATAGCCATTTAGAATTCCTTAAAAGCCATTTAGAATTCCTTAAAAGTAGAATTCCTTAAAAGCCATTTAGAATTCCCTAAAAGCAGAATTCCTCAGCCACTCAGAATTCCTTAAAAGCCATTCAGAATTCCTTAATAGCCATTCAGAATTCCTTAAAAGTAGAATTCCTCAGCCACTCAGAATTCCTTAACAGCCATTCAGAATTCCTTAAAAGCCATTCAGAATTCCTTAAAAGCAGAATTCCTTAAAAGCCATTCAGAATTCCCTTAAAATCCATTTATATTCCGAAGCATTAAAATGAATTTCAATTCTCCTTCCTCTCAGAGGATCAAAGCAAACCGAGATCAGACGGAGCTGAGCTCTCCCAATTTGAGGGGCAGGATTTATTCCAGCCTCTGTTCCAAGGGATGATTTCCCAGCACTCTGGGAATATTCCCCAGGCTGTGCCCGCTCTGGAGTGTCCCTGGCAGGGGACAGTGGCAGGACGGATGGTGGCACTCACTGTTGCACTGGTCACAGGCGTAGATCCTCCCCTCCAGGGCTTCTGTCTCGGTGAATTTGGCCAACATTTCGGTCAGCAGGCACTCAGCCTGGGGCACGGGCAGCAATCCCTTCTCCAGGGCGTGGTACCGCTCCGGGAATTCCAGGGAAAGGTCCCAGAAGGGCTCCACCGTGTTGGATTTGTAGTTGCACGTCCTGCAGGTGACCTGGGACAGGGACACGGGGACACACAGAGCTGGGTTTGGCTTGGAATGATGTGAAATGCAGGGAATTCTCCCAGCTTTGGGTCATCCCAAAATGATTGGTGGTCAAAAATATCATCAAATCTGACTCCTGGCCTTGCACAGCACACTCCAAATTCTCCTGGTGCACCTACCCATATCTCACAGGACAAGTCACCGCTCCAATATTGGAAGGCAAAAAATCACAATTAAAAGGGTTTTAGTGCTGTAAAGTGGATTTGAGATCTTTTTATAGGGTTATGAGATATCCCCAACTGGAAGAGAGCCAAAAGGATCATAAAATCTGACTCCTGGCCTTGCACAGCACACCCCAAATTCTCCTGGTGCACCTACCCATATCTCATAGGAGGAGTCACTGCTCCAGTCTTGGAAGGCAAAAAATCACAAGGAAAAGGTTTTTAGTGCTGTGAAATGGATTTGAAATCTTTTTATAGGGTTATGAGATACCCCCAACTGGAAGAGAGCCAAAAAAGTCATAAAATCTGACTCCTGGCCCTGCACAGCAAATCCCAAATTCCCCACATTTGCATCTATCCATATCTCACAGGAGGAGTCACTGCTCCAATCTTGGAAGGCAAAAAATCACAATTAAAAGGGTTTTAGTGCTGTAAAGTGGATTTGAGATCTTTTTATAGAGTTGTGAGATATCCCCAACTGGGAGGGAGCCAAAAACGTCATCAAATCTAACTCCTGGTCTTGCACAGCACACCCCAAATTCTCCTGGTGCACCTACCCATATCTCACAGGAGGAGTCACTGCTCCAATCTTGGAAGGCAAAAAATCACAATCAAAAGGGTTTTAGTGCTGTAAAGTGGATTTGAGATCTTTTTATAGAGATATCCCCAACTGGAAGAGAGCCAAAAGGATCATAAAATCTGACACAGGACACCCCAAATTCCCCACATTTACATCTCTCCATGTCTCATTGGAAGCGTCACTGCTCCAGCGCTGGGAGGCAAAAAAGTTTAGAATTAAACACAGGATTTGATTTGAGACCTTAGAAAAGGCTTCCAAACTTGGGTGCTAGAAGCAAGAATGTGGATTTATAGCTTAAAATTGAGACAGGTTAAGCTAAGTAGAGGAAAGTTTAGAGTTTTAGAGTACAGCACTTTAAGTTTGTGTGTCATAACATGATTGGTCAGAAAGCTTACACTGAGCATGAGTCCATCACACAGAATATTTAAAGATTGGGTCAAAAGTATAAATATCCTTGCTAGCAGTGTTTTAAAGGGGGGAAATGATGCCTCAGGTTTTAGCTTGTATATTTTTTTTTTTTTTTGTCCAACATCATCATGTTCTTCCAAGGCACAGAAATAACACCAGAAAGGGGCAAAAAACAAAATGCAGAGGCACCTGAAAAACACATTCAGACCCTAAAAGGGGCTCAGATGGGGAAAATGGGGAAAAAAACAGATGTAGAAGAGAATGGAAAAATGGATCTGTGCAGGTCTGTGCAGAAGTGGCAGAACCGAAGTGAATTTGTGCTAAATGTGACAAAGATGGAAATGGTGGTACCTGCACAGCAATTCAAGGGATTGTTTTCCTCAGGAATTGGGAATTCCTAAGAGACTCCTGAATGGGATCCTCAGCACGCAGAGCCTTTGTTCCTCGGTGCGAACAGCTCTAACGGTGAAAAAGCAATTCCATACCTGGCTGAGCAGCTGCCCGTGGAAAATGGTGTTGACCACCTTGAGGACCTGCTTGGTGAGCTTCCTCTGCGAGAAGGGGATGAGGATCCTGCGCTTGCTGCCCTCGGACTCCAGCTCCTGCTGGACCTTGTCCAGGAGCTCGCAGAGGAACTCCTGAGCGTCCTGCTGGTCGTAGCCGCGGAAGGCCGGGATCAGGCTCCACACGGAGTGCAGCATGGCGAAAGGGGACACCAGGGCCCACTTGCCGGACCACATCACCCTGAACAGGGTGTGCAGCTCGTGGCAGAGGGAGATGTGCTTGGAGCTGGGCTCCTTGGGCTGGATCAGCTCCAGGCTCCTGCTGATGGAGGAGCCGCCGTTCAAGCCGGCCGGCGAGCTCTGCGTGCCCACCCTGTCAGGCTTCCCCGGCTCGTGAGCGGCGGCCCCGTTGGCCAGCCTGCCGGGCATCCTGGCCCTGCCGTTCACAGTTTTAGCTAAAAGTTCTTCTGTTTCACAGAGATCAAGAGTCAAGAAACATTCTCGGAACTTCTGGAGGTGGCTGAGCACCTGCAGGATGGAGTTCATGTAACAAGTGTTGCCCAGGTTCCTCAGCCCCGTCACCCCGGGCGTCATCAGGGGCTGCCGCCGGATGGAGTAGAACTGCTTCAATCTGCTGCTCTGCACCTGCCTTGAGGTAGGGGAAGCTGTGGCCACCTCCCTGAATTTCCTTGGGATCAAGCTCTCCCCGTGCACGTGGGACAGCAGCCTGGCGCTCTTCCTCGGCGGCGTGCTGGCCAGCTCCTCCAGGAGCTGCCTCTTCATCTCCTGCCGCCGCTGCCGAGCCGCCTCCTTCTTCTTCTCCAGCTCCTCCATCTGTTTCTTCTCCTTCAGCTTCAGCTGTCCCCGGGAGCTCTTGTGGAACCAGGTGCGCAGAGCCCTCGCCAGCAGGGCCTGGCGCCGGTGCCACAGCGCCGTCAGCATCTGGGACTGGCCCTGAGGGCTCCTCCTGCGCCAGGCGTCCTCGGGCAGCGCCGTGGAGCGCAGCGTCCTCCCGCCCCTCTGCCCCTTGATGGCCACCAAGGAGCTCCTCAGCAGCTTCAGGTCGCCCTCGGGGTTGTCGTTCAGCACGTAGTCCTGGCAGAGGTAACAGAAGACGTAGAGCTCGTGCACCTCCATGGCCAAGGGGTGCTGGGTCTCCTGGAAGTGCCTCAGGGCGTGCTCCTCGATGTAGCGCCCGCAGGCCACGTGCGAGCACTTGAGGCAGGCCCAGAGCGACTCGGTGGTGTGGCACTCCACGCACTGCCACTTCTGCGGGTTCAGGATCGAGTGGTCCTGGGCGAGTCGTAGCCGCCCCACATGTTTGCATCTATCCATGTCTCACAGGAGGTGCTGCTCTGACCTTGAGGGGCAAAGAGCACAAGGAAAAGGGTTTTAGTACTGTAAAATTGATTTGAAATCTTTTTATAGGGTTATGAGATATCCCCAACTGGGAGGGAGTCAAAAGGGTCATCAAATCTGACTCCTGGCCTTGCACAGGACACCCCAAATTCCCCATGTTTGCATCTATCCATGTCTCACAGGAGGTGCTGCTCCAACCTTGAGGGGCAAAGAACACAAGAAAACAAGGTTTTAGGGTTGGGACACGGATTTGAGATCACATTGTAGGGTCATTGGAAGGGTCACGATCATCAAATCTGATTCCTAGTCCTGCACAGCACACCCAAAATTCCTCACATTTGCATCTATCCATGTCTCACAGGAGGAATTGCTGCTCCGACCTTGGGGTAAAGAACACAAGGGAAAAGGGTTTTAGGGCTGGGACATGGATTTAGATCACATTGTAGGGTCATTGGAAGGGTTAGGATCATCAAATTTGACTCCTGGCCCTGCACAGCACACCCAAATTCCCCACATCTGCATCTATCCGTGTCTCACAGGAAGTGTCACTGCTCCAACCTCGGGAAGCAAAAAAACACAAGGAAAAGGATTTTAGTGCTGTAACGCAGAGTTGAAATCTTTATGTAGGGTCATGGGATATCTCCAATTGGTAGGGAGCCAAAAGGATCATCAGATTTGACTCCTGGCCCTGCACAGGACACCCCAAATTCCCCACATTTGCATCTTAATCTTCCAATTCCAGCTTCAGGTAATGAAGTCATGGACCCCAAGTTTGCTCCTCCCCAACTCCCTTTTGTTTCCATCTCTCAGTGAGGTGTCCTTGATTCCCAGCCCTGGAGAGGAATTGTTTTGGAAAAATGGGAAAGCAGCAGCTGACACTGTGTGTGGAGTTCAGAGTTACACACTAGAGAACTGCAGGATTCTAAATGTAAAATCCCAAGTCTTGATAAAAGATTGGTTTGGTAAAAGATCCCCAGTGAATTGTGGATCCTTTTCCCAGTCCCTCCAAGGCTCTGGGCACAAGGAGGGCTCAGAGCCTCGGGTTACTCACGGAGTGCAGCTCACACATCCTCTCCTCCGCCGGGCGCGCAGCAGCCCCATCATCCTCCCACAGATCCCGGAGAATTTAATTACTGGGAAGTCCTCCCTGCCAGGCAGCTTCAAAGCCCTGGAGAGAGAGGGGAAAATATCCTGGTGATGCACAGAAACCAAGCCTGGAACGCTGGCAGGAGCATCATTAACCCCTCAGCGCAGAACTCAATTTATCCCAGAAATAATCCTCTGGAATTCCCCCCGAATCCTCAGATGTCGACACACAAAATTCCATTTCATTCTCTGCTTTCATTTGTTTTTTTTTGTTTTTTTCATTTGAGCAGGCTGTAAAAATCTGCTGATCACATGGTGCCTCTTCGTGGTGAGGCTTTTGTAGTGGATGACCCAACATATGGCAGAGGGAAAAAATGGGAGTCAAAAAAAAAAAAATAAAAAAAAGCAACAAACAGGAGGGAAAAACGTGCCCCTCCTGTGATCACTTGGATTTTTGGCTGCTTTTGACTGCCTGGTGAGAGACAGGGGGAGGAGAAGGGGGAAAGATCAAAAAAAGAAAAGCTGTGCTGAGTTAAATTTCATTTCTAGGTGGTTTTTCAAACGAGAAAAAGGAAGCAATGAGGAGTTGGCAGGTGGAAAGTGCAACAAAATAAGAACAGAGGAGAGAAAAATGGGAAAAACGGGGAAAAAAACAGAGGTAGAAGAGAATGGAAAAACGGATCTGAGTTAAGTTAGTTACACAGGGGCCTGGCACACAGAATGTGTGGTTAAAACATCATTTTATGAGGTGCAAAATTGAACACCTGCCAAAACTTTGAGGCAGGGATTGATCCCTCACCTGCATGGGTGGGCAGGGACCCGGCCAGGTGAAGGAAACGCATTTTTTAGTGGCCCCAAATGACACAAATTTGCTTTAATTATCACTTTTATCAGTGCTGGTGCTGTGGAGGATGGAATCTCTCAGAGGAAAATCAAAGCTCTTCAGTTCTTCCTCCTGGACTCCACTGAAAGCTCAAGTGGCCACTTCAGAACCCAAAGAGCCGGTGAGGTTTTTATTTAAACCAGCTCAGAAATTCCCACATTTCCCTTGGGCTGGGCTCATTCCCTCCCAGATCCCAAGATGTGGAAAGGGTTTTGGAAATCCTCACCTAAACAAAGGATTGATTTGGTCTCTTTTTTGCCAAGTTGGAAAAATCCCTTCCTCACCTTTTTCCCTCCCTGAGTTTTTTTTTTTCCCCTCCTCTTTCCTCTTAATTTTCCTCCTCAGGTGTGGGTATAAAAATAATGGAATTTTATTTAGAATCCTTAACCCCAGTGAGAGCAAGTGGCAGAAATTCCAGCTTGCAGGAGCGCAGACACTGTGGTAACATTGACAGCCTTCATTTACATAAAAGAATACTAATTATGTTGTATCATCAACATCTGTGATTCTGCTCACTGCCATATGCGACAGTGTGGGGAATTTAACCCTTCAGCCTCCCCAGCACACCAGATTCCTACTTTGGAACAAAAAATAGCCCTGAAAGATGGATTTTTTTAGGTATTCATCAAACAGCTGGTTGCTCATGGGCTCTGTGAGGTGCCATTTTCAAAGGACACTGAATTTCTCCTCAATTTTCCCAAGGAGGAAGAGCTGCTGGGTTCTGCAGGGTCCCACAGCAGAGCCAGGGAATTACAAAAGAAAAAAAAGAAAAAACAACCAAAACCAGATTAAGGAATCCCGTGTGACAATTCAGGAGATAAATCAGCAGCATTTTGTCAACTGCTTTGGCTTTTCCCGTGCTGGGCCAGGAGATTTCCTGCTTGGAAAAGGGATTCCAAGCACCTCAGCCAGCTGACAAAGCAGCTTTGAGATGTCCAAATTCAGGAATTCTCAGCACAAAAACACCTTTGATGCTGCGTTTGCTATTCCCCTCTTCTCTTTAGGTATCCACAGATAATTCCCTCACAAATCCAAGCCATAATTCCACATCTAAGTGAGGAAAAGAAATTGTGTTTATTTAACCCCAAACCACTTTGACAAGAGGTTTTTCCTCGAAAGCGAAGCTTCTCCACCCACCACGCTTCAGAGCTCTTCACATTCAACATTTCTCTTGCTGACTCATATTTTTGACTCTTTCCATGAAAAAAAAAATAAAAGGATTGGAATAAACCCTCACATGTTCCAAAGGCAGCTGGAGCAGCTGCAGGCCCAGCCCTGCACACGCCACAGAGTGAAATAAATGCCTGGAAAAGCTGGTACAGGACTAAGGAGAGAAGTTTTCCTCTTTTTTCCACACAAACACTTGGTGACAATCTCCTCCCAGTGGGAATTCCAAGGTTGGGATGAAAAGGGGAACAGGATTTGTGAGTCAGGAGCACGAGGTGAGGGAAAAACAAACCTCAAAATAAACCTGGCACAGATCACAGGGCTGCAGCTGCCCCAGAAATCCCAAATTGGATGGGACAAGCCATGAGCAACGCCGGGATTCCAGGATGGGGAATGAACACCTTGGATTTCAAAAGCTCTGCAGAGGAACACTCAGAGCTTTGCTCTTTGTAATTATCAGGTTTAACTCTTGGGTTTGCTTTGGTTTTTTTTTTTTCCCCACCATAAAAGCTGATTTTGAAGGAATCTCTAGAAAATCTTATTTTTCTCACCTATTTAGATCTTTTCCAGAGAAGGGATGGGGAAGGAAAAGAGGGAGAAGGGGAAAAAAAAGAGGGAGAAGGGGAAAAAAAAGAGGGAGAAGGGGAAAAAAAAGAGGGAGAAGAGGGAAAAAGAGGGAGATGGGAAAAAAAAGAGGGAGAAGGAAAACAAAAGAGGGAGAAGGGGAAAAAAAAAGAGGGAGATGGAAAAAAAAGAGGGAGAAGGGGAAAAAAAGAGGGAGAAAGGAAAAAGAAGAGGGAGATGGGGAAAAAGAAGAGGGAGAAGGGAAAAAAAAGAGGGAGAAGGGGAAAAAAAGAGGGAGAAGGGGAAAAAAAGAGGGAGAAGGGGAAAAAAAGAGGGAGAAGGAAAAAAAGAGGGAAAGGGAAAAAAAGAGGGAGAAGGAAAAAAAAAAGAGGGAGAAGGGGAAAAAAAAGAGGGAGAAGGGAAAAAAAGAGGGAGAAGGGGAAAAAAGAGGGAGAAGGGAAAAAAAGAGGGAGAAGGGGAAAAAAAGAGGGAGAAGGGATCACTTGATTGCTCTACACGGAGGTGGGGAAAAAAAAAAAGAGGGAGAAGGAATCAATTGGTGCCCTGCAATCCATTAAAGATGAGTAAAACTGAAAAAAAAAAAACAGGGAATAAAAGCAAAATAGGGGTATTAGTTCAGCCAATAACATTTTAGAGCCTATTTGAAAACTTCTCACCTTGTAAATCACTTAAACACTGGGGCAAACCCCATTTTCTTGCCTTGCACGGCTCAGAATCCTGGAAAAAAAACTCACAAGGAGCTCCTGTAACAGCTCCCAGAACCAAATTTGGCTGCTGCCCCTAAAAGAGAGCCACAAGGAACCACCCGAGCTCACTCTGCTCCTTTGTGCCATTGTTGCACGTTTGGAGCCTGATTAAAGCCATCTGCAGGCATCTGGTGACAGCAGCTACTTTCTTTTTCTAAATAAATCTGCAAGTAGCCCAAAAAAAAAAAAAAAAAAAAAAGAAAAAGAAAAAAAAAACCAAAAAAACCCCCAAAAAAACCCAAAAAAACCCACCCCAGAGCAGGAGCTGGGTGCTCAGCCCTGGAATGATGCTACTTTTATTTGTCCAAAAGGTGATTCCAGAATAAATAAGAGAGCACAAACTCCTGGCAATCATCTGCCAGGACAGGTGGGAAGCTCAGATTGAAGGATATTTTTTTGTTTTTCTCACTCATTCCTTCATCCCTCTCATGGGAACGGCAGAAGTGAAGCACAGAACCATTTGGGAATTGGTGTCACATTTTTTGCAGCACTGTAGGGAAAAAAAATCCTTGGATATTCTTGGTTTCCATCAGAACTACATCAGGAATAGACAGGGGAGGGTATCCCTGCCCTGGTGAGCTTTAAGATCCTTTCCCCAAAACCATTCTGGGATTCTATGGAATAAGCTGAAAAATCCTGTGGAATAAGCTGAAAAATCCTGGATGCAAAACCCAAACACTTCCCACCCCAATAAACCATTTTTTATGTGGAACTCTCCAATTTCGGCTACAAACACTCCAAAATGGAAATCTGGGGATATCAGAGAGCTCTCCAAGAATTCCATAAAAATAATAATAATAATTTTAAAAAACTTTCTTCCCCTGATTGTTTTCACCTCTCTGTTTGTGAGGCACCAATTATTGAACCAGATGTGCAAATGCTAACTTGTAATCTGAGCTGCCCAAAAAAAAAAATAACCAGGGGAATAAAATCCTGCTCCAACATTCCCATTCCAGTTCTGGCAGGAGCTGTCCCAGGAGGCAAAATCCTTTATTTAGGAAATTCCAGAATCACTGAGGTTGGAAAAACTTTGCTGTGCCTGATCCTCACCCATGCCTGGGGTGTCACATTCCTTGGACACCTCCAGGGATGGGGACTCCAAACCCCCCTGGGCAGCCCCTTCCACGCAGAAATTCCTCCTGAATTCTGCCCAAAGACACCAGAAATGACAATTTTTTCCAAGGAAAAACCCCTGATAGAATTGCTATTCTGTTAGAAAATAGGAATTGCTGCTGTGGCACCACCACACCTCCTCATCCCTGTCCTTACAGACCCTCGTGCTCCAGAATTACTCACTCAGAGCATGGAAAATACCCAGGAAAAGAGGCAGGAATCTCATTTTCCTGCTCTTTCTCCAAAAATCCAGCAGGGTTTCTTCCCTTTACTCCTCTCCTTCAAACCCTGCTGGGTTCACACTTGCAAATTCCATTCCCAGGAGCAACAGAGATTTTCCAGAGAGATTTTTCCAATTATCCTGGAGCTCTTTTCTTGACAACTCTCAGCTTTCTATCCCAAAATTGATGCTTTCCCCTCTCTCCAGGCTGACACAACGGGCAGCTGGGTACAGGAAAATGAACAAGGAGAAAAGAAGAAGACAAATCCTCCACCTGGATCTCAGCAAATCCTGAGAATTCCCAACTTTTCTGTGCCAGGATGCTACAGGAGCCTGGAGGAATTCCTGCTGGATTCAGCTGTTGGAGACAGGAATTGCAGGACTCCCATTTTTGCTTTTCCCCACGCTCCTGAACCATTATTATCCCATTAAGCACATCCCATTTATCAGGAAAAAAAAAAAAAACTAACAAAAACCTCACCCAGCTGTGCCAAATTCCAGCTCTGGAGCTTGAGGAAAATGGGATTTTCCTGCTGGGTTTATGGAGTCCTCCTGGTTAATTCCAAGTCTGGAAGTGTTAAATTCTTCCTGGGAGCTCCCAAAATCCACTCAAGGCTCAAAGATGGAATTGTCAGGAATCAGTTTTTAAAGAAATTAGAAAAAATCCTAACCAAACCCCCAAAAAAGAGTGAAAAAACCAAAGCACTCGGATAAGGAAAATCCTATTCCTTGCACTGGCAGCATTCCTGGTGGGAATAAAGAGGATTCCTGCAGGATTTGTTTGTCTGGATCCTGTCAGGAAGATGAAATTAGCAGATTTTGGTCTATCTTTGACTTTAGAGCACAAGAAATACAAAAATAAAGCATTTTCAGGTCCAACCTCCACATCAACCAAAGTGCTCCGGGTAACTGAAGTGCTCAGGAAAGGAGTCCCAGGCATTAAAAACCTCTTTTCCTTAAAACTCTGCAATTCTGAGCACTTCAGAAAAACTTTTAAGATCTTCAAGGCTGCTTTAAATACAACTTGGGGGCTCTTGTGCAAATTGGAACGTGCTGGTGCCTCACCTGTAGTAAAAAGGGAATTAAATATTCCCATTCCTAAAGGCTGGAATGGATAAAATAACCCAGCCCTGCCTTTTTTGGTTTGGTTTGGTTTTGGGGGTTTTTTTTTGTTTTGTTTTGGGTTTTTTTTGGTTGTTTTTTGGGAACTGGTGGAAAAAATCCCCTCCCTCAGCTTTTCCTGGTGAATTCCAAGGAGTCAGAGAAGGAAGGCACCAAACTCCTTTTGGGTTGGTTGGGAGGGAAATTTATGACTCCACCAAAAGCCTTGGCCTCTTCCAAGAGCTGGAATTCCAACTCCACATGTGTCTTCTATTCACATTCCTTCCTGAAGATCCCTGGGAATGGAGCTGGGTTTGGAAATAATCATGGAAAAGGCAAAGAGGAGGTGAAATCCTCCACAAAGGGATGAGTTGTTGTGTGCTTGCATTGCCACGTGAGTTGAAAGTTTTTTAAAATTTAAAGCATTTTAAAGAAGAAATTTGAATGTTCCTATTGAGGCAAGCTTGGTTTCTCGTTGGAGAGATGAATAAAAGTGGCTAAAACCTCAAATAGTTGTATTTTTAATTTTCACCTCTTGACCTCAGCTTCAAAACTCCATTTCCAGGTGAAATATTGTCTCTACATTCCTTAGAATCACTGAAAACAAACAAACAAGATCCACATTCTACAGATGCCTGAAAATGTGGGAATTTTTATTTAATGACCCGGGATGTTAAAAAAGCGTTGTTCAAATGCCATTTGTGTCATAGTTCACAGCTTTCTAAAAGTTAATTTCTCTAAAACCCTTTCTCCCCTTTCTTTCCATCCAGGTTTTATTTTTGGGATGGCTTTTGGAAGGGTAAATAAGATGGGAAACAGGAGCTGAAGGA